CCCGCCCCAAAATCGCTTCTCATCAGTGGAACGAGTTCTGCTTTTTCCACGGAGGGAGGAAGCAAGCAGTTAGTCAAGTCAGTCATTCAATCCACTGGTCTTCGTTCGTGGTCAGAGACACGACGCCCGATAGAGACCGACACCGACACCGACACCGACACCGACACCGACACCGACACCGACGCCGACACCGACACCGACACCGACACCGACACCATCGTTTGTCTCCTCGCCATCATCTATCCATCACCATTCCGAAGACAGATAGATAGACAGACCGACCGACAGACCCAACCAACCAACAACAAGCCTTCAATCTCTTCTCTTCACTTCTCTTCTCGGTGGTGGTGGTGGTATTCGATTCCATCGAGCTCACTTGCGGGTTTTACCTCCTTTGGTACAACAGCTAATGCCAATGATGCCATGCGGCAAGCGAGATGGGTCTCATTTTCTTCTTGGGCGAAAGCAGGAAGGGGACTTTATCCTTCGCTTCGCTTCTCTCTCTCTCTCTCTCTCTCTCTCTCTCCATGTATGCATGTCAGGCAGGCAAGCGAGATGCTCCCCCTTCCCCTATTCGGGAAAACTTGACTGTCGATCATGTTGTTTTATTTGTGCTGACCTACCATCCCCTCAATCCTTCCGCTGTCTGATGTGAGGAAATTTCTGGTAACTGTCGTGCCGCGGGGGGAAGAGGGGGACGGAGCGGGGGGGCATATGTGGATTCAGAGCTCCGCCGCGGGTGAGAATGGGGATGAGAATGAGGAGTACGGAAGAGAATGATAATGATGATGGGTAGAGACACAGTGTGGTACGGATTCCCTTTTCTGCTGCTGCAGCGTCCTCTCTCGTCTCACACTTCCATCAGTCCCTCCTTTCTGTGTGATCCGCAAAGAATTCAAAATGGAAGACAAGAAAGCCACCACCACCGCCGCCGCCTCGCCCGTCGATGAGAAGCTCGAAGAAGTGAAAAAGCTAGACGTCCCCGTGACATCTCCCGAAGATGTCGAATCCGACAGACGCATCACCCAGAAATTGGATTTCCACATTCTGCCCTGGGTCTTCGTTCTTTGGCTGCTAGCTTTCATCGACAGGAGCAATATCGGCATGAGCCTCCCCCCCTCCCCACCGCCATTCCTCTGAGGCTCTCTTCAGCGCTGATTTGATGAAAAATGAACAGGCAACGCCAAACTCGACGGTCTTGCAACAGATCTCCATCTCACTGGGACAAAGTACAATGTCGCCCTTACGGTCTTCTACATCCTCTACGTCCTACTCGACATCCCCTCGAATTGGCTCCTGAAGTACGTCGGTGGCGGCCGCTATCTTCCGCTGATCGCGATCGCATGGGGAATCGTAGGGACGTGCATGGGCGCCGTCAAGAGCTATGGAGGCCTGATAGCGTGTCGACTGTTGCTCGGAGCCTGTGAGGGAGGCATGTTCGGAGGCATCATACTCTATCTGAGTATGTTTTACAAGAGACACCAGCTCATGTTCAGGCTCGGCATCTTCTACTGTGCGGCCCCGCTTTCGGGTGCTTTTGGTGGGTTGCTGGCAACTGGGCTGGCGGAGATAAGGTATGGAGGCTATCGTGGATGGCCGTGGATCTTCTTCGTCGAAGGCTCCATAACTATCGTGGTAGCGATGGTCGCTTTCCTCTTCTTGCCGAATACGCCCGGAGCCGCCAAGTTCCTTTCCGAAGAGGAGCGAGACCTTGCTGTCAGGAGACTGCATATCGATCTATATGGTGATGTGGGCGTCGTGAGCGTCGAAGAAGCAAAGTTCAGCTGGGAGGAAGTGAGTTCCTGCCACTCCGTGAGCGGTCTCATGTCTGATGCTGACTTGAGTGCAGGTCCGCGTCGCCCTTCTCAACGTCAACACCATCGTGATGTCCCTCAACTTCTTTCTCATTCTTGTCCCAGTCTACTCCTACTCCCTTTTCCTGCCGACCATCATCTCCGGCTTGGGCTACAAACGGGTCACCGCGCAGCTCCTCACTGTGCCACCGAATTTTGTGGCCTTCTTGAGTGTGATTGCATTCGCCTGGACAAGCGACAAGATCAAGAAGCGTGGACCCCTAATTGCGGCTGGCCTCTTGATCGCAACAGTCGGATACATCATGCAACTGGCCAGCGACGACAACGCTGTCAAATACGCGGGAACATTTTTCGTTGCAGTTGGCGCATTTCCTTGCAGCCCTCTTGTCCTGGCTTGGCTGGGTAACAATCTGGCACCACACACCACAAAAGCAACGGGTCTGGGATGCCAAGTCGCCATCGGCAACTGCGGCGCTTTCGTCGCGACATTTACCTATCTCAGCAAAGACGCGCCATCGTATACCACCGGCCATGCGATCAACCTCGGAGCCATCGGTCTGAGTATGATGTTGACAGTGGGCAACATCCTGTACATTCGCCGTGAGAATAGCCAGCGACGTCGCGGGAAGAGGGACTACCGCCTTGCTTCAGCAGCAGTCGGAGGAGAGCGCAGATTGGGATGTCGCCATCCGAATTTCAAGTACACAACATAGATCGTCGTGATACATGTGTCCCGCAAACACGACACCTCTCTCGCGTATCGTATGTCGTTCCTTCTCGATCGGGCAAGCGCGAAAGCGGGTCCGTATGTGGAAAAGCTTTGGCATTTGCTTGGCCAGCACCAGCCACACTTCGGCAACTTGGCGGCATACCGAGCTATAGTCGCAACGCTCGCGGGAAACCGTCGATCCCGATAGTCTCGATGGCTCGACCGTTTCGCAGAACATTCCCAGCTTCCGTGCCGAAAACGTGATTGACTCGCTTGCCTTTCCGGGACAGCGCGGCCGCCGTTCATCAGCTGCGGCATGACATGCGTACCTTGGTTATAGATCCGTATCCGCCGGTGACGATGAGAAGCAATTTCGGACTGGCGTTCGTACGGAAAAAGCCATACCGGTGCTATTGGAAAGTTGCATCATGTGGACGACAGGAGCCATGGTAGGGTATGTCAGGAAGCCTTCCCCGCTCATGTGGCATTTTGCGCATGGGATCAGTGTCTACCGAAAGCTCGCCTAGAAAGTGTCGTCCTCTACATCGTACGCACGACGGATCACACTGGGACTGGCCTCATCAAAAGCCTCGGATTCGCCTTCAATGTCGTCGGTAGCATCCGCTCCGGCTGTCAACAACAGGTCGTCAACAATCTTCTTGCTCGCCTCTCGCGCCGGCGTTTGGACAAGGCGTGACTGAGGAATGTGGAACTGCATCGTCTTGGGTGGGCTCATCTCTGCAAGATCGTCGTCCTCGTCACTCTCATCGAAGAATTGGCTGGCTCGGGTGCGTTCCTGCGTTGCAGTGTACGCCTTGTCGTTTGGCGAGAATAGCGACATGCCAGTGGAGGTCTTGGGCGCAGCCAGGCCCGTCTTCCTCGCAGCAGGCGTGAGGACAGAGACGCCGGGAGTACGGGGAGCGCCTTTTGCGGGAGAGAAGAGCTCGCTGCGAAGCTGTGGTGCGGCAATCTCAGGCGACGATTGCGGCGAGTCGTCCCACGGCGCCTTCTTGGTGGCAGTGGCCGGAGTTCCTTTCGCAGCAGTGGCCTGTTGCTGCTGACGTTGCTTACGCTGGGTGTGCGGCGTGGCTTGTATGCGATAGTTCTTATCCAAGATGGCGCGATGCATGAGCGGATCGTGGTTCTGGGGCCGAGATCGCGCAGAAGGCTGAAAGGCAGATTCGGGCTCGAAAGGCGAAGACTGCAGATTGGCTGCTGATTGCATGCGGGGCGTACTAGGCTCCTCGGAATCGTGCACTGCCAATGGATTCTTGCCAGTGTATTTTCGCGGAGATGGAGACGGGTACGACGCGGAGGCTGCATTCTTGTTGTTGAAGTTGGCTCGCGAGTCCCCATTTGTCTTGTTGGATGTAGAAGGTGGTAGTTTTGGTGTCGTCTGTACTCCGGTGACTTGAGTTGGCGATTCGATGGTGAAGTCTTCGTCATCCTCCTGTTGTTGCATTTGCGCACCCGTCACTGTGCTCTCATCGTGCCCGGGGGGCGTCTGGAAGGAGTCGGTGGGCTCGGTGTTGGTGACGGTGTCGTCTGTGGGTTCCTCGTAGCCGGAGAGAGAGACATTGGCGGAGGCCTCGAAGAATTGCTTCCAGAACTGCAGCAAGACGCGTCAGAAGCGAAAGGGCGGGGAACAGACAGTCGGCAGCTCTCACCTTTGAGCCTTCCCAGACCTCATTGCTGTGCTTCGCATACTCCTCGACGATGGGCAAGATGCTGGTGGTGACGATGCGATGGGCCTTGCTGAAGTTGCTGTCGATCTCTTGCAAGGTCAGAGTGATCTGCTGCTCCAGTCTCTCCAGCTCTTCGGTGAGCGTCAAGTTGCGTTGCGGCATTGCGCGCGCCATGATGTGATGTGTGCTGCTTTTCCAACGCGAAGCAGATGGAGGATGTTGTTCGGTCACAGTGTTTGTAGCGCTGGAATTGACGACGCGCCGGCCAATCGATAATTGATTGAGCTTTGACATACGCGGAAGCTCCCGCCACCACCGACGCACGACAAATTAGCGTCGCGTCTCTCGACCACCGCAACATCACCAACCGCGACTTCAGCAAAAGCAATTCAGCACCCTCAGCGACCTCAGCAACCGAAATCCAGCCGCGCCAACCTCTGCCACGATGCCGCATTGCGCATATTCAAGACTACAGTCAGCAGTTCCATCTGTTGCTCGGCTTCAATCATTTGGATGACCTCTCCTAGCGCAGAAGCCTGCGTGTCATGCAGGACGCCAATGACCTCGTCGCTTGATTCAGTCCGCGACTTCACAGCTTCACATCATAGCTCGAGCTCGAGCTCTAGCTCTAGCTCCCCTTCTCCTCTCTTCATCCAGGAGTCGGATTACCGTCAGCTCGGCGAACCGGATCATCCCACCGCGAGGACAGTCCCAGCGAACAAGGCGGAGGTAGCGTGAGGAGTCCCTCCTCCTGCATCTCGGCGCCACGAAACCAAGAAACTCTGCAAACATGTCTTGCCCTGGCCCTATAAATCTGACGAGAGCAGCGCTGCACTCAAAGCTCTGTCGGTCTCTCGCCCTGGCTCTCCCTTGAATTGTATACCGCACAAGAAGATCGACAAAATCGGCACTCTCGTAAGAAGTCTCCTCCCACTCATTCCTCCAACGAGCGCCCTGCTTGAAGAATCCAAGCGAGCCGCCCGAGAATCTGGCATGGCGTCCAAACGCGTCGCTATCGTTACTGGTTCGGCCAGGGGCATTGGTCGCGCCATCGCTCTTCGCATTGCCCGCGATGGCTACAACGTATGCATCAACGACATTGCGCCGAACATGACGGGAGCGCAAGAAGTCGCCCAGGAGATCCAAGCCATGGGCCGAAAATCTTGCGTTGCCATTGCAGATGTCAGCAAGCTCAGCCAAGTCGAAGGCATGATCCAGACTGCCGTCAAGGAATTGGGAAACCTGAACACAATGTAAACAGAGCTCACGAGATTTGGAGACAAGATCGAGTACTGAACACACTTCCCCCTTTCAGGATCGCCAACGCCGGCATCGCCCAAGTCAAGCCTCTCCTCGACCTGACCGAAGCCGACTTTGAAAATATGTTCCGCGTCAACGTCTTCGGCGTACAGAACTGCTACCAGGCGGCCGCGAAACAAATGATTGCCCAGAAGTCCTGCACTCCCGAACAACCCGGTAAATTGGTCGGCTGCTCCAGCATCGTCGGTTTTAAACCTTTCCCCCTCCTCTCTCACTACTCCGCTTCCAAATGGGCCGTCCGAGGTCTCACGCAGGCCTACGCGATGGAGATGGCAGAGTATAATATCACTGTGAATGGCTATGGCCCTGGCATAGTGAAAAGTGCGATGTGGTCCATGATTGATGAGAAATTGGGAGAAAAGACGGGGGCGCAAAAGGGAGATACGATCAAGAAGTATTCGGAGGAGTTGATCGCTTTGAAGAGGACGAGTACGCCGGAGGATGTGGCCAAATTGGTCAGTTTTCTTGCTGGGCCGGATAGCGATTATGTCACGGGGTAAGTTGAAAATCGTTGATGATTCAGGAATATGTGAATGCTGACGTGATGGCCCCGTTTTAGTCAGACCCAGATTGTCGATGGAGGCATCATCTTTACTTGAGATGCTGGAGGGCGTGCATAGAGCAGTTGTTGCATTTGAAAGAAGAAGGTCCCGCTTGTCGCTAATGGTGCTAAAAGGCGTGCGAGAAGTCTGGCCTTTAGGATCCACGCGGACTCAATGTTGGAAAGAGATCTTAACTTGATGCACACTGTATCCAAGACGGAGCATGAACGGTCTCGATTCAAGAGCAGGAACCCCGCTCCTTTTGTTTCTGAAGTCTGTTGTTGCATACTGTACATTCTGACTAGACGCGGGAAGATCTGTCGTTGACCGCGCCGGCGGCTCGGAGTATCTGTGCAATGTGTTTGTAGCCTCCGTTTAACGCCAATTGTAGTACGGTTAATCCGCTGCTTAACGTAGCGTTCACGTCGGCCCCAGCGTCTATGAGGATCTGTACGATCTTCTCGTGGCCTCTTTCTGACGCTTCACACAGTGGGATTCGTCCGGTCTTTGACTTAGCGTTCACGTCGACCCCAGCTTCTATGAGGATCCGTACAATCTTCTCGTGGCCTTCTATTGACGCTTCACACAGTGGGGTTCGTCCGGTCTTTGACTTAGCGTTCACGTCGGCCCCGGCGTCTACGAGGATCTCTACGGCCTCCCCGTGGCCATGAATAGATGCCACCACCAGAGCAGTGTACCAATTTCCCTCCCAGGACCTATCTGCCTGAGCGTTGAGGTCAGCTCCTGCGGAAATGAGAAATTCCATCATCTCCGTGTGGCCGCGCCGTGATGCTCGGATTAGAGCCTGACCATGGGTAGTGCCGTGAGGGCCATCAGAATCTGCCCAAGCAGCCATCACCATCTGGAATAGCGTCATGTTGCTTGAGCTTGCTGCAAGATTCAGAGCGGCACCTAAGCCATGCTTTACCCAAGATTCGATGTTCGCCCCGGAGTCTATCATCAACTGCACCACGTCGGACCTTCCACGAGATGCTGCGCATGCCAGGGCACCTTTGGGGGAATCGCCCTCGACCTCAGCGTTAACAGATCCAACTTCAGCGTTGACATTCGCTCCGGCTTCTATTAACGTCTGCACCACTTCCACATGACCTGCCTCTAACGCGAGACAAAGTGCATTCAATCTATCGCCTGCTGAGGTATGACCATAGGCATCGACATCAGCCCCTGCATCTAGTAGCATCTTCACTATATTCTTGTGACCACGGGAAGATGCTTCCGCGAGTGCGTACGGAAGAGGAAAATTGTTGTCAAATGCGTTGACGTCGGCTCCTGCATTCAGAAGCAACTCCACAATATCCTCGTGGCCAGTGCGTGACGCTGCCTGCAACGGAAAGGGACTGCGATGTTCGCGTCCCTGAGAGTTAACGCAAGCTCTGAAGTCCAAGAGCAACTTTACTCCATGCGCGCAACCATCACTTGAGAATTGGCAGAGTGCCGTGCGCTTACCGGCTATTTCAGCCTCAAGGTCGGCGCCAAGATCGACCAAGAGCTGCAAAACTGTCACTGCGCCGTGCTGTGCAGCAATTGAAATGGTGCTCGACCGTTTCTTGCCGCTTCCGTGATCAATGTTGAAGATGCCCTTCCCCACGTGGTTCCGCAAGAGATATGTGGCAAAGCCCCAGTTAGCCTTTTCAACGAGCCAGTACAATAGATCATGAGTTTCACCGAGTTGACATGGTCTGCCGAACTCGGGATCTTCCACCATACTATCGATGGTAGTGGCTTCGGCGTCTTCCAGTAGGACTTGCAGGGCATCACGATTACCGTGCGCAAATGCCGCAAAGGCGGGAAATTGGTATCTCTCGGATGGCAGACGTAACCAAGGATCCTCACGTCTTCGTGCTTCCACAAGCTGGGAGTGATTTTGCTCGGCGAAAATGTAGAGCAGACTAACACTTCGCCCATATCGGCGGATGTCGGTACCCTCATACAGGTTATTAACGGTCCTCCAGGTGTCCAGAGCAAAGCCATCCAGGAATTCTTCTTGATCTATACTGAGCGCGGCGTCGTTGGCATGATAGAAGATCTCCTTGATTGCATACTCAAGAAACGGGAATTGGTGCGAGACGCGTTGCCGCATCTCTTTCGCTTCTCCGGAAGAAGCTTTCGGCAGCTGCTGAGTGATGTTCGCACAGACCGCAAGGTCAGCAGCCAGGTAATTGGCGCAACATGTTTTGAGCCTGTCGTGGCTAAGGCCGGCTAGATCGCCATCCAAACCTGGCCACAGCTCGCGCAATCCGCCATCTTTCAAAAGGAAGTCGCGGACCGATTCGTGAATGAATTGTACAGTGGGACTTGATTTGGACTTGGTGAGCTCCGCAAGACCCTTTGAAGAGTTGAGCACGAACCGCTTCATGTCCTCGACTGTCACTTCTTCCGGATTCCACGGCTCCGGCATCCACTCAGCGCCATTGTTGGACTCGTGATGTAGACCAGATACCATCGCGAAGTAAAACTCCTCACGCTTGAGTGGCCGCCTTGCAAACAAGATCCACTGGAGGCAGAGTAGCAAGTCGTCCATGTCCACACAGTCCCGTCGAAGAAGGTCCTTGAAGAGATTGCTCAGATCATTTGGTATTTCCCGAAGTCGTTGCTTGACGGCGAAAATGCGGCCTCGACGGAATTCCTCGTTCAAGATATCCACAACCAGAACCACCCACATAAAGACACCATTTGCTTTCTCCTGTACTTGTTCTCGGATGTCGTCGACGAGTTTGCCCTTGCCAGCTTGAAGTCGACGTCGAATGTATTTCTTGAGATCGTCACCGTGCCCTGCCTCATCTTCCAAGACTAAGCGCCAACCGTTACGAATCTCAATGGTCGGATAATGGCGACTTGCGAAGCATATGTAGAGCCCACTCTCATCATCAAGATTGTATTCTCCGAGATCTTCCAGATAATCTACCATCTCCCGTACTTCGCCTTCATCGCACTCATCAAGAGCGTCTATAAAGATTTTCAGGTGCCTCCGGCCAAGTTCACCCACGGCAGTGGACAACAGGTTCTGCAAGACTGATAGCGTCCAGGTCGGGGAAGTGACGCTATCCAGGATAGACTGTAGGTCTGGCGTCTCTTCAAAAAGTTGCACCAAAAGGGCCCGATACATCCCACACGTCGTCTTCTCCAAGTCGCCGCCTCGTGCATTGAAAAAGAAATGGAGGATGATTTCATTGTCGACCTTGGACTTCTTGGCGCGCGCAAGTGCATACTTCATGATGGTCGACTTTCCGGCTCCAGGCTTTCCAGCGATCCACAAAATCCCTCGATGGGCCAATGATGTTAGTCTGTCGTTCCAGGCTGCGTATGCAGGGTGTTGCAAGATCCATTCGCAAGTCGTGCGTTGTGCGTCTTTGATAGTAGTGTGGCGTGAGTCCATCTGATCAAACCTCAAGGAAGCTAGCAACTCTTGTCGTTGGTCTTGAGGTGTGATCTCGGGTTGAGTTTGGCAGGGCGGGACCTTCTCAATTTCCGTTTGAAGGCGAGCGAATGCATTGTCACCTTCGCCATAGATAGGGGAAAGAAACACATCGAAGATACCGAAGAGACAGTAGGCCTTGTCCTCTGGCTTCTTGGTTTCACGCTCCGCAGCCCAACGTAGCCGCTCGGCAGCCGAGAATCTGGACAAAGGAGCACCAAGGAGAGCTTCGATCGGGATGCCAGTGATTTCGTGGATTATATCTTTCAGGTCGTCCTTAGTTCCCAGGTAATGGGCGTCTCTTGACCAGAACTGGACAGCTTTGGGGGCAAGTAGCTCTTGTAGGGTCCCTAGGTCAGAGTAGCGTCAGCTTCAACCATGTATTTTCTGTTTGTTCCCTTGGGACGAAATTCTGCGAGTTGGCTTACAGCCGCGTGTGAACCATCTGCTTCTGCGAAAAGATGCTCACCAGTCGCATTGTTGGCCGTTACTGTCTCGTTTTAGAAAAGAAACATCCTGTAAGTACACGAAGCACGTCGTCGCCTGCTGATACCAGCGGAACATCGAATTGATCGCCTCTGTGAGCTCGGGGAGGTTATACTTGTCGATACAGCACGTATCGATCCAGAAATGCTTCAGGTCTCCCTTCTTCGCCTGTTGAGCGCAGAAATCAATCTTGGCATACCCGGGTTTCGATTTGGCTTCCTCAGGTCGTCTCTTCACATCGTCGAATGTGACTTCGTCTCCATCGGGGCCCCACGTATGAGACAAGATGGCGTACGGTGGGAGTTTCCTGCCGTCATGAGTGGTAAGTCGGAGCTCGCCGCTGTCGCTGAGCTGTAAAAGATGCATCTCCTGCTTGTACGTGCATGTGGTCGGTAGGAGTGTGCACGACTTCCGATTTCCTCAAAAGGCCCAGCTAGCCAGTGTCAGGAGGGACGGAGATGAAGTGGAAGAAATGGGAGAAGTGGAAGAAGCGGAAGAAATGGGAGAAGTGGAAGGTGATCAGAATGCACCCACAGCAGGAAGGTGCAATGAGGCTGAGCCGGCAGCTGCAACTGCTCCGCCGCGCCTTCACGTGCGCTGCCACCACGCGACCCTTTTCCGTGTTGCACAACATGAAGGTGGATGCGCTGTACATCAGCTTGTTCTCTGCTTCCTCATCCTGTAGCCTTACGACGACCCCTCTCGTACCGGATGCACTCCCACGGAAAGCAACTTCAGCGAGCTTCAGCGTGCATTGCAGCATTGTGGGCCTTCGGCTTACCTGTGCCCTATCCCCATCCTTCCAGACTACTATAGTGCATGCAACCAGCCCGGACTGCACAAAGTCGCGGTTGAATCATCGCAAAGCCTACGAACAGTGCGGAGGTCCCATGAATACTAGAGCATGTGGAAGATCGAGTTGATAAGATCCTGCGTTTGAATTGTTCGTCTTCTTTTCCGAAGCCCGCCATTGCACACATGGACCCTCGAATGCATACGCTATGCCCTTACTGATGCTGAAATGGGGTATCTTAAGCAGTTCATCCTTCGTAAAATGCCCGGGCTCCCTCGCTAAGCCGTCAAATGTCGTGTCGTAGTCGCCGCATCATTTCTCCTTCCGTATCATAGCTGGTTGTCGATGAAGGGCGCGAACGTCCTTCCACCGAACCGCTCCACATCATCCTCTCCTTCCCCGTCCATATCCATTTCGTCTCCATCGTGATCCCGCTCAAGTCCTCGCTTCGCTTTGGCCGGTGCAGACGTGACTCCGCTAGCAGGCGCTGCTTGTGGGTTCGATTCCACTGCTCGCCGCGCCAACAGAATGTCCCAGTAGCTATGCAATAGACGCTTCATACTGTCGTCGAAGTTGACACAGAATCGCTGTGCCTGGCACAATTGCATCGCCTTGATGTAGTCGACGTCTTCATGCGTCTCCATCAAGTAGGCGGCGACGACGCCTGCGCTACGCTCGTTGCCGCTCTCGCAGAAGACCAACACCTTGCCCAGCTGAGCTCCTCCCGAAGCGGTATAGACTCTTCCCAAGTGATTGTTGATCATCGCAGTCGTACTTCGGAAACTGGAGATCAAGTCCTGATTACTCGCCAAATCGACCGTATGAAACTCCAGTCCCAGCTGTTCCGCAGCAGTAAGCCGCATCAGCTTGCTCTGAAAGCTATGCTTCTGCCGAACCCCCAGCAACATCGTGACACCCTGTTGTTGCAACCATTCTTTGTCCTTGGCAGCAGTCATGGGTCCCAGACACAGAAACGGGAGGATGGCCTGTGCCTCACGCCGACGCTCGTAGGCCCATTCGAGGGGCGCATTCTGGGATATGAGGTTCGAGTAGTTTACTTTTGAGAGGAACTGGTGCGAGGAATCGCGGAGGGCGGAGATGGCGATCTCAGGGATTGCGTCGGAGTTGAGGGTGGGTGGTGGAACGACGATGCGGGGTGGTGTGGGCATACGGTAGGTGTAGCTGTCGGCCTTGTGTGGGTAGGAGAGGACTGCTGGCTCGCTGTTCGCCATGTCGCCAGCAATGATGTTTGTTGATGGTCGCGGGTGGTGTGTCTGTAGTTTGCTACGTCGGGCAAACGCAGCTGTGTGGTACGCGATATTGCACCGCTTTCGGGAGGATGGGATGCGCGTGTCCGAGAGGCTACGGTGGAAGTTGCTAGCGACCAAGAAGAATGTCGTGATATCTCGTTGGCGGTGTTTTGGAGAACTTGTGTCGTGCTGTGAAGGAGCGCCTAGATGAGAAAGAGGTTGATGAAGTGACGCAGAACGGTTTGGAAGTCTGACTTCCAGGTTCACTTCACTCGTGAAGAACATGTGGGGCGCTAGCTTTCAAGACGCCAGGCACCACTTCTACCTTACCCTCGCCACGTCCGTTCCATTCACTTCAGGCAAGAATATCAATTGGCTTGCACACTTGTCACATGCCAGTCACACATCGTTCTAGAGCCAAGGCGCTTCACACGATAAGCTAGGAGATTGAAGCGCTCAAGACAAATACGTCGTATCAAAATTCGCCGCCTATTACAGATTACATACTGTTACAATAGCGTGTCCCGTTTCCGCTCTTTCTTTCTTTCTGCCCTATTGCACACATTCCAACAGGGTATCATCATCAAAAGGCAACAAAATACACAACACGGCGTAACTCGAAAACATATCCACCGAGTGGATATCCGTAACAGTAGACCCGTTACTATATCTTGCGATTTCATTCTTCTGTTCAGACATCCAGCCATGTAGATGCGCCGGAATTCACATAGGAGATAAAGGATAGCCGTCGAGAGGGGGTGCTTGCTTCGTTCTAACCAGGGAGAGGAGTGCGTCGAAGCTGTCATTCATGGACCTCCGTCGGCGCCAACCTTAATACCAAGGCCCATCCGATGAAGATGGTTCTCTTTCTGGGGAGAATGTTCATCGAGCGCATCGCCAATCGCAAGACCGATTGGCGTGCCGCTGCGGACCATAGAGAGCCGGTTCTGTCCACCCGGAATCTCTGGCAGGGGCGCAGATGGTGGCGGAGCTGGTGGTCCAAATGCTGACAAGGGAAGACCATAGTCCCTGTTGAGTAGCGAAGTGCGATTGTTGCGTGAAGATGGACGAGGAACAGCGTTGCCCACAATGGCTGGTGAGATGCATCGCTCTGGCAGGGGCTTGGCCTCGTCAGTCGCCTCTTCTGCGAGTCTATCGCTTGTTCCGAAGTCGAATCCCGTCGAAGGTGCTGATATTTGGGTGGTCTGCATCGTGGCGACAGAGCGTGATGGCCTCAGACCACGAATGGGTGCTGTTGTCGTGGAGCATACATTGCTGTTAGACATCGCGCTACTGCGAACACTCGACAGGAAAGGAGCGTGAGTTGCGCGGACCTGCAGGCTGGCAGGACGACTAAGTTTACCTCCTCCTGTCTGGCCTGCAGTCCGGCTTTGTGTGAGGGCCGCCCGCACAGTAGATGATGCCGACGGGCTCAGGACCCCAATGCGGGCCATAATAGGTGGAGGCGGCTGCATCTGCGCGCTTGGAAACAACGAGAGCTTCAGAGGCCGCTGCTTGCCACTGCCTTCACGATGCGGGGAGTTCGCGCTCGAGGACCTTCGCTGAGGCATGTGTGATGCGTTGATGGTCGTCCGGGGCCCAAAATCAACTTTGGCGGTCAAGCAAGTAACAGCAGGAATTGGCGAAATTACACGCTCTTCTTGTTCGGCTGGAGGAGTACGCTTTGGAGACCGCAAGGCTTGCGAATCGGTGGAGTTCACTCGCAGCGGCAAGCTGAAAGATTGCGAGCCGCTCCAGAGCGGTCTTGAGTTTGGCGAAGGTCTTGACGTTGGCGAAGTACGAGGCTTTGCTACAGTGGTCAACTGCTTTCCTTCTCCAGTGGGAGACGTCTCGGGTAGAGGGGCGAAGGGCATGGCGGAGGCCCTCTGGTTAGGCAAAGGCCTGCTGGTCCAATTGCATTGGCTGGGAAGATCGGCGATGAACGATTGCGGCCGCTCTTCCGGTGGCGTTGCTGTAGCCATGGCCATTTTCGAATCTCGCTTCGCTCCCATTGTCGATGTGAAATTAGGCAAGCTCTGTGAGCTTGACAATCGGTTGTTCTTAGGCGAGGCAGTAGGCTCAGGATAAGAAGACCCATAGCCAATCACTGGTGAGTCGAGAGATCCCTCATTTGACGCAAAGTTTGGGTGCGGGTGCGGTGGAGCACTGATTTCGGGTACGGGGCAGTCTTTGAATGTGAGAGGCGCGGCAGATCGTCTTTTGAGCAAGCTGTACGACGAGAGATTGCGAAATGGCGGTTTGCCGAAGCTACCGTCCCTCGCACCTTCACAACTGTCTTTCGAGTACTCAGAGGGCGAGGAAGTCATCGAGTTCGTCCGTGAGGCGGCTGTCACGCTGGTGGCCGCAGTAGAGGTATGAGATATGCGTGTGCTGTTGCGCAGCTTCTCTAGTTGCTGTTGCTCAACCGCAACGTCAGCGGAAGAGCTGAAAGACGGCACATCGGATCCCGCTCGCGGTCTGGTCGCTGCGATATCACCTTCCACCCCTTGCTGTTCTTGCTTGCTATCGAGTGCTACCGTCTCTTCAGTGTGAGCCTCAATCGATGGCTTTGAATCCTGCTCCGTGCGAAGTTGCAGTGTCAGTGTCGACGGGAACCTCTCCAGAGTTGGTGTAGATACTGTTGAGGGTCCGTTGGGATTACGCCTGACGTTGTACCGGTGACTCTGGCTAGGCGTCTTTTCGAGATCGATCTTGGGTGGGTGACTGCCCCTTGGCCTTGACGTTGAGGAATCGCATCGTGCTCGCTTGCCGCCTTGGCTCTCGATCTCTTTTCGAATGGCGGTCATCCACTCAGCCATTTCATCGGCATCAGACATGACGAGCAGGAAGTCTGAAGCCGTCCGACGAGTTGCATTTTTTCGAAGTCCAATCTTAGAAAAGAGGGAGTGGGAGGCTGCCACGGCGACGCCTCTTTGATCGACTGCCTGAGAGATTTGAAGTACGTGGTACTTTCCAGGTATCAGGTCGCTGGCGTATGCTGCCGAATCCTTGCCCAACTCCAGAATCTTCTCAGGTAAACGGTCGTTCGGCCCAGTTTCTGCGTATTGGAGTAGGTAGCCAGAGGTCACTAGGACAATGAGCTTCCTGGACAGGATTGGTTGAGAGGAAGAGCCGCTCGGAAGGGGTCGAAGCTGAGTCTTGATCGTCGCTCTCGAATCGATGCTTGCTCTGTTTCCTGGGATCTGCAGTGCTGAATTGTCGCTTCCAGGAAGGAAAATTTTGCTAGATAGTCGGCTCTTGGGTGATGTTGAACGAACCTCGGGAGCAGGAGTTGTGGTTTGCAGAGTGCCATAGTTGGTGCTTTGTGGCCAGACCTGAAACAAAGGCGGTGGGTCGAACGCTCGTAACCGTTGTTCACCAGACAGCTGTGGGAGCGAAGGCTCCTTGGAGATCAAGCGAGCAGCTCGCGAGGTGTAAGAGCGTGAGGTGGTAGGACGAACCTGCCCTTGCTCCGCTTCCGTGGTTTGTAGACGTGTGATGATATCCTGCTTCGAGTCGCAGGTCTCGCTGTTCGACGAAGCACGTGGCGGATGGAAGGGTGCGTCAAGACCTGGCTCTGCATAACCACGGAGCTTCTCAACCTTGGATTTGCTGAACAGGCCGAACAACGACATGTTGCTGGACTGATGATGTCGCAGCTGAGGTGGCATTTCCGAGGGGCGAATAGGGTGCTCTCTTAGCGGTAAAGGCGGCACGGCATGTTGAGGTTGATGATGATGTTGATGATATTGATGTTGATGTTGTTGTTGGCCGACAGGAGCGAGAGCTTCGTGCGGACGCGTGCGTGTGCGTGTGCGTGTGCGCGTGCGCAGGCTCTTGCGCTTCTTGAGAATCGGATGAGGCGGGACATCCAATGCTGACTGTGAGCGAGACAACTCTGGGAAGTGGTGAGGAGTCTGAGGAGGAGAGCAGGCATCACGGGTGGACTCGAGGAGCACCTCGCCGGGCGCGTCCATGTAGGAGACGAGACGTTAAGGCTTCAGGCCTAGCACGACTCTGCAGCGCGCCGAGTGATTCAGGTTGCACGTCGATGTCGGGTCGCGAGTCGTGTCTGGTGTAGTCCGTGTCCCGCCGGGACGAGGTGCGTAGTAGTAGGGAGCTACACCTACCGCACCGCACCGCACAGCCGCATCTGGGACGGCGTGGATTGAGCGGAGAGGCCACTGACGGCGGTGGCGTGCCTCAGTGGAATCGAGGCGCCCTACAAGCTCGCAGCAGAGCAGCTCGTCCAGTGTAGTCGTACAGACATGCGTTCATGGTTGTTGGTGACAGGTGGGCCATGGGGCACACGGTTGTGGTAGAGTGGGAAGTTTTGTTCCTGTGCACATGTGGTTAGTGTCGCTTTCACACGACAACCATGTGCCGCACGCGCGTTACCTTAACCGATCAACGTCCAATGGAGCAGCGCAGGATGTGCGCTTGGTGTCGCGGAGGCTACGGGAGTGCAACCGTGTAACTTCGTCGGGCTAGGAGCGCCTCCGGGGGAGAGACGCCATTGTCATCCGCTGCTGTCGCTAACAGGGTAGCCCCAGATATAATTCTGGTGTTGACCTTCATCACAATCCAGCAACACGCCTGCGCCCGCTGCTGCGCCGACGACTACTGCGCGCTCGCGGTGCTCCTCCTCGTGCATGCATGTACTGAGCCCGAGAGACCACCGATGGCCTCCTACTATAATCATGCCGACGCATGCACATCACGGCATGAATTGCGTGCGGCGGATTGACGTGATGAGGCGGCGGTGCTTGAAAATCCCAGGGTCAGATGGCCTCACTTTTCAGCATTGCTCGCGTCGTCTCGCTCTATTCCCGACACGCCATGGGCCGGCATCCAGACGTGGGCGGATGAGCTGGGTCCGGGTGGCGGCTGATATCAACGCCGTGGTAGATTTGCAGGGGCTTCCCTAACCACAAGCCCGGTTTCACACCTTTGTCCAAGGAAATGGCTATATCAGTGCTAATTTCTGCTCTTCAGCTGGACTACAGCGGCCAGGCGGAGAGTCATAACCCGCTGGACAGATCGTGAGCAGTCTGTCCTGAAGGCCGCGGCAGCTGATGACCAGCTTTGCGGCCGTAACAGCGAGCACAGAATTTTCCAAGGAGCTTTCGTGCTCAGGGGCGTTGTTAGAGGCATCGGGTAGACGGCAGTCATGTCGCTAAACAAAACAACGTTGAGCAAAGAACGCTGGAACGGCACGCTGGGCGGCACCGGCTCGGGGCGCGCCGAACCGTGCTCGAGCTCCAACCATATCACGTGACTGTGAGAGCACGAGCTCGGGGCGGCATCGTCTGAATACAGCTCACCAATCATGGACAATGGACAACGCAGCCTTTGTGACCTCACTTGCACCCGTCCTTCCTTGCACCGATGCAGCAATCCTCATGACTACGACCACCTGAATCTCTGCGCGACCAGGACAAATACCGACCTCCACTCGCTCTTGCGTACTGAGCACCATGCCGCCAGACCTCAACTCTCTGCCCACTTCAAGGCCGACTTCAATCCCTGGCTCCCCGCTTTCACAACGTCCAAGACGCATCTCCATAAATGCTGCCGATGCCTCACGTCCGAGTCCGCCTTCACCACGATCGCCGTCGCTGGCATCGCTTCAGGCAGCTGCCACGATCAATGCCGGCCTACACCGCTCGCCAAGTAGAGCTTCGCCCAGTCTTGAGCGTAGAAGATCATCTCTCATGAACAACCTCACCAACATCAACGATCCGGCTGTCCCTGCGCCGGGAGAGCTACAGACAAGCAACGGAAGCAATGCGGGAAGCCCACGCCCAGCAATGAGGTCTTTTGCCTTACCAACCGCAGATCCTCACCACCAGAGACAGCCAAGCTTGGGTGAGCTGCATCAAGAACTGGAGAATGAGCAGGAAGCGCAAGTCAATCGATTGTTGCACATGATAAGATTGCAGCAAGATCAGCTGGCTGCGATTCAACGACAGCAAAACAATGCTCAGGATTCATCTCCGACCACAACTGAGCAGAGCCGGTTTCCTACTCCTCCATCGACGCTGCCCACCACGGCAGGCACTGCGATCACAGAGCAGTCTTCTCCTCGTTCTGCATCAGTCTCCCACCCTCAGCATACCCACTTCAACCGACCACACTCCCTTTCTCGGCAGTCATCGGCCAGGCTATCGACGCAGGGAACCAACAGCAGAGGCAACTCGCCAGCATTGCGGCCTCAGTCCGGCAGTCTTGGACCTCTGACTGAGGACTTTCTACTGGGAGGCACGCGGGACGATAGCGCTTTTTACCAGGCCGAGACCCAGATGCTGACGCGGGAGAACCAGATGCTAAAGTTGAGGATTCGGGACCTGGGTAAGTGGTGAAGGAAGGAATCCCGTTGAAGATTTGGCTGACTTTTATGCGCAGAACGTCAGATATCTGAAATGGGAGGCGCATCGTCGAGCGGACCCCTGCCTCACAACTCTCCGCTCGCAAGTCCACCCGCTACATTCGCGGAAGGGGCATCTGTTACTTCTACTCCGGCTGAAGTCAAGGCCGAGTGATGCGTGTATAGAAAATCTGTCTGTTCTTTGGCGAGGCGTTGGTGGATTTTGGGTCAGGGGACTGGTGAAACGAAATTTGGGAGCCGCATACCCGCTGCAGTAGTTCTCTGCGGCGACACCGATGCTTTACACGAGAAACGCCCTAACGAAGTTGATTATTATGGTAAAAATTTAAATGCGTGTTAAAGCACCGCCTCCTCCTGCAAGGCTGCTATGCATTGTTAGTTCTCACCACCATGATTGCATGATGCACAGTGATGCATTGTAGTATAATTCATCGATAAAACGTACTGCATAGTGCGGGGAGCCACCAACCAGATTGGACCCACGTTGCCGACCTCCTATATGTCGATCTTTGTGGTTGATGCTCACATGATCACGTGAGATCCGAAAGACTTCCGTGCATATACGAAACCGAGAGTGCCGAGCCGAAATCTCGGTGATCTCGAAAATTCATCTTCATCTCATCGCATCCGTTCACTTTTGCGCCGATCTGCACATCATGGCGCACGCTCCGAAATCTACTGCTCTGGCCACCAAGGCGACAGAGACTACCGTCGCGAAATCAGATTCGAAGTCGCCTTATCAGCTCGATTCCGCACAGACGCTCCGCGCTTCGACTGCTCTTCTCAAGAAAATCCAGAAAGACGAGGAAGCGAAGACGTCGACGGCCGAGAAGACAAATCTTCTCGCAGACGTCGATGACGAGGAGCCGGAGGACGAGACACCCATATGGCTCATCCTTACCACCAAAAAGCACATTGTCGACAAGAAGCGCTTAAAGCCTGGAAAGATCGTACTTCCGAATCCTTGGCTGGGGAAGGACAAGGAGGGACTGAGAATCTGTCTGATCGCCGCGGATCCGCAGAGAAGATACAAGGAGCTCATCGCCCAGCCTGGTTTCCCGCTGGATCTGGCGGGCAAGATCGGAAGGGTGATCGGGATGGAGAAATTGAAGAGCAAGTACAAGAGCTATGAGAGTCGGAGACAACTTCTCGGCGAGTATGACGTCTTTCTCGCGGATGACAGAGTGATCACATACTTGCCCAAGGTTCTGGGCAAGGTGTTCTATAAGGGAGGCAGCAAGAGGCCTGTCCCTGTCAATCTGGAAGGGAAGAAGCAGAATTTCGACGAGACGGCTGGGGAGAAGAGGAAGAAGCTGAGTGAAGGCGGGACAAAGGTCCACAAAGAAGACGTGAAGCCCGAGGTCGTAGCGAGGGAAATTGAGAGGGCTCTGGGGAGTGCACTGGTTCACCTGGCTCCGAGCACGACTACAGCTATCAAGGTGGGCACTGCGAGACAGAGTCCGGAGGAGTTGCAAGCGAATGTTGAAGCAGTGGCAGAGGCGATGGTAGAGAGATACGTGCCGCAGAAGTGGAGGAACCTAAGAGCGGTGCATATCAAAGGTCCCGAGACAGCTGCTCTGCCTATCTGGATGACCGACGAGCTTTGGGCGGACGAACAGGACGTGCTCGAGGAAGCCCCGAAGGCGAATGAAGGCAAGAAGCGGAAGCACGGCGCTTTGACGGAGGGCAGCACGGAAGAGGTCATCGAGGTACCAGGACCTGATGGCAAAATGCGACGACTCGAGAAGCCCATTTCAAAGCGAAAGAGCATAGAAGCCGAGGTCAGCGTCCCTATCAAGAAGCGGAAGAGTGAGTCTGCCGAGGACTTGGAAGCTAAGGAGAATGAGAAGGCCGAGAAGGCCGCTCGCAAGGAAGCGCTGAAGAAGCAGAAAGAGGCTGCCAGAGCGGATACTACTGCTGCAGCCTCAGAGACGAAGAAGTCTGGAAAGAAAGTCAAGGCTTGAGGTGTTTGTTGTACGTGCTGAGGCTTTCTGTCTACTTGTAAACTGCATAGCGAGGCGTTGGTGCAACATTGCGGCAAGTGCAAGATTTCGGGACAGGCTGATGGCGTTGCCTTGCGGCGTTGAGGTGATGATCAATGGCGGGTATATATCTCTACAACGGCGCTGTCCCTCTGCTCACATCTTCAAGAGTACCATCATCTTGCACTGGCTTTCTCAGTCTCAATCTGCTCCCTCAATCCCTGCAACACACCTTCCCTCTTCCTCAAATGTTCCTGCAGGCCATCCACCTGCTCTTTCACCATGTTGATCTCCTCCTGGAACTGTTTCAAACCACCCCCAGGCTTGGATGTTGGATCTTCATTTTCCAGTTCTCTTAATTCTCTTCTCTTATAATCAAGCAACTGCTCCAATTCTCTCTTCACCAACGCAGGTTTCGAATCCTCCCTTCTCCCGCCACGATCTCGTCTCCGTTTCGCGGCTTCTTCCACCCTGACCATTTTCTCTTCTATCTCTTTCAATTGCTTCTTCAACCGCACTTCTTCCCATTCCCCGTCGCGTGGTGTGCTGCTGAAATCTGTACCCTTTGGCGCGCGTTCTCCCACTCCCAAGCGCGAGAGGTATGTGTCCCCGAATTTCGCCTTCTTACCACTCACAGTGCTATCGTCGCGTTTTGTGCCCCAGCGATCCGCGGCCGTCTGTTGCGCATTCACGCGGTCGATGTTGTATTCTATCTTGCCCTGTTCGAACGTCGCGCGCAAGGAGGGAGGGACGCTCCGCGGGATTCGGTAGCCTTCATGGCGGTTGTTGAGGATGTGGAGGAATACGAGACAGGCGTCCTTGTTGATCCCCTCTTCGCTCTTGGGGTTCACGAGATTCCAGGCGCTCCGGACGTCGGTATCGGGTACGTCGAGGGAGTCGTAGAGATCGTGTAGGTCGTTGAAGGAGATGAGGCCGTTCCGGGGATTCCGGGAAGAAGTGTAGATGTCCTCGTATTTGGACCTGTTGGAAGGGGACATGTACCAGTCGAACCCGTCCTTGAGACCGCTTGATTCTTCGTCGTCGTCGTATTCTGGTCGTTCGAATCTTTCGCCTCCGCCTGTCATTGCGCGATTCGCTTGGACGAGGTATGCTTTGGATTCAGGCACCATCCAATCCGGCAGACTTTGGGGGACGTCGTTGTATTCGCCGTTCATGAGGTCGTAGATGAGCCGCATAGCGACGCAGAATTCCTCAAAGTCGAGCTGGCCATCGCTGTCGATGTCGGAGATGTCCCAGATTCGCTCGAGTTGGTCGTCGCGTAGTTGGGAATTTTTGAGGACTGAGGCGGCTTGGGAGCCACTGAGGTGGGTGCTGTTGTTGGAGAGGGAGGAGAAGATCTCCCAGTAGCGGTCGATTTCCCATTGTTCGATGCGCTTTTGAGAGGACATTATTACGGTAGCGAGGGAGATGTGTGGGAGTTGTTGTACTTGTTGGAACTCTCGGAGTTGGAGCATGTGACGTTGGCCTTGGGCATGAAGTGTGGTGCGTGCGCAAGCTGGCTAGCTTTTCGGTAGCTTCCGAGTGTATCTAAAACCATCGGACTTCCCAAAGACTTCCTCAATCTTTGACACTACTTTCTTGCGACATCCAGCATGGATTGTCGCTAGTTCGACACACGAGAGCTTCCATTTCGTCAGCACGATTGATTCTATGGGACTTGCGCAGGTTACGTCCTTCCTCGCGGCTCCTTGCGGCTGTTTCCTATGTTGCATGCAGCAAGCAGCAGTCGCCCTCTTATTATCCATCCGGCAGTCTCGACACATGTACATAGGAAGGGAAGACTCTGGCGTCATGCCGCCCCTGCTCGTGTTTCCAGCACGTGTAGCTCTCAACGGGCCCTCGTGACAGAATTCCCAAACATGTCACCTCTGAGGCGGCCTGCATAGTAAGACCTCATCTCTGCTTGACTGTCCATTATCCACAGGAGTCTACACCAGAATTACTACTAGTACTGGGCATGTACGCTCGATGCTCTTCATCCTCCTTGCCTTCTCCCTCCCTTACATCCTAATCAAGCGCCATTCTTTATGCAGAGTCTGCGTGCTAATGTTCGACGGCAGCAAGCCTTCGACTATTGCTAGGTAGTGAGTATGTTCAATCATAGCTCCCGGCCCATGTCTACTGGAAGTGCGATCCCGTTTCACATCGGTCGAAAGAAAGAGCATCGGAGGAGGAATACACATCCAGGATCAACAGTTTCTCAAAACCAAATTAGGCTGCTGCTCCATGTCCTTCCTAGGGAAATACTGTCAAAGATTCTGGAGGCGCTCGATACGGACACGGCAGCCGTCAAATCAAGTAGGCTGGCTTGCAAATCCTTCCGACACGCCTCCAATTCTGCTTTTGCCTCGATGTACCATAGCAAAGTCTTCCACCTCACTCAATTCAGCCTGGACAATCTGAAAAGACTTACAGACTACCCCAAAGTCGCGAACCGCATCCATACTCTGAACATCAGCACTCTGTTCTTTGCGAAGGACGCCACGATGCACCTGGACAGAATCCGCGTACTCCTGTCAGGCATAGTATCGGATCTCACTGATCGTCTACGCGAGAGAAACTCAAAAGAGCCCATCGAGGATGAGCAGCAGCTCGTCGGAGCAGCCGTTGACAAGTTCAATCGCGCTCTTGGCCAAGAATCCGACGGAGAATTCTGCGCGTGGATGAAATTGCAAGGCATCCTGGCAAAGTTTCCCAAGCTCCGCAACATCGTCATCGTCGAGGGTGATGAGTGGTACGTAGCCCCGTAACGACCATAATGTCGTTACACATACTGAATGTAATAGTTCAAATCTACCGAGGTGGTTCGAAGACACACCGAAGTGGTGCCAAGCAGGACTCTTGACCTTCGACCGGGACTCCGCACTCTGCGAGCTGATCAACTATGTGCACCAGGCGGCTGCGACCAACCGACTTCTTACGCACCTATGGAACACCAAGGCTCATCAGAGAACTCTCGAAATCCTCTTCCGCGCCGTTGAGAATCAGCGAGGTTGCAGCATACAGATAAGCAATCTAAAAGTCCAGGGCAAGATTGATCTGTCGAAACTACCGACCGACATTCGCACCTTGAGAGAGCCGCATTGCGATGGACTGAAATCTATCACAAAATTGGAGATAGCACTCAGTCGTCCAGTGCTCACGGAACCGGCTCCACAGCGCGACATCGTCGGCCGATTCCTCTCTCATATGCCCGACCTGACATTCTTGAGTCTAAGATTTCCATCAGCGCAGTATCAGGATCCCGTCACGCGAGCACAGCGACAGGTTTACGTGGAGGACGGACTGCAATCCATGACTTCAATCCCCGCGTTCGTCGAATTACGATTTCTGCATTTGAAGAACGTATACGTTGCCGATTTGGACCTCGTAAAAGACTTCCTCGATAGGCACAGACACTCGTTGAGGGACGTGACCATGACGAATCTGGGAATACACAGTTCGGACTGGAAACCCTTCGCTCATTTCCTGGGTTGCTCGCTATCGCTGGAAAGATTTGGTCTGTACTACACAAGGTCGCCGGCGCCTGATGCCTATCCCGATGCAGAGGAGGAGGACGGACCGACGACAGAGGAGTGGCAACATGCTGCATCACGTGTAGAATTCGGAGATGTTGCTGATGATCCTTGAATCGCGCGGAAGGGATCTATAGAGGCAAGGGTCGGGTTTTGCAGAGGTAAACATCGAACGTACGATTAAGCCATTGCAACGGAGTAGTCACAATCATGTGTCAGTCTTGCTGTAAGATATTGTTGGTCCCGTGACAGCGGTACCAGAAAGACAAGAAAGGAGCGAGGAGATCAGCTGAGGGCCAGAAATTGGACAGGCGAAGAAAAGAACGACGATGGGCAGCAAGAGTGCTCCGAGAATGACAAGTTAGTTGAGGGCTTCTATCAGCTTCATTCAGGAACAAAGTCTGCAGCGGACTGGCTTTCTGAAAGGCGCTTGGAACTTGGTTCGGCAGGTATTCAAGATCGAAGGAGAACTCCACATTGATTTGATTACTGAATTGACTGCTTGAGAAGTCGATAGATACCCGATTTGTGCTTCTAGAGTCGATGTCGAGGCACAACCTGGAATGGCCGAAGGATGGCGGATGAGGTGAGGTGCTCATCCGGAAGAGGAAAGTGCAGAAGAGACTCGGCAGCGTTGGAAGATGGAAGATTGTAGCAACCAATCACAGAGCGAGACGTGGCACGAGCGCCTAGCGTTCCTCAACTACATGCCCATGGATGACTGTCGCTTGCATACACAGCAACTCCAAACGTATCTTTGTCCTTATAACAGGCACTCGAAGTGGCGATAATCGGAGCTGGAATCGCTGGCCTCTCTGCCGCCCTCGCTCCCCGCCGGGCGGGCCGACATGTTCCCATCTACGAAAAGTCCTCTTCCAGAAACGAAGTCGGTGGAACAAACACCATCACGCCAAATGGTAGCCGTGTCTTGCAAACGTGAGGCTTCGACGCGCAATCTGCAAGAGTCATAGAAAGTCAACAGCTGAGAGGGATCCATGCGAAGGCTCTGAATCTGCTTCAAAGGCAAGATGTGTCACGTATTCCTGGAAAGTATGGAGCTCCATCGTGGCTGGTTCTGGGGCGCGATTTACATGCTGGGCTGAGAAAGAGGGCTGAAGATATTGGGGCTGTCGGCGAGTTGGTTCGACGGTTTGAGATTTGGGTCAAAGAGATGACCTGCGCAGAGTCGCTCTTTCGAATCTATTACTGGCATCCAAGCTCCGCTTGTTCCGACAGGACAGTCCGTCTTTCGAGTAGTGATACCTATGGGAAAGCTCCTCGCTGACCCGAATATCGCCTCTCTGTTCAAGCATGAAGCATACGTATACGTGTTTCCTTTCTATCATGAGCCCGGGATTGCATAGTCTAGCTATCATCTTCCCCGTATGCTCAATCTATCTCTGCTCCATGCTACTCGTCCGGGTCACGAAGGGGCTTTCGGCTGGAATATCGCGGCTGCGGTAGAAGAAGTACTAGCCGTCATTCGGGATCTACACCCTACGTTCCATGCGATTATCAGGCATGCTGGTGCAGCAGGGCTTGCTTGCTTTCCTCTCAGTTTGATAAGTGCCGTGCCAAGGTATGTGTATGTCAAGAGGCTTGCGATGCAGATGCTGACGGCGGATAGAATGCATAAAGGTTGAGCAATCCTCATCGGCAACGCAGCACACACGATGCTGCCCACTTACTCTCAAGGGGGAACTATGGCAAGCGAAGACGCTGTGGCCCTTGAAGTAATGTTCAGCAGCTTTGACACCGGATCTGATTTTGTAGAGGACGGATTGCAGCTTTTGAACGGCATTCGGCTGCCTAGAGAAAACTCTGCTCAGCTTTACAGCGAGTGTCCGTACGATGCTTTTGAGCACGCGGAAATGGCCATGGGACGTCCTGATTGGGACCGAAAGTCATTGAGTAATGTTTTGCGGTATTTCCAACGACCAGCTTTGCAAGGAGATCCGCTTCTCCATCCAGGCAGTAATCAGGTGTGCTTCCTATGGCGCTTTTTTCGCCTCAGTTGTAGCCACATACAGGCCAAACACTCTGTTGCCAAAGTCTTCAATTGCAAAGCTGAATTTGACGTTTCATACCGTAGTCACACCGATGTTACCTACTTTTGACCCTATTGTTCTCCTCAACATACATTCTCTTTGTTTGTGACTTGTAGAAGACTTTTGGAGCCATTGCACGCCCGTCAAGACTTTTCCGCCTCGCTTGCCATAGGTGTAGAGCTGCGAGTCGGTTGAACCAAGTGTTTCTACACATATACAGCGATGAGCTGAAGTCTAAGAACGATTTCACTCTAGTAGGATATCAGACATGGACGGAAATGTTGCTTTCAAAGAACGTTAGCAAGCCTACGAATTGTTGAAAACGTGGCAAAAAGATTGCAAAAATGAATTATTACATTCTACCCGTTCATGGGGTTTTGATTTGGTCAGTACGAGGGTCGAACTCGCGACCTTGGCGTTAACGAAGCCCTCAAATGATCGAGGGCCAATATTAGCACCACGCTCTAACCAACTGAGCTAACCGACCATACTTTGATGAGTAAGCGTCTGCAGTTCTTGATTATGTAGACTCAAATATCCCTCCTGGTCCGGATCGTCGGCCGCTGAGTAAGCCAAATCGTGATGGAAACCCAAGGCCCAGATCATACCTACCTTACCAGGATAGGCATGTGCAGCTCACGTGCTCCCGCTGAGACTATCCGTCAACATCATCATCATCCTGCCTGAGACCTCAGCCATCACCATCTTGACAACGCAGGGCAGATCCACCGAAACGACAAACGACACAGTAATGAGGCACTTGCGTCTCAACATGGCGTCACTGAACAGTTTCCGCCGCAGCCGCCTACGCGTTCAGCAGTGAACATGATGAGCCAGTCGATGGCGGTGCAATTGCCTAAATTGACTTTTCCGGGGCCAATGACGAATGACCGAGTGATGGCATGGTCATGTACTGTATTCTTCTACAGGGACACCCCTGCGGTATTGCTCCATCGAGGTAAACAGGCATTGGGAATCCCAATACGAACTGCGCAAATGCATTCGCGGAACGAGAGTCTTGCTGCATTTTCGCTACTTGCTGACAGCGATCAGAGCGACGTCGATGCTCTCTGCTGCGCTGTGGCCAAGCAGTGTCGAGTGGAGTCAAGCCAGATACAAGACATCCTACCCTGTTCGCCCTTCCAGCGTCACGTCGTAAATCGAGCAGCGAACGACCCTCAAATTGGCATTGGCCAGACATGCCTCGAAGTCTCCGAGCAGATCGATTCGGAACGCTTGTTTGCAGCTTGGAGCGATGTCGTTCGCTTGACCCCGGCTCTGCGCTCTCGCACATTCACAGCACCCTCTGGAAATCATCTACAAGTCACTCTTTCCGAGAACATCAGTTGGAAGTCCGTGACCTCGCCTCTCGGGGAGGTTCAAGCTGAAGAAAGGGCATCTGCTGCCGTACCAGGAGCTCAATGCAACAGATACGTCCTTGTCAGCAACCCGAACGCTCACCAGAGGACTCTGGTTTGGACCTTCAGCTACGCCTTTGTGGACAACGCGTTCCAGAATCAGCTAATCCGGAATGTACTGGCGGTCCACGATGGCGAGCAGAGTCAGACTTCACCCGGGATGAAGGAGCTACTTCGACAGATTGCCACTTTGCAGGGAGTGAGTGAGTCTGCTTGGCCGCAGGAGAGCAATGTGGAAGGTACATCATTTCCGCCCCTGCCGACCACCTTGACAACGCCTCGCCCCATCGCAAGCGCGAGGCATCGAATTCCATACAAGGTTTCAGCGCTGGAGACATGGCCCGCCGCGATGGTCTGTCGAGGAGCGCTCGCGGCGCTTCTCTCGCGTTATGCGCGCGTCTTAGATGTGTTGTTTGACGTCGTGGTAGAGCGGCCTGTCATACTTCCCACCTGAAAGTCTCCAATTGATGGACCAACGAAAAGCATTCTGCCGTGTAACGTGCACTTGAATCCTGATCAATTGCAATCAGATCTAATGCGAGAGATCCTAGCCCAGGACGCGGCAATGCACAGGTTTGAGCAGGCCGGTCTAAACGACATGGGGCCTCGCACACGCACTACAGACGCTACCATTGTTCCTTCTCAAACTGTACTGGCCGTCACTAGCTTTGAAGACGGTCAAGAGCGCAACAACCGCCTTCGCCGAGCGGTATCTGGGGATCACACCTTCGTGCCTTACACGGATCGTGCCCTCTTGCTTGAATGTCAAGTGAGCGATGGATCGATGACGCTATTTGCTCAGTATGATCCGAACGTGATGGATGAAACTGGGCTTCGTCGTTTCCTGAGACAGCTTGGTTGTATGATAGACCAGTTCCGAGGCGGCGACTTGCCTGTGCGAGATCTCGATGCCATGACAGAGGAAGATCAAGACGACATTCGCAAATGGAATTCTACTCCGCCCACGACAAGTTTGGACTGTATTCACGATTTGATCGCCAGGTGGGCAGTCCTATCACCACAGAATCCCGCTGTATGTGCATGGGACGGGGACCTCAAGTACGGTGAGCTGGACGACGCTTCTTCTCGCCTCGCTCTGCACATCGAAAGCTTCAACCTTGAGGCGGAATGCGTGATACCACTCTGTTTTGAGAAGTCTAAGTGGACGATAATCAGCATGTTGGCTGTTCTCAAAGCTGGTGCGGCATTCACCTTGATCGATCCTTCAGTTCCATTGGGAAGAATTGAAGGTATCTGTCAGCAGATATCCCCACAGTTGGCTCTTGTTTCTGAAGACCAGCGTCAAACTATGGATTCTCTCGCGCGGCGCTGCATAGCTGTGAACCAGGACTTACTCCACTCTCTACCTCCCGCAAAGCCCGGATCGCATGCCGTTTCGAAAGCACAAGATTTGGCCTATATCATATTCACATCTGGTAGCACAGGAGAGCCCAAGGGCACCATGGTCGAGCATCGAGGATTAACATCATATGCTCCCGCATTTGGTCCGGCCTTTAAGATGGACCAGAATACCCGTACTCTCCAATTTGCCTCATATGCCTACGCGGTTTGCCTAGCTGAGATGTTTGGAGCTTTGTTCACTGGTGGTTGCCTCTGTATACCTTCAGAAAATGACCGCGTCAATGACATTGCTAGTTTTATCCGGAGTAGCAAAGCGAATTTCGCGGCTTTCACACCATCGTTCGTTGGATCTATTCAACCCGAGCATGTGCCCTCTCTGGAAGTGTTGATGTTGGCAGGGGAGCCAATGACACCGGAAACGAAGAATTCGTGGGCAGGGCATGCTCAGCTCTTGAATGCCTGTGGTCAGAGCGAATGCTTGCTCTCAAGTATTTGCACCATCGATGCGGACACTCCCGATGTGCGTGTCATTGGTCGAGGCTCAGGCACTCGTCTCTGGATCATTGAGCCTTCCAACAGCGATCGCTTAGCGCCTGTCGGCTGTCCCGGAGAATTGATGATCGAAAGTGGCGGAGTTGCTCGCGGATATCTTCACCTTCCAGAAGCTGGTGCCTCCAAGTTCTACGCCAAGGCCCCATTATGGTATTCTGGATTGTGCGAACCCCGAGACTCCGTCAAATTCTACAGAACCGGAGATATGGCCTGTTACCAGTCCGATGGTAGCGTGTTACATCTTGGACGTTCAGATCTACAGGTCAAGATCCGCGGCCAGCGGGTTGAGCTTGGTGATGTGGAATGTAATTTCCGGAAGATCTTGCCTCCTGATGTCACTCCTGTGGTCGAAATCGTCAAGAGAGCCCCTCACCGCGAGGTGCTAGTGGCGTTTCTCGTTGGGCCGCTTAATACGGGTTCCTCATGCATGCCAACAGATTCCGAGGCGTTCACTGTCGACGATGCGACTGCTTCTCGCTTCAATGGGCAAATGGGGACCCAAGTGGGCCGGCACGCGATTCCATCATACTATGTCTGTCTGAAGAAGCTACCTACGACCGCAACCGGTAAGACCGATAGAAAGAAGCTCAGGGCAATCGGGCACGAGTTACTTGAGGATCGGGAACAAGATGCTCTGAAAAAGCCCGAGGAGCCGCTTCCGGACGACGGCCCCGAATTAGCCATGGCGCATCTCTGGGCTCAAAACATGCCCGTCAACGCTGACTCTATTGGCCTGCGAGACAATTTCTTCGATTTGGGTGGAGACTCCATCGTTGCGATTCGAATCGTCAACAAAGCGCGAGCGTCGGGAATGCCGCTGAAGGTGGCGGACATTCTCCAGAACCCTGTGCTTTCCGACCTTGTTGCTGTCGCTAAGCAGGAGTCGACTCAGCCGAATGAAGAGGAAGCAATTCCTGTCCAGCCTAGAGACTCGAATGAAGCAGAGCTATCGTTCTCCCAGAGGGGACTTTGGTTTCTGGAGCAGCTTAATCCCGGTACGCCGGCGTACAATGTGTCGATCGCAGGACGCCTGCGCGGGATTCTCCATATCAATGCTCTACAGGCCGCTCTTCAAGCGGTAGAAAAACGGCATGAGACACTACGTACCACGTTCAGCGAGCGCAACGGCGTGCCAGTGCAGGTCATTCAGCCATGTCGTCCGATTGAAGACACGCTACAACTGATTGATATCGCGACTGACGTGGACCTGCAAGAAGAGCTACATCGGCAGCAAGTCACTGCCTTCGATCTCCGCTCCAGACCACCATGGAGGGTGGCATTGCTGCGAATCAGTTCGGAAGAGCACGTTCTCTCTATCGTCATGCACCACATCATCTCCGATGGCTGGTCGGACGACATCCTTCGTCGCGACCTAGCAGCCTTCTACTCTGCCGCCATTGCGGACCGCGACGTTCTTACACAACTCGAGCCGCTGCCCATTTACTATCGCGACTTTGCCGCCTGGCAACAACACGCCGAGCAACAGGCCGAACAGCAGAGCCAATTGCAGTACTGGACTAAACAGCTGGCAGAAAATACTCCTGCCGAGCTGCTTATCGATAAGCCAAGACCAGCGCTACCGTCAGGTAAGGCTGGCATGGTAGGCGCCATTGTGGAAGGGCCACTGTACAAGAGTCTCCAGGAATTCTGCAAACTTCGGCAGACAACTCCGTTCGTGGTCCTACTTGCTGCATTCCGCGCCGCCCATTACCGACTCACAGGTGCGGAGGATGCTACAATAGGCACTCCCAATGCAAGTTGCAATCGCTCCGAATTGGAAGACCTCGTTGGGTTTTTCAGCAACACACAGTGCATACGAATCAAACTTGAAGGCGAGACGTTTGGAGAGCTGGTACAACAGGTGAAAGCGTCTGTCACGGCGGCACTTGCACACCAGGATGTACCTTTCGAAAGGATTGTCTCAGAGGTGCTTCCAGGCTCCCGAGACGCCTCTCGAAATCCTCTGGTGCAGCTCATGTTTGCCGTACATTCGCAGCCAAATCTCGGCGAAATTCATCTCGAGGGCCTCGTAGGAGAAGCGCTGCCTGGCACAGCGTCGACACGATTTGATTTGGAATTTCATCTGGTTCAAAGGGCCGAAGAGATACAGGGACAGGTGCTCTTCGCTGAAGAGCTTTTCGAGCCCGAGACAATTCACGCCACTGTGAGAACTTTCATTGAAATTCTACGTCGTGGTTTGCAGGAACCCGACGTTCCGGTCTCCTCGCTTCCATTGACGGATGGTCTTGCGGAGCTTCGAAGCAGGAGCCTACTCGATACACCACAGACGAGTTATCCCCGCGACTCGAGCATTGTGGATGTCTTCTCCGAGCAGGTCGCAGCACACCCACACGCGACTGCAGTGAAAGATTCGTCCACTGAAATGACCTATACCGACCTGGATCACAAGTCGGACATGCTTGCCACTTGGTTGCGTCGGCGCGGCTTCGCAGCGGAGGCCTGGATCGGCGTGCTAGCCTCGCGATCGTGTCAGGCTATTGTTGCATTTATCGGCATCCTGAAGGCGAATCTAGTGTACGTTCCGCTGGACGTGGATGCTCCCCATAACCGAATAGAGGGCATCCTATCCTCATTCCCGGCACGCAAGCTCGTTCTTCTTGATGCCGACGTTCGGGCTCCCGAGGTCTCTACCAACGATGGTATTGAGTTCGTACACATAGCCGAGACTCTTGAGCAAGTGGACCAGGGAGTTATTCCGGCGGCTGATACGCGGCCGTCCGCGACGAGCCTAGCATATGTCATGTTCACAAGTGGCTCGACGGGCAAGCCCAAGGGCGTTGCTATCGAGCATCGTGGCGTGGTTCGCTTGGTCAAACAGACCAACGTTTTGTCTCAGCTACCTTCTGGGCTCAAGGTCTCTCACCTGTTCAATATCGCATTCGACCTCTCGGTTTGGGAAATTTATACGGCGCTTCTCAACGGAGGATGTCTAGTTTGCATCGATTCAGCTACGAAAACGGACACTCAAGCTCTCGCGCAGATGTTTGCACGGGAGCAGATTCAAGCATCCATGATGCCGCCAGTGCTTCTCAAGGCTTGCCTTGCGAGCTCGGCTGAGATTCTGAAGGGCTTGTCAGCATTCTACAACGGCGCCGATCGATTCGACAGTCATGATGCGGCTCTCACTCGGAAGTTAATGTCGGGAAGGGTAGTGAATGCGTACGGACCCACCGAGAACTCTGCACTTAGCACCATTTTTGACGTACAAGCAGGTGATTCCCTGATCAACGGAGTGCCAATTGGAGAGGCGATAAGCAACTCGGGAGCGTACGTTATGGATGCGAATCAACGTCCCATCTCAAGCGGAGTGATGGGAGAGCTTGTGGTCACCGGTGATGGAGTAGCACGAGGGTACACGGACCCAAGCCTGAATCAAGACCGATTCGTCGAGGTCGAAGTTGACAATAAACGAATGAAAGCATACCGCACTGGCGATCGCGTACGGTACCGACCCAAGGATGGCCAGATCGAATTTTTCGGGCGGCTGGACAGACAAATCAAAATACGCGGATTCCGAATCGAGATGGCAGAGATTGAACACGCGATGCTGAAGCACGATGAAGTTGATGATGCCGTAGTTGTCATCAATCAGCGCGAAAGCGAGGACATAAACGCCGATCTAATCGGGTTCATCACCACGCAAGATGATACCACTGCTTCGCGAGAAGAGCATACTAGCAATCAAGTCGAGAGCTGGGGCCAGCAGTTCGACAACAACTTCTATGAGGGCATTGAGGATATCGATCGCTCTATTCTGGGCAGCGATTTTCTCGGCTGGACCTCAATGTATGACGGCAGCAAGATTGATCGATCGGAGATGCAGGAATGGCTCGAGGATACCATGCGGACAATGCTCGATGGACAGGCGGCTGGCCGGGTACTCGAGATTGGTAGCGGTACCGGCATGGTGCTCTTCAACCTGGGAGACAGGCTCGAGAATTACGTCGGGATCGATCCCTCGGAACAAGCAGTCAAGTTTGCCACGGAAAAGATGAAGGAGATACCAGGTCTTGCAGAAAAGGTTCAAATTCACGTCGGCACAGCGGCGGATATCAGCCGGATCGACACCAACCGCTCAGAGCTGGTCGTTTTGAACTCTGTGGTCCAGTATTTTCCTTCGCCGGAATACCTGTTGGAGGTTGTTGAGACCATTGCCCGACTCGGCTCCGTGAGACGGATATTCTTTGGCGACGTGCGATCTTATTCTCTCAATAGACAATTCCTCTTGACACGGGCGCTGTACAAACTTGGAGAAAAAGCGAGTAAGACGAGTCTCCAGCGGGAGATGGCTCGAATGGAGGACCGTGAAGAGGAACTGCTCGTAGACCCGATCTTTTTCACAGGGTTACGGGACCGGATGTCAGATTTGATCGAGCACGTGGAGATTTTGCCCAAGATGATGGAGGCCACAAACGAGCTCAGTGCATACCGATATGCGGCTATTGTGCATGTTAAGCGTCCGAGTGAGCCGGTGCGAGAGGTGCATGGCGTTCGGCAGGATGACTGGGTCGATTTCTCTGCTCGTCAGATGGACCGAAATGCTCTTGGTCGGCTCCTCGAGGATTGTGGCAATGCCTCTTTGGTCGCAGTCGGCAACATTCCGTACGGCAAGACGATCTTAGAGCGGCACATTTTATCAGCGCTTGAGGAAGAAGAGGAGCCAGACGCGAATGGTCAATTGGGCTGGCTGTCAATGGCTAAAGACTCTGCAGATCGTTGTCCATCGATGTCTGCTGCGGAATTAGTAGAGTTGGGCCGACAGGCGGGTTTCCACACGGAGGTGAGCTGGGCACGGCAATCTTCTCAGAAAGGCGGGCTGGATGCAATCTTTCATCGCTATACACCGTCTGCCGAAGGCGTTCGACACGAAGGCAGGAGATTCTTCCGATTCCCCAGCGACAGTGACGGGTCGACGGTAGGCGAAGCGCTATCCAATAGACCGCTACAAGGGCTGCGGAATCTACAAGTGGAACGACGGGTGCGAAATGCTTTACAGATCCAGCTTCCGTCCTACATGGTTCCTCAAAGGATCACGGTTCTCGATCGAATGCCGACCAATGCCAATGGAAAAGTGGACCGGAAACAACTGGCTAGACTGGCTGAGAGGGCTGCAGTCATACATACCACAGCCTCTCGTGTTCCTCCGCAGAACGAGGAAGAGCGTGCCCTTTGCGAAGAGTTTTCGAACGTGCTAGGAGTGGATGTCAATCCTACCGACGACTTCTTCGCCCTGGGAGGTCATTCCCTCATGGCTATGCGTTTGTTGCCGAGGGTGAGCGATCGCTTGGGCTGGCATATCCTGCTTCGCGATCTTTATCAGAAGTCCACTCCGAGGGCCCTGTACACCGCTGCAAGAGATGACGCCAATGGCAAGATCGAATCCGAATGGCCTTCGTTCATGGAGGCACACTCTCGCGGAAGCAAGAGCCGGGCGACGTTGGTTCTGGTTCATGGCTTCTGGGGCCAAGGACGGATCTTTGTGGGACTGTTACCAGTCTTGAACGAGCATCTTGATGTCATAATCTTGCACGATCCATTCTTTGGGAAAGCCGAAGGACCACGATCTCTAGACGAATGGGCAGACTTCTATCTCGAAGCTCTCCGATCGCGGCTCCCCAGAGACAGACAAGTGATCCTTGGCGGCTACTCGTTCGGCAGCTTCACTGCTCTCAAGATGGCATCCCTGTGGAAAGAGAAGTATGGCGTCGATCTCCAGTCTTTGATCCTGCTGGATCCAGCGGTCTGGGAAGCCGTCAACGTGGACGAGCTGAGTAAGGGATTTATCGATGAGAAAGTGAACTATGGACTGCGGCTGTTCGGAGGAGAACAGAGGGACTTTGTCATGAAGCACTTTGAGAAGTTTGGACCGCTGATGAATAGCCCGAGGGAGAAGCCGGAATACGGGGGCAGGGGTCTCCATATTGCTTCGAGTGAAGTGGCGCAGCAAGGAGTGCCGAAATGGTGGGCGGCTAATTATCCGAGGCTGGAACAGCGGTGTATCGACGCCACGCACCATGGACTCTTCGAGTGGGCCACTGCTGTGAAAGAGGTTGGAAAAGCCATCAATGAGCACTGTGAGAGGATATGGCAGGGGATGTAGTCGGAAAATGGAAGAGGCGACGACCTCGAGGCGATGTAGCTCGTTCAAATTGCATCAACGTTTGAGACCTAGGAATGCCTGTGAACTTCGCTTCACGGTGCAAACTTCCTGATGCTGTCACAGAAAGCTGCAACTTGATATCCCCAAGCTTCCTCCTGTTCCAAGCCTGTGCCAAGGCTGCAGAAGGGACTGATGTGGTTCTGACCCGGCATCATGTCAACTGCCAGGGACGTACGGCTCTGAACGGTACCAATCGCAAGCCATTCTTGAACAAAGTCGTCTCGGGGTTTCATTATCTCATTGACGGGATCCAGTTCACCGTTCAGGACGAACACTCGCAAGCCAGAGTCCAAGAAATCCAGGGTTTGATTTTCACGGGCGGTCCTGAGGAGACCCAGAGGCGAGTTCTGCTGTGCATCACCAAAATAGGTCCGCAGGACTTCTGCTCTGCTTGCATCTGATTGACTGAATTCGAAAGGGACAGAGAGGAGGGTACAGCCTCTCAGCCTGGTTCCGTTCCCACCGAGTAGCTTCTGCCTTGTCGATTGGAAATCTGGGTGGAGAAGGAATGTGCTACAATGGATTCCGCCCGCCGAGTTGCCCATGAGGAAGAGATCGATCGGCTCTGGGCCAAACATGCCGGCATTCTCGAAGACCCACTCCACCGACAAAGCTACATCTTCGCCACCGGATGGAAACTTTGCGTCGTGCGCATTGACCAGACGATAGTCAGGGATGACGGTCGTGTAGCCGTATTTCTGGCCGAAGAAGGATGCGATGTTGGCGTGGCATAGGTCTCCGGCGTAGCCTGGTAAGGTCTTGTTGCCTGAGACGAGCCCGCCACCGTAGAAGAACATCAGGACCGGGTGTCTGCCGTTGATGAGACTTGCATTTGGTGCTGGATAGACGTCGAGTTGCTGGCGTTCGTGTGGGCCGTAGGTGTGAGTTGTCTTGTCCTTTTGGATGGATCGGATGTGGTCGGCATTCTTGAGGAGCAGAGGCTCGTATGTCTTCATCGTCGGGCCGATGATGTCCTTGATTGCGGTGCCCAGTTCTCGTAGCTGTTCCATTGTAGTGCGCTGCGAGAGAGCTGTGACGAAGAAGACATTGATTCGTAGGCGTTGACACGAGTTATACAATTGAAGGCGCTAGTGGGAATGTGAGTGAAAGTCTCCACGTCGGCCGATGCAGTGGGCGAGGCTGACGTAAGGTGGTCGGCGGGACGTACGCCTGCCCTATTCGGATATTTAATACGGGTCGAGTTAGGGCATCTCTCCGTGCATCCGAGGTCCATCCAATCTCCTCCACCCTGCTGCCGCGAGCGTCCCTTTTCCCTTCCCCCAAACACGCCAGAAACCTTGCGGTACATCGTGGAGCACCATATGCCTGTTCCGGTGGAGGCAGCACGAGTAGGTCTACATCCTTCAACTACCACCCTGTCCTTTTCTTTCCCCTCTCCTTTTCATTCTGAACCCTTCCCGCCATTCATCAGACATGGCAGACACGACTCCCCAGACAACTGCCACCAGCAATGTCATCACCGCTACTAACCTCCCGCCCGGCCAGCCTGGCAAGCCATATGTGCTCTCAACACAAGAGGGCGAGATCATCTACATCCCGCTTTCCAAGTCGGCTACCAGATTGCTCGTGACCGGGAAAGAGACCGAAGATTCGTTCGCAGTGGTCGGAAGCAGCGGCAGCCAGGGTGACCCCATCGGATTCCACTACCATCGGGAGGCTCACGATGTATTTCTTTGCTTGAAGGGAAACATCAATATTTGGGCGAATGAGAAGTGCCGGACGATGGGTCCGGGAGACTTTGCCAGCGTGCCTCCGGTATTGCCCAATTCTTCAAATCTCACTCGTCACCTACTGATTACTTTTAGGGCACCATACATCAATATCAGATTCTGGGAGACCACTCCGAGATGGTCGGTCTTATCGTTCCTGGCGGCTGGGAGGAGTTCTTTCGCTTCATCGGAGAGCCGTACGATGGACCACTCTGGCCGGTGGATGACCAACGGAACCTGTTCGAAGTCCTGATCCCCAAGCTGAAAGCTGCAGCAGAGCAATTCGATATGGTGCCTATGCCGCAATACAAGCAGTTTGGGCCTCAGCCATGGCAAGGTGACGAAAGCAGGCTACCTGGCTCTCTCGAGCCGTACTTCCTCAAGTCTGGGACTGGACCTGCCTATGTTGCTGGAGGAACCGTCTGCAGACCTCTCATCACCACCGCCGAATCGAGTGGAAAGTTTGTCATTGGCAGCATCGAAGGCTCATCGCATCATCACGACAACGGAGTCTTCGCTCAAGGCCGACGTGTGAGATTCCAGGGCACGCACCATGCCTTTCAGGTCGTAGAAGGTGCAATCGAGTTCTCCATAGGCCCATCGCAGCCTGCCATCTTGCACGGTGGCGAGCTCATTTACGTACCCAGCGAAACGGAGCTGAGCATACGCACTCGATCACGATATGCCAAAATGTACGCTTTCTCGAGTGGAAAAGGACTGGTCGAGCTCTTGAACAGGATTGGCAATGCGTATGACCAGCCCATCCCACCTGAGAAGGCGGTGGATGTGTCGTTGGACACTTTGAAAGCTGTGCAAGGCGAGATTGGATTTGAATTGTGTTGATTATCTAGCACTACCATGACTGATGAATGACAATGACAATTGTTCTCGCGACATTTTGTGGGCGAGCATTGGCTCATTTAGGTGTACATTTGAAGCGAGCGTTGTCTCATTTCGGTATACACTTTGGATTGAGCGTTGGCTCCTTTGGGTGTGCGGCACAGCTTGACGCAGCTATCTAGGCCCTCTATGTTCACCAGCTGAAAGAAGATTCAGTCCAACCAAACTGAAACCTCACCCCATTGTGATAATAAATCCAGCGCTACTCGCACCTCACTTTGCTTCCTGCTCATGTACACGTAAGTCATTTCCCTTCCCGTATGTCATATGACACAAACCCTCACCATATGTGAGATCCTTGGCCTGCATGCTAAGGAATTACACCACACTTGCTAAAGTGGTGTTATGCCTAAGTGTGAAAAACTCTGGTCTTGGCAGCTAAGCAGAGGGGATATAAAAACACCTCAAAACCTTATGTAGATAGCCGGGCTATGAACCTTCTTTGTTAGTCAAAGCTCCCACAGCCCGCGGTCCAGTGACATCAGACGTCCGGAGCTTGTCGTCAGCTCCCCACTGTGCCATCCTGAGATCTGTGAAGATAGATCTGTGCAGTGATCTTCAGGCACGACACCCCTGCTAAGCATTTCCACAGCAGGCGCTCTTGGCCGGCATAGGTGCACACGAGAAAAATATCGCGAACATTGAAGAGGACAAACACTGAAGAGGACAAGCCAACCATGGCACAAGGACGCAAGAAATCCCTCTTGATCGGAATCAACTACGTCGGCAGTCAACACGCCCTGCAAGGATGTCACCAGGATGTCGAGAACATGCGCGAGTTTCTTGGCGCCATGGGTTATCCGAACGATGCTCGATCTCAGGTCGTGTTGCGAGACGACCGGCGCACTGATCCTCAGGGGCCGTTCTGGCCAAACGGACACAACATGATGGCTGCGTTTCAATGGCTGGTAAGTCAATGGCGGTTTGAGCGACGACTGAGTGTGCTCATATCATGTGAAGGTCTCGGAACCAGGAACGACGAACTTCTTGCACTACAGCGGCCACGGAGGCCAAGTCGAAGACACTAGTGGTTCGCGCGTGTCCGGCTTCAACGACACCATCGTCCCATTCGATTACGAACGAAACGGCCAGATCCCCAGCGGCACTCTTCATCGAGCACTTGTTACCTCTCTACCCCCTCAAAGCACCCTCTTCATCATCTTGGACTGCTGCCATTCCGGTTCCGCAGTAGAGCTTCCGTTCATCTACCGATCTGACGAGGATGGGAACGTCTCGATGCTCGACAATGTGCAGGCCGGTATGCATCTCATGGGCGCTGCTTCTCATCTGATTCAAGGCGGCTTCACCATCGACAAAGTCAGCGAGGCAAAGCAGCTCTTCGCTGGCGCTCAGGACTTCTTCAAGGGCATCATGCACAGGCCACCAGAGACGGATCAGTACGGTCTGTCTCAGGAAGACTTCGCCCAGCAGTATGATCGGGAACAGCCCAAACAGGTGATTATGTACTCTGGCTGTCGGGATGACCAGACTTCGGCGGATGCTTCTATTGCAGGCTCTCACGTAGGCGCCATGTCCTGGGCTTTCCTAGAATGCATAAAGCAGTCTGGTACAAGGCAGAGTTACCTTCAAGTCTTGACGAGCATACGACAGATTCTAGCTGGTCGGTATCAGCAGGTACCTCAATTGAGTGTTGATTATGAGCAGGATCTCAATTGGGGTATCAGGATATGAGCAGTTAAAATAAATATAAAGCCACCTTGCACATGCATATAGTCTTGAGAGTACTGCCACGTCTGCATTCATCCTCCTTCTCCTCATGTATTGTTACCTCGCATCTGCTTGCTCGCATGTTGCACATACATCACGCCGGGTCGAAGCGGCGACTTGCAACCTGAGGCCACAGCCACGCGAGTCATAAGTCACGTGCTCTGAGCGGGCCAGCCCGCAGCACAGACCAAGCTCAGAAAGATTGACCTTCAAGCTAGCCCTCCGTCAAACCATCTCCTTTTCTTTCCTCTTCTTCATACTTAGTGAGTACCTCCCGATCTCCCCCTACACTTTTGGTCTTCACTTGCTAATCTCTCCTTAGCCTTGTTGCCCCAAACCAGCTCGCGAATCGGTGAGGGCTGCAACTTGTCCTGCATTGCACAGCGCGGAGACTGGGTTGCAGTGGCTATCCCTCGGGATCGTCAGCAGCGTAATTTTTGCTGGCTACCCTTTTTACATCTTTTCATCAGTCCTCGGCTGCTTGCTGGGTGTTGGAGAAGAGTCTTGTTGTTATTGCGCGCGCGTTCCTTCCGCCGTCTCCCTCGCATGCGAGTCACCGGCGATGGCTGTGCGGCCCCCCTTCTTGTTCACGCGTGCGTGGTCCCTCGAGTCGTCCAACTAAACCAACTATTCGCCTCCCCATTCATGATTCCCGGAGCGTGCAGCGCGCAAAAGTCCCCTCGCTTTGCTGTGTGCGACTGTTTCTCCCGTGTTATGGAGAAGGCAGCGAGGATGGACAGTAATATCATGCTGGCGGCGAGGTTGCGCGGACTCAAAAGCACCGCCAGTGTCGGTGTCGAAGGATCTATTGTATCTCATCGGACAGCTGGACCAAGCACTTGTGAGCACTTGTTCCGTTGCTGCTAGAGCTGCCACTCGCAAGGGTTGGGTCGAAATTGGGCGAATCCACATTTTCCTCCGCCACGGCTGACTCTTCGAAACGGATACCGGTTCGGTGTACAGCTGTATAGATTGCAGCTGATGAAAGGCTCAGAGTCATAGCGCAGCGTACGATGAGGAATCGCAGCATCGCAGTTGCACGATGCTCTTGCCTATACCTCACATCGTTCGCTCCTCTTTCAACCAGGCCATGACCTCTTCTTCTCAAGCAGTCATTCATTCATCCATCCATTCATTCATTCATTCAAACATCCTCTCCATTTCACCCAATCATACTCTTCTTCCGCCCTCTCATCCTGACATCTTCCAATCGCCTCAGAGTCGCCTTCGCACCCTTATAGCCTTCCCCATAAGCCTCCAATACCTCCCCAAACAACCCTTCCTCCCTGGGATGCGTAGATCCAAACGCCCTCTCAAGCACATACAGATCCACAGCTCGGTCTTCCTCCTGTACAGCCTGCGTAGCCAGTCCGAAGTCTATGAGTACAATCTCCCCTGCCCCGTCATCGGCGTCGTTGCCGCCGCCGCCGCGAAGCATCATATTCGAAGTCGTGAGATCCCCATGTATCACCCCGATGGAATGTAACTTGCCCACCGCGGCTCCCACCTTTCGCAACAATGCTTTCACTTCCTCCTGCTCCTCCTCCTCCTCCTCACCCCCGGCCCTCCTCCTCCTCCTCCTTAAAACCTCCTTCACGGTCCCCGCGCCTTCAATCCACTCCCCCATCATCCATCCATTCTCCCAATCCACGCCCCAGACCGCCGGCACCGCCACGCCTTCCTTTTTACACTTCACGAGGACTCGCGCTTCGGCGAGGATCCGTTGCCGTGTAAGGCGCTTGTCGAGAGAAGGGTGACGCCATTTTTTTGCTGGGCGGATTTTGAGCGCGGCCGGGTTCGTGGGGGAGAGGTGGGTGGTTTTGTAGAGGAGGGCTTCCGCGCCTTGGGTGATGAGCTCGAAGGGTTGGAGGGAGGTGTTGAACGGTGGGGGGAGAGCGCGGGGTTGCTCGGCGGTCGTGGGTTCAGAGGGTGTGGTGGCCGGCATGATGTGGAGTTGTGAGAGCAGGAATGGGAGTCAGAATGGAGGAAGAAAAGTTCACACAAAGAGTCACGCATTGAGCTAGAGAGCTAAGCTGCACGTGATGTCGTCTCTTGCGAAGCATGTGAAAGATGACATTTGAGTGTAACTAGTCCTGTCATTCTCACTCCAGCTACGACTAATCGAATCGCTACCGATATAAACTGTGCGCTCTCGTCAAGAGGCGGCCTGGGTATCGTAATGTACACTCTCGCAAAGCACAGTCTCTTCCTCCCATCCATTCCAATCCCAAAACACCCTCGGCCGTCGAATGCAGTACGGCCGTTCCAAATCATAAACTCCCTAGGGCGCCCCTGTCCAAGAGAGTATCCTGTCCCGGTTCAATCCTCCCATATCGTCTCCAGGTCGAGATCCGCTCTCCTCTCGCCTCCGCAAACCGACCAGCGCTTTCGCTCCCGGTTACCTCCTCTGCTAAAGCCGAAGCCGCGAGGCACATCGAGACTACTTCTGCGTCGCGAGTCGTCGTCCACGTTCTCGCCGCGCTCTGCTCGTTCCGCCCTCTCGGCCGCGAGCTTCAGCCTCTCGATCCGCTCGTTCTCAATCGCCTCGCTCTCCATCTCCGGTGCGTCTTCAATGGTCTCCAGAGAGCTTATCGAGGGTGAGCGCGATCGCTGTGAGGTCGGCGTGGAGGGTATGCTGCTAAAGGAAGAGCTGCTGGCGTAGTGATGCAAAGGTGGGTAAGTTTCGTTGAAGCGCTGCGGCCCCATAGAAGGCGAATTGGAGCCCGACGACGCCAAGGACATGCTGAGGGGCACGTTCTGTTCAATCACACTCGCAGGGAGAGATGTAGGTGGAGCAGCTGAAGTACTGTTGTGGAGAGGTGAAGCGGGTCGCCGCCGTAGAGAAGACGACCGCGCGAATGGTGCAAGCATGGGTGTAGGTTGTGACAACTGATGTCGCGGTCGAATCGCGAGCTCACTATCTTCCTGAATCGACTCAATGGCACCGCCGCCGCTCGTCTCGAACCAGCTCGGCGATCGCGGGGGAGGGTTGTAGTTGCTATCTTCCTGAGGCTTGAAGGGTGAGCGTTGTCGTGCTGGAGAGCGCATTGGACTGCCTGGGGGAAGCGAGCCATTTGAAGGGGCGGAAAGCTCGAGAGATTGGGTGGCTGAGTGGACGGCGGGACTGGAATGCGCGCGGGTCATGAGGGGCGCGCTGAGTGCCGCGCCGCTGGAACGCGAGCGTAGATGTGCGCGGGGGTATGGCGAGCGGTTGCGATGGCTGCTGGTAGGTCTCGTGGAGGAGATGCTGCCAAGGTAAATTTGGAGAAGGGCAGAAGGGGCAGAGTCGGTGGAAGTGCGTGAAGCTTCGGGCCGTGGCTTGGGTAGGGCGTCGATGGTACTGCCAAGTTTGCGCGGAGATGAATCCTCATTCTCTTCGAGTGGTGACTCGGGCTCTTCAAGCAGGTCGCCGTGCGATATTGAATCCGGATCGGCGGGCGCGAAGACGTGGGTGAGTTGGTCGTTGAGCGTGACGGCGGCCATGATGACGTCTCAAGGCTCGAGTAGCCGGATGTTCAGGGCGCTCGAGGCCGCAGCGAGCCGGATGTTTGCTTGGCGACACCGCGTGGAGCGGTGCGCGTGTGTTGCAAAATCGCCGAAGACGCGGTGTGGACAGCGCTTGTGGTGAGGATGGTGAGGAAAAGAGGGGAAGAGAGTTGAGGAAGTCGAGGAAATCGATATGGAGGCAGCAGCTGACGCTAGTGCCGGACCCCTGTGCCACAGTGCGAGGGGTCTGGAGTCGTCCCTGATCCGCTCTCGACCCGGAAGCAACCTAAACCTCGTCCCTGCATGCCGCTTGGAACTCTCCTTGCCCTCTCCTCCAAGGTAGACTCTTCTCGTCGCTTCCAAACGATACCAGTAACGACTTCACAGTCACAACCGCCAGACAGCCGAAGAATGAAGCAAGCAGCAAGCATTCATCAGCCATCAGCCATCAGCCATCAGCCATCGACTATCAGGTAGGAAGAAATGGGCGGATTCGTCACACGCCGCGGCTGCTAGTCATGCGCAAGATCGGAACAACTTACTCTCCTTGGCGCCCTTCCGTCTGCCGTCCTGCAGGGATCGAGCCGTTTGCATTTACCCGCTGACTGTACTGTATCTCGGTGCGCAAGGGCTGAGGCATCAACCAGGCACGGAGCACTACATGTACCCCTCGATCAGATCCGTCTCTATCCGTCATTCTATTTTGATGAAGCAGAGAGTGGCTTACATGGCATTTGGCCTTGTCGCTCAGCCCTGTCGAACAGCCGTCAAGGTTGTCGCGTGCAACTAAATCTGAACACAGGTCGCTCGCTCGCTCGCTCTTATTAAGTTGGATTATCAAAGTTCTCTTGCGGGGTGAGATATCAGAACTGTGGGGCATGGCGTTCCTGCTGTAGATAAGGGTGTTGTGGAGAGCTCTCTGCCACGCGTTCTACACGACGGCAGAAGTTGAGCATCACGAGTCTGCTTCATATGTACATCTGTGGGTATCTTATAGGTCATCTGATGTGGAGGGAAAGAGGATGACAATGGAAGCACAAGATGTCTTGGCCCTGTGAGCTTTTCATTGCAACATGCCCGTGGTGCTACCGTACTACCGGCGAGTCCCTTGCTCTCGGTCTGATGCCGTCAGGGGCTCCTCAGAGCTGTTCCAGTCATGACTCTTCACAGCCCTATGTGAAAGCCGCCTTGAGAAGGTCCACGTTTGACCGGTCTCCTTCATCGCTGTCTCCGCCGTCGTCTGCTCCGTCCGTACTCGCTCGACTCTTCCGTTTCTTCCCAAATCCGAACACCGCCTTCTCCACCATAGCCTTGGCGCTTTGCTCTTCAATGGCCGTCTGTGCATCGATAGTGCTCTGCTGAAGAGGTGGCGGCGGAATCAGCTGGTTGTCGATAATCTGCCAACCCGATGCCCGTAGGCGCTTCCATTTCTCGGCCACCTTCACTCGGACCAGGTCTCCAGTGGCTACGGCATCCTCCTTCGAATCGTGACCTCGATCTCCGCCCGTTTGGATGGCGCGGTCGAGATGCCTTTGAGCCAGCATCCGGAGGCCAAATCGCATTGGGAGACCACGTGGATGCGGAAATAGGACGACGGTATCAACAATCGTAGGATGGCACAGACGGACTGTATTGAGGTCGTTGTCGATTGCATGGCCGATCAGAGGAGTCTTCGGTGTGATGAAAGTGCACAATAGCTCTCTTGCTCGCGCTGGACTCTCCACAATTGGAAGCTGCTTTGAATCTGCATCTTCAGGAGAGGGTCGTGGCGGAGAGGCCTTCCACTCATCGTAGGGAATCGCCTTCTTATAATGCTCATGGAAGACGCCAGAGAATCTGCTGTTGAGGTCGATGATTGCACCAACTGGCCGGACAAGTATATCCAGTAGCTCTTCGCCGGCAGGCCAAGTCACAGCAGTCAGACGTATCAGCTCCAGTCCCTTTGCTGTATAGCCCATTTCACAGTCGAAAGTCACGGCTCTCACCTCCTTGCCGCGTCGGTCTTTGGCCGGCGAAGGATTCTCCGGCGTATTGATAAAGGGCAGCGTTGCTGCAAGTCGCGCCGGGCTGCTGGTCTTGAAGACATGCTCGTTGTTTCTCGTGCATCCTACCATTCCCACTACCTCATTGCAGCACGGGTAATAAGGCTGCTTCTCCCCGGTCTCCCTGTCGGTCTTGGCTCTAGGTGGATATACCTTCCGGTTTGGATGATGAACACATGGCCCACCTGCCAGTAGGCCTTCCTCGTTGCGCTCTGGAAATACCTGAAATCGTCCCGAGCATCGATCACAGATTTCGTAATTCTGAGAGGCCTCCACAGCAGCTGCAGCCTCGGCGGCCTCTTCAAGAGTTGGAGGTACTGGGACGTATCCAAACGCAGCAAGCGGCTTCTGATCTGCAACGAGTTGCGGTAGGATTAAGTGCTCCTGCTCAGGTGGCAGATCCGTATCGATGCGCTTCCCCTTGCTTGGCTGCTTGGGTTCATTCGGGCTAAGGGATGATTGAACATGCTTGATCCAATCGTCGATCTTCATTTTCCTCAGCGAGGCGATGCGCTGCTTCACCACATTCGCATACATCGTCTTCTGCTCGCGCGCAAGCTTTTCTTCCTCATCCAGAGCCAGCTTGATGAGTTTCTGCTCGCTCAGAAATAGAAGGTGTTTCGACTCGAGACCATCTTGCTCCTTTACGAGTCGATTCAGTCTGACCATTTCAGCGTGCAAGTGCTTGAGGTACAATGACCTCTTCTGGTGACCAGCTGGATCATTGGACACCAAACGTGGATTGAGTGACTCAGCCTTCTCCGGCTCTGTGGACTTTTTGGCATTGGCGTTTGTTCCTGTTGCTGCTGTCTCCGGATTGGGGCCAGGAGGTGACGTGGCCTTGCCGGTTGTGGTCGGCGGAGGAGAGACCGGCTTCACAAGGCTTGATGGAGTTTTGGCGCCGCTGTTTGCGTTGTCTGGTTTGGCGCGAGTCTCCGCTAACTGATTGCGAATCAGGTCGGCTCGGCTTGGCGGTTTGTCTGCGAGACTGCCGTAGGTGACCTTCCGTCGCTTAGATGCAGGCTCTCCGGCCTCATCTGTGCTCTGTCTAGACTTTGCAGTCCCAGTGGAGATTGCTTGTGTGACCGTTGCTTTCTCCTCGGGTTTGGTGTCGTGTGCATAGATGCAGTTGGTCAAGACACATGCCTCGCCCTCAGGGCAAGGGATGTTCTTGAAGAGAGTAGTCGGCGTGAAGACCATGGCTGCTGGTTTATGTGTTGGATGTCAAATTGGGGGCATGTATCTGAGACCGATTCGTAGGTCGATTGATGTTTGATCTCGCCACGGCAGCTGCCGTCCGGATTCGTAAGGAGCTCAAGTGCTGGTCGCATGTGACTGGAGGTGAATAATAGCTTTAGTACTGTCGCACGCAAGTTGCTCGTGGCATAGCTTTGAAGCTCCCGCAGGTCAGTATTTGCTGTTCTCATTCGTAACGTGAAGAGCGAGAGCGAGATGGCATGACGGGGAAATAGCGATAGAACAAAGGAGAGCGAGGACCCCATGTGCTTACCCGATTGCGGTTTGTCTTGTCCGCCGTGGCACTGGTGTTCCACTTTCAGAGAAGCCGAGTGAGATGACCCGCGAGCCGGTTCATCATTCATTCATTCATCTGAGTGAGAGGGGTGGCGCGGATATAGAGAGACGCATGTCGGGAGCGGGAGGATGGCAGGCGCTTGTGACAAAGCAGAGTCGCGAGTGAGGTGAGCGGCGGGACGGGACGGGAGTGAGCTTGGCACTTCGGGTCGGCGAAAGCCGCGAAAGTCCGACGTGAGGCGCTTTACATCATCACCACACGAACACTTGACGTCGCGAAACCACTGAAGTCTGTTCCCTCTTTTTCTTCTTGTAGGCGCGCATAGTCGCGCATAGAACGGCGTTGTAGGTGTCTTGCGCATTCCTTGCCTGTCCACGCTCACAATGGGAGATCACGAGCAACCCAAGGCCGAACACCTCGCCGTGTTAATCCACGGGTAAGTCCGCCGTGCCACCCAATTCACGCGCCAGCACGCCCTGACTGGTATCGCAGGCTATGGGGCAACCCGAACCATCTCACATACCTACGCGATACCCTACGGAAGCAGTACTCAGAAGACGAGCTGCACATCCTAGTAGCGAAGAGTAACAGCGACAACCAGACTTACGATGGCGTGGAAGTGGGAGGCGAGAGGATAGTCAACGAGGTTGAGCAGGAGCTGTCACGGCTGGAAGAGAAGGGCCACAAAGTCACGAAGATCAGTCTCACAGGATACTCGTTAGGCGGCCTGGTTGCGCGTTACGCCGTAGGGCTGTTCTACAAGAATGGCCTGTTCGATCGCATACAGCCTGTCAACTTCACCACTTTCGCGACACCGCACCTGGGAGTACGAACGCCCAACTTGGGATATCGATCGTACGTCTGGAATTTCCTTGGTGCAAAGACGCTGAGCACGTCAGGACAACAGCTCTTCCTCGTGGACGATTTCCGTGGCACGGGACGAAATCTCTTGTCAATCCTCGCAGACCCGAACAGCGCTTTCGTGAAAGGTCTCAACCTTTTCAAACACAAGTGGCTCTATGCGAACACTTTGAACGATAGATCAGTACCTTACTATACCGCAATGATGAGCCGAACAGATCCCTACCGCGAATTGGACAAGATCGACGTCCACTACCTAGAAGGCCAACCTCCGCCAGGCGAAGTCCTACTCGATCCGCAAAACCCAGTCTCTCCCAAGAAATCTCCCGACGAGACCATGACCTTCTCCGAACGCTGGCGAACAGTATCCCAACGCACAATCAACAATCTACCCTTCTACCTTATCCTTTTCTCTGTACTCCCGCTGGCCCTTCCAGCTTTCATGATCAACGCAGGATACCAGACGTACAAATCCGCTCAAAGAGTCCGGCATCACGAATCCGGTAAGGCTTTCAAGCTGGATCGCTATCGCTTCAAACTCCTCGAAGAAGCACAGGCAGTCGAAGATCGAGTCTATGAACGTCTAGCGGGTCAACAGCCGGAACAATACCTTCCCACTCCAGAATCAGAGTCGCAATCAACATCAGAGACAGGATCCCGCAACAAAGAGACACTAGAGCTCAGCCGTCGGGAATCCCACAAAGAAAAGAGTCCTTTCCCAATCTTGGCCCTAAAGCAGGAGCAATTCGATATGATTGAGAATTTAGATACTTTGGCTATCACAAAGTATCCGGTTCATATTCACAAAGTACGACATACACATGCTGCTGTTGTTGTGAGGACGCTGAAAGACAGTTTCGCGGAAGGGAAAGTGGTTGTTCAGCATTGGGTGGAGAAGTTCGAGCTTTGAGAGCACACAGCAGTTGAAGTGTAGAGGCAGAGATAGAAATTGGTCGCGTGCTGGATAGATGTCCGTTTCACGCGGGAGATAACAGAATCAGTCGAGAACATAGACGGCAGGATAGTGAAAACAGTAAATCTAGACTTCAAAGTAGAGGGATGTATTGAGTTACTTGCGGCAGAGCCTGCAGGCGCTACGCTAGCCTCAAATCATTTGGGAATGAGCTGTTCAGGCCTCGCCATCCTCCGGCAACGGCATCAACTCCTCAGCTTCCTCCTCGAATGTGCCCGACGGCACCTCATACAATCTCATGACAGACTTGTTGGGATCCTTGACGAGAACGAACTTTCCATCGCCTTCTTTCATGACCATGTCGACAAAGGTACGGACAATGGCCCATCCGTTGTTGAGATTGAGGTTCATCTGCGAGGCGAACTCACGTGGCTTGTAGCCGAGAACGCCCAAGATCACATGCTCGTTCGTGGACTTGGGGTTGGTGCGGCTCACGAATCTGGAGATAGGTTAGCGGACTGCAGTACTTTGCTTCAATATTCTAGAATGAGAATGACTTACCCAAGCTTCATGAGATCGGCCTTCGCAAGAATAGACTGGGTGGTCCATCGAGCCAGCTTGCAGCTGTTGTTCTTCATCTCAGTTGCAACGACAGCACCACGCTGACTTGCAAGCTTGGAACGCCAGTCTAGGGCTCCACCCGCGCCTTGAGCCTTGTTGTCGAACTCGTTGAGGGCGTGTATGGTAAGGAGTTGGTCCTCGCCGCTGATGTTGTTCTTGACCACGGCATCCAGCTCGGAGCGAACGATGAGGTGGAGCGGCTCCGAGTCAGCTTCCAGAGAAAGATCGAAGCGGCGGTACTTGTAGGATTTGGATGCTGGTGGATCAGTCTCCTCGTCTGGGTTATAGAAGGGATGCTCGTGGTTCATGTCGCGACGGCTGGTGTCCGACTCTTGAACGACTTGCAATGGGAAGACGTTGTTGATGTGCGTGGCTTCTTCCTTGAGAGCACCTGGGCTGTTGATCTGGTCCTTGTTACCCTCGCTGATCTCTAGAGGAGCGTCGGCTGCGTTCTCGTTGACCGTGACCATGTCAAGGCTGCTACCTTCACGCTTGTCGATGAAGATCTTGTTGCCCTGCTTCAGAAGGATGATATCCCAGCTGTACACTGAGCGCGGCGCGCACATGAGCATGGAGAGGATATTGTCTGTAGCGAAAATAGAAGCTTCATCCTTCTCGGCCAGCTCTTGCATAACGGGGTCCGACGAGGTGGTGACATTGTAGGCGGCGCGGTCGAGGACGGTCAACTTTCGCATCGAGGTCGGCGCACCAGGCTGCTTATCGTACGAGCGATCGTAGTAGTAGAGGAAGCCATAGTCGTCCAAATCCTCGCCCTCGCCAGTGTCCAGGTTGAGCTTGGAGAGACGGTTGAAATCGATCTCCTCGAGCAGCCGCCAGCTGTCCTTGGGCTGCACTGATGCCTCCCGGTTTCTCTGTGGCTTATCGTAGTCCTTCCATCCAAAGCGACCTCCTCTCCTACCGCCTCGGCCACGGTCGTAGCCTTGCTGTCCTCCTCGGCCACCTCCCACGCGCTGGAAAGTGCCACGAGCTCCACCACGCTGTCCTTGCGCTCCACCGCGCTGACCGCGTCCTCTGAAGACAGCGCTTCCACGACCGCCGAATCCACGCCCGCGAGTTGTGGTCTGCGAGCGGTCGACGAGGGAAAAGGTGCTCTCTTCGTTTGTTCCCTCGATATTGAAAGCCGTCTGCAATCCACCAGGACCAGCGCCGTATACCTGGTCGCGGAACCGGTTGGCAAAGTTCGACCTACCACCTCTTCCCTCACGATCCTTGCCCTCGCTGGTCCAGTCCGCCATGCGACCTAGCTTGTCGCCCTTGCTGAATGGAGTGTAGGGAACGCCATTGAGCGTGGTCTCGGTCGTGGTGGGCGGTCCCCACTCGCCGGTGAGCGGTCCCCACTCGCCGGTGAGGGTGTCGATGGCGGCGCTGACATCCTTGAGGGAGGCCGTCATCTTGAATATCCTATATGTGCTGAGACGGTGTTTGGAGGTCGAATGTGAAGTCGAGGTCGGCCCGGAATAATTTTGAGATGCCAGTCTTGGCAATGTGGCGGGTCGTGCGCTAGCGAGCATCCCTGCAAACTGACGCATGTGCCTTTCTTCATATTAATGAGCGAACATCTTTCATTCCTACTTGATAATGGCATGGAAAGAACTGCAACATGACCAACTGCAGATGATCGTCAACTGATACACGACTGAAGTTCTGCATTGTTGTGCAGTCTTGATCAACTATTCATTTTCTGTCCCTCACGCAACAACGCTCCTCTCGAGGACATCGACACCAATTCAAGATAACATTATCTACACGCTCGACGTTCCACTTGGGACCGGGCTGAGAAGGAACAAATGCGCCAGCCTATACTGCAAGGCATGAGCGTAATCTCGAGGCTGGCAGTGGGCTCGGTTTGTGGAACAGGAACCATGAATCGCCTCTAGACACTCCAATCTCACAGCTCGGGTTCCGGCCACTGTCCTTCAGTCACAATTGTCATGACACCCGTTCGTACTCTGCTGGTGGTTTTCTATAGCTATCATCAGCACAGAAGTCCCCAGCGTGGGATGAAGAGCCTGCATACTTTCAACTCTTGATGCGCCGGACATTCTTGATCATAGAACCGATGATCGTCGTGATCCTTGAATATCGATTGCGACGCAATCGTGTAGCCTTCACTCAACGGCGAACCGGTATTCAGAATCTTTCGGGAGACATTGCTGATGATGTAGGGCTGGCCATTCTTCAAGTTCGTTAGCAAGGAAACGAAACACCACGACCACTCTGAAGAAGTTGTGGTACGTACCCTCGCGGCTTCTTTCCTGAGCACCTCATAAGCCTTCAAGACGGCTTGTATATCCTCCTCCTTGGCGACTTTGAACATGGTCAGTCTCTTGACGTAGTTGTTGCCCGTCATCGTGGATGAGAATCGCATAAAAGAGCGGACGGCATCATGAGCTCGAGGAGCTCGTATGCTCGATAAGAAGGACTGCATTTTGATGGTATATGGTCACCCGGACGAGCTATGGAGGGAGGCACATGAACGCTTCACAGCTTGGAGAGGAGAAACGTTTCTCGCCGAGGGTGCGGAGCTTCTCGGATTCGGCTGATTGCAGAGGACGGAGAATATCTTATTTTCTCTGAGCCTCTTTTCTATCACCTTGTCCTGAATATCAGCAATGAATGCTGATTCTGAGATTTATGAGACCCAAATGACTATGAAAAAGCAACGGAGGATTGCTGCAGAGAGTCGTGCAACATCCGTAGGCCCTCGCAATTCTGTTGATTGGTCTTTAGAAGACGGAAACTAGCGGAAGACCGCATAAAGGGCGACGGAGGGCGGATCCGAGTTTCAAACGCGAGCGCCTATTTCACAAGGTGTTCAAACAAGATGCGGGCGATAGATCTGGATCGCGGAAGTCACCGAGTTCAAAGACTGGAAGAGTTCGCCCGGTCAGAAAGTGCTCCGAATCGACAATAGATCTGTTCTCGTCGTCCAGACCTGGAGAAAGTGCTTGGTTTTCTGACAGTAATTGGACCGCAAGCTGCGATTCGGGTACCTCCTTTCAAGCGCAAAATGGCGCTTTGGAGAATGGGTTGCTGCAACAGCTGGTCGAAACGGAACAGTCGTAGTAGCTGACGGTTTCGATGGAGCGGCCGTAGTACTTGTGGTATCTTCGTCATTTGAGAGTAGGGCCCATATCCTGCGAAAGCTTGGACAAAGAGCTCCTCGAAGGCTACGCTGCGTGGCTTATGGCGTTGAGGTCAACGTTGACGATTGAGAATGTTGGATCTTCGAAATAGACATCCGCATCAAGAAATTTTGTTTTCTTGGGTCAGCAGGGGGAGAAGCTTGTGATATTGTGCCATCTGTTTAGGATCATTAGTCTGCTGTTTGGTATATCGGCAGAATATGATGAATATCTGCATTGGTGGAAGATCGCTGAGGACCAACTCCATTAGCCGCGCTCCTTTTAGCAAGCGCGCGAGTTTTTCGTGCTCTGTACGCTTTTGCCCCGCCTGTTCCATCGGCATCGATAGACCCGTCGACGGTGTGCGACTCTAGGCCTTTAGTCACGAGCCGAATATGCATCATTTCGAGGAGAAAGAGCTGGCCGGTTGCACTGAGGTAGGCAATGTTCCTTGCTACCGATGTGTCCTTCCTGATCAGTGCGTTTTGTACTTCTTCTCGCTTTTGCGCCAGATTCTCGAATTGGGAGAATATATCGCCCAACGCGATGTAACGATAGTAGTAGCCAATTCAGCCTCTGTATGTCCGCCTGATATCGCCACCACGCTTTTGGGTGTCCTTGCAGCTGATAGTAATGTATGTCTGTCTCCTTATCTGACGGCTCCTTTCTCTTGAATACCGAGATGCGATCAAGGTTTCCCGAGATGCGTTTGGTTTGAAATAGCCAATCCGGTGCCGTGTGGTAGCCGCCCAGTCGTAACGAGATGCTCCGGTATTGTACTTGACTGTGTGGTATGCCCGTCTTACAGCGTCTCAGACAGCCGTGCATAGTTGGCCTTCGCGGGCGGCGCTACATGTCGAGTCCTTGTGGAAACGAAGATGTCCGTCTGAACTGCCGAGAGCGCTGAACTATTCATAAGAAAGGCTAAGGCCATCACACTGATCAGGGATCGGTGGTATTCCGTTGGGCCAGGGATTGGCTACGATAGTGGGAAAGGAAAAATCAGAAGGGGGAGTTTTCGGATCTGGATCAGCGAGACAATCGCTAACGTCGACAAGTCCATGAGGACCTGAAAGCAGGCACAGAAAATTTGCTGAGAAAGCCGGAAGGACTACGCTGAGTCGCAGCGTTGCGGAGTATTAGACGCGGTTGCAGCTCTTCGAAAACATCGAGTACGGCTCAAGTCCAACTTATGTAAAGAGCTGCAAGGCTTCACGTTCTCACAACCCGCCAATTCGGCCGCGAGGCGTCTCGGAATTGGGGCTGGATGTACTGTGCAATTACCAGGACGAAGCCTTGAGGACGATAGCTTGGATGGAAGGTTGCAGTTCCATCGCCCTTCCATATGCAGAAACTAAGTAACGACGTCAATGTAGCCTTGAAGCACCAGAATAGAGTCCCAGAGATCACCATCAAAGATTTGGAAAATGCGCGGATACTGCCTGAGTCCTCGACATGCGCACTGATAATCATCGGATACTCGTTCGAATGCTAAGTGATTTCATCTCAGCCCCTGGAGCGCAGTTGGATCCAATCACTGTGTTGGTCTTGCTTGGAGAGTTGGTCGGCGCTGTGCAGTTGCTACTAATACTGTGAGAAGTGTTTGGCGCCGATGAGATGGCTAAATTCGGTGTCTTTTCTGATGTAACTTCAATCGTGTATGGTAAGAGCCATGTATTTGGGGCAGCAGATGGACTGAACACATTTTGTATCGAGAAATTGGATAAACGCTGGAATCAAAGCCTGTGACCTTGAAGTTGCCAGGAGAGAGGGAAAGGAAGAGGAGGTGAAGTGGTGTCGGAAGAACAAAGGCGATGGCATTTACGCTTAGTCACCGGCTCTGATAACCACGCTCAGTTAGCGGCCCTGATATGCAAGCTTAGTCATTAGCACGAAGCCATATCGGGAGATATTCAGAAGGCAATCTTCCACGCCTTCTATCTCTGCACTCATAATTCCTCTCAGACGACCTCTTTCCATCGATGGGAACAGGTGATACGGGACGTGGACGATGGGGTGGCGCGACGAGGCGCGACGAGGCGCGACGCAATATGATAGGCGCCGAGAGAGACCCGCTTGACGCTATGCAGGACAGGCTGACAGGCGAATCAGAGTGGCGGGATGCATCGTGCATGTGTCGCGCAGAGCGGGATGGTGTGTGCCGGGCGCTTGCAGAGCACTACCACGATAATACTGCGGACGCCTCAAGCCTGAGGGCGCATCCAATTCTTGGCCAGCGGCGGCACTTGGTGGGACACACTTCACTTCTCTACGACTTCACCTTCACCATCATCATCATCATCATCATCATCATCGTCATTGTCATCATCGAGAACGACATCGCCCTCTTCCGCCATACACTGCGACCTCTTTCTCATCAGCCCCGGTTTCTGCTTGCTCAGCGCAGCCCGGCGCATCCGCGACAGCAGTGCTGCTGGCCAGTCTGGTTAGAGTCCATATAGACATGAGACCGTCTTTCTCCGCCCTACTGGCCCTGCTACATCTGGCCTGCGCCGCGAATCTGGAGGAAGAGACCCAAGCCGGAATCGACCCCAACGCCAAGGCCTCCTACTTCGTCCTGCACGGCTACGTCTTCGCCCTGAATGTGGTGGAGAATGGCGATGTCTACTTCCACATGAACGCACCCTCCTCGCATTCCTGGATGGGCATCGGTTTCGGAAGCAGTATGACCAATACGCGCATGATAGTCTCTTATCTGGCGGAAGATGGCCACACTCTCATCAACTCATGCCGCATGGCTCACGGCCACTCAGAGCCCGTACACGATCCAGATTGTATCATCGAAGGCGTCTCCAACGATACATATGCCCCTTACCACAACTCTCTCAGCCCGGATGGCATCTTGATCTCCCATGCAGTCTGCCGCAACTGCTCCACCTGGGCCAACGGCTTCATCGACACCAAGAGCACGGCGGCGCCATTCATCTACGCTTTGGGTCCGAATGTCACCCTCAAGTCAGACTCTCCGACTGCCGACCTGCGCGTGCACGAGCTTTACTCAGGTTTCACTCTTGACATGACCAAAGCGACCAACTATTCTGGCTGGTATGGCAGAGTTCCGGCGCCTCAAGACCCTGGCCTGCAGACCGGACAGGGCTTCTGGGCTTTTGCAAACTACTTCTCCTCCAGTGCGTACGGGACAGGCTCACTGGCGGACTGGGCTCCGGCTGCTCATGCCGCCTTCATGTGTGTCGCTTTCCTTTTCATCTTCCCACTGGGAGCAATATCGCTACGACTGGTGCGCAGAGCCCGGTTTCATGCCATGTTGCAAATGATTGGATTGGTTTTCGTACTCATCGGATTTGGTCTTGGAATATATGCTGCTAAGCTCTACAACAAGGTAATAAAATTGATGCACCATATGAGTCTGATGGAACTAACCAAGATTCAGTCCAAACACTTCAACTCCGTTCATCAGATCATCGGTCTGGTGGTCTTCGCAGGACTATTCCTCCAGATCGGCCTCGGACTCAGCCACCACTTGATCTTCATGCGGTCAGGCACTCCGACACCGTTGGGCAAGACTCACCGCTTTCTGGGAATCTTCATCATGGTCTTGGCTGTTGTCAACGGAGGTCTGGGGTTCGACTTTGCCAACAACCCAAGCACCGCATATGCAGCAGTTGTCGCTGTAATGGCAGTCCTTTTCGGAGCCCTGACTTTCTGGGTGTGGACGTACAACCGCAAACACGTCTACAAGCCCGAGAAGACCAAATTTGTCGAAACTTATCACGATCAGGAACCGCAAGGAGAGTACGAGATGCAGCAAGCACCGTTCGCGAGTATGGGCCATGTCCAGACTCCACGGACCCCTTTCTTCGGGCAGCCGAAGTGGGACGATGATCCGGAGAACTACCGTGATCACTTGACGAGAAATAATACGGCATATAATACCGGCGGTCAGGAGAGTCTCTATACTGACACGCCTGCGTCGGAGTCGAAGGAGAATCCCTTCAGGACGAAATGGGAAGCTGTGCCGTTAAGATGATGGAATGTTCACGGGTTTGGATAAAAGCGCAATTTCTTGCATACTACTATCATGGCTGACACAGTACATGTACGATCTAATGATGATATCTATCGAGATTTCTCTCACTATTACTGTCACTTGGAATCTGCATTCCGCGGCCTTGGAATCACCCCGTCAGCCTTAGGTTGCAGGTCTTTCTCCACACCGGATCCACTTAGGCGCATGTAGCAGCTTCTCGGACTGAACCAGCGCTTCAATCGCTCACAATGCGATGCTCACGAGCTCAATTCATCAGCAGGCAGGAAAATGATACATCTTATCTTGCCAACATTGACCGGCTAGGTCGGCACAGAGCTCTCGCGTAAGGTTGGTACAAACTTGCATTCTGCACGACACTAGCTTGGCCGATGTAGGCGCTATTTTGCTCCACTAAACTGTGAGTCGAAGTTCGCCTCTTCATTCTACTACATCCTTTTCCTCGGTGTGTCAGCATATGAGTATCTTTTGTTTCCTCATGTTCCGGTTCTGAACTGTGAATGTCAGCCATGGATCAGAAGAAGAGCGCCACATCAACGCCAACCACTGTCACAACAGAGCCTTCAGAAGAGGGAAAGATATCGTCGCCGGGGGCGAGTATCACACAAGATGGAACTGCTCGACTCTCACTCCAACGAACCGTCTCCGGGCCGCCTTATACAATCTTCACCCCGAGAGCGAAAATGTTCATCGTCATAGCAGTTTCCATCTCCTCGCTCATTTCTCCTTCCGGCGCTACGACTTTCTACCCGGCTCTGGACACCATTGCGGCGGATTATCACGTCACTCCTACGTTGATTAATTTGAGTCTGACGACTTATATGGTACGATTGATTGCATCTTCCAACCCAGGAGAAGGGGGGTAGGGGGAGAGATTTGGCTAATCTTGCTAGATCGCCCAAGCTATTGCTCCAGCTCTCATTGCTGGCATGTCCGACCACAATGGTCGGAGACTGTCCTACATGCTCTGTTTTGTCATTTTCCTCCTCGCGGATATCGGGCTAGCGCTGCAGCGGAATTACGCTGCGCTGTTGGTCTTGCGAATGGTGCAGGCGTTTGGGTGTAGTGCTGCCATTGCCCTTTCCAACGCCGTGGTAGCGGATATCGCCACTTCGGCCGAGCGAGGGAGGTATATGGGCTACGCGACGGCCGGTCTCCTCTTCGGTCCGGCTTTTGGTCCCACGATTGGAGGGTTGTTTGCTCAATTCCTGGGTTGGCGGAGCACGTTTTGGTTCTTGGCCATTTTCGCTGGATGTCTGTTGATCGTCTTCGGCTTGCTTTTCCCGGAGACTTGTAGGAATGTTGTGGGGAATGGATCGATTCCTGCCAAGGGCGTCAATCGGTCTTTGCTGGGATATCTCCAACAGAGGAAACATGGACAGATGGATGGCGGTGGTGGTGGTGGTGGTGGTACACTTCCTCCGACTCGTCGAAACGGAAGCGGATTCCCGAATCCGCTCAACACGCTCAGGATCCTGGCAGATCGTGTCAGTGGGCCCATCTTGCTGTATAATGGATTCTTCTTCACGGGCATGATGGTCGTGACCGCGAGTATTCCCACCATGTATCAGGAAATCTACGGCCTCTCGGAACTCGACATTGGGCTCTGCTATATCTCCATGGGTATCGGTTCGCTGGTCTCGACGCTCACGATGGGCCATGTGGCGGATTGGAATTTCCGTCGACATGCGCGTCGTCTGGGGTTGGACATCAAGAAAGGTCGTCAACAGGATCTTTCCGATTTCCCCATCGAGAGGGCGCGCTATGAAGCTGTACTGCCTGGGCATATCATCGGAACACTGGCTTTTATTGTCTATGGATGGACGTTGCAGTTCCACACCCATCTCGCGGGTCCGGAGGTGGCATTGTTCTTCATCGGCTTCGGCGTCTCGACTGCCTTCAACATCACAAACACCCTCCTCATAGATCTGCATAAGGACAAGCCTGCCACGGCCACTGCAGCGGTGAACTTCGTCCGATGTCTGATGTCGGCGGGTGGAGCTGCGGCTATTATACCCATGATCAGAGCGATGGGAGCGGGTTGGGCGTTCACCTTGATTGCGTCGCTTTACGTAGTGCTGATTGGGGCGGTGGTTTGGTTCATGATCAAGGGGCAAGGATTAAGAAAGATACAAGAAGAACAGCGGAGAACAAGAGAGGAAGAAATGAAGCGTGAGAAAGGTAGAGACCAGGACCTAGAAGGGGGCAAGTCACCCGTCGACGACAGTCAGTCGGTTTCAGTAGAGAAAGCAGAAAGTATCAAGGAATAGACACGTTGTACTATAATATCTTGTACGGGGCCGCCGATTTTGAGATTCCGACAATTGCAGAATCGAATTGAACCCAGCAATCTTGTTGGAATGGTTTCCGGTCCAAAACGTTGAAGCCCAGTATTCTCCTGGATCGAGGGATTGCATCTGTTATTCGTCCAGATCCGGTATCCAAGGTGGAAGTCCCTGGTCTACCCAAACATGCCCCGATGGCTATATATGATGGAATGGTCCGCCGACAGATGTGTATAGTATTGTATCTGCAGACATGCATTGCGCACGTTAGGCATTATCGAAAATGGGAAAAGGCGTGTCGATCTACGTCATAGATAGCTGGCGTTGCATCCTGCAAATTCGTGCGTCTCGTGCATCTCGTGCAACCATCTCGTGCATCTCGTGCATTTCGTGCATCTCGTGCATTTCGTGCACCTATGTTGACAGTGCAGCGTGACCGATATTGTACTACTGTAAGCCAGCCTGCTGTCAAACCCTGCCAAGCCGCGCTAAGCCGACCGCGGATTGGTGCGGAGAAGGTTGATATACTTCGTAAGGTAGGTAATGAGATTATTAGTAGCTACGCCTGGCTTACGTCAATCTCGACGCCCTCTTAGTACGGTACGGTATAGAACGTATACTGTTCACGCTAGACCTAATAGAGACGTGCCCGAGTACAGTACTACTGTACATCGACAGGGATCGTTCCTCCAATCACCGCTGTCAAAGCATAGATGCCCGGGATGCAGGTCGCCAAGGCCGCATCCTCCTGCCGAGCGGCAATCCAAGGCGGGGAGGGGAAGATGGAGGGCAGCTTTTGATATAAGCAGCGAGGATACGTTTCGATATCCGAAGAAATGGCACGTACATTGTTAGGCGACGACGACACCATTCGCCTGTTTCGAGGCCTCGCGACATCTCGACCATGCACGCCCAACTGCTTGCCTACGCAGCCGTTCTCGCCATCGCAGCCAAGGTCATCTATACCTTGTATTGCCAACTCGCCTCACCCTTAAGAGACGTCCCTGGCCCTGCCGCCGCCCCATGGACCAAGCTCTGGTACTTCCGAAGCATCTGGAGAGGCGACGCTCATCAAGAAAACATCGGCCTTCACCGCCGATATGCTACTCCAGGTCAATTCTACGCCCCCATTGTCCGCCTGGGTCCGAACCTCTACTCCATCTCTCAGCCCGACAAGGCCGTCTATGGGATCGCTAGCAAGATGGAAAAGAGCTCTTGGTATGAAGGCTGGAAGCACCCAAGCCCCGAGCGATGGACCATGTTTCCCGGCCGCAACATTACGCGTCATGCTGAGACTCGACGAAAGTTTCAGTCCATGTACTCGATGAGCTCGTTGCTTCACTACGAGCCGCTGGTCGAACAGGCCCAGACGGTCTTCCAGCAACGTCTGGTCGAGATTGCAAACAAGGGCGTCGCTGTTGATATGCACCACTGGCTACAGTGCTACGCCTTCGATGTAATCGGTCACATCACCTTTGGGCGACGCTTTGGTTTCCTCGATGATGGGCAAGATATTGAGAATTGCATGGCGAACCTCGAGACGACGATGATCTATTCAACGCTCGTCGGCGTGTATGCTTGGGCACACCCGTATCTGTACAGAATTCTGGAGAAGCTGCCTGGATCGGGCGCCGCTGCACGGAACTTCCTCGTATCCATTGTACGCAAGAGGATAGCGGAGAGGCAAGCCCTACGCCGGGAAGATGAGAAGAGCGACAGATCTCGAGTAGTTGAAGCTGGCGCGGCGAGAGATTTCCTGGACGTCGCAATGGACGCTGCGAAAGATCCAGAGAAGGGCATGACGGACTACAACGTCTTCATGATGGGGCAGAGCAACATCATTGCCGGTTCGGATACAACGGCCGTCTCTCTGAGCAGCGTTCTCTCCAACCTCGCTCGATCCCCTGACGTCCTGGCCAGCTTGAGGGGAGAACTCGATCAGGCGACTAAACAAGGCAGAATGACACCTGATCACATCGCCTTCAAGGAGAGCCAAAACATGCCTTACCTGCAGGCTTGCATCAAAGAAGGCCTTCGCCTTTGGGCAGCTACGGGACTGCCACTCTGGAGAGTCGTTCCCAAGGGCGGCGCTCAAATCATGGGCCGCTTCTTCCCCGAAGGTAGTGAAGTCGGCATCAACACATGGGTCGCCCACTACGACCAAGACGTCTGGGGTGCGGATGCTGCGCAATTCCGGCCTGAACGCTGGATTGAAGCACAAGACAATCCGGAAAGGTTGAGGGTTATGGACAACCAGTATATGCCGTTTGGGCTCGGTTCCAGGACTTGCATCGGCCGACATATCTCCTATCTGGAAATGTGCAAGGTTGTTCCTATGATTGTCTCCAACTTCGATCTGGAGCTCTTGGACCCGGCGCATGCGATGAAGGCTGAGAACTATTGGTTTGTGCGGCCGACGAATTTTAGGTGTGTCGTGAAGCCGAGAAAGGTTTGAAAAGTGTCAGAATAATTGGGGACGAAAGCCATGTTCGGGACTCAAATGTACATGACCTTGGGCAAGTCATCATTGTCGTCGCCTAGGTGTGTGTGTGTGTGTGTGTGAGACAGATAGCCTTTGTATAGCTCTCACGTGGAGGAAACGCGGGGATGAGTGACAGCGTGGCGTCGAGCTGACGGATAATCCGGCACAATGCAAGTCCAGTAAGGGCAACGAACGCGCGGTGGCGTCTACATTCCTTCGTTCCCATGCCGCCGAGGCGTCCTCCCAACCCAGGAATACAAATACTCAGCCCTTTGGCCCTCAAAGCTTGTCCCCAGCCCGGCGTCCGACAAGCACTCGCAGGAACATAGTCTACCATAACACATAAGCCAGGCCTCTTCGAAAAAAAACATGGGCGCACCATCCTGGGCCATCCCCGTCGGCGTGCTCGCCGCTATTGTTATTCTTGCGTTTTGTTTTGTCTGGTGGTGGTTTCCTCGGGCCTGGAATCGGGGCGTCAAGAGTGATATCAACCAGGTGAATGAGGTCACCGGGGAAGAGAGGGAAGCTCAACGGAGGGCTAATCGGGAGATCATTGAGCGGTTCGCGAGAGCTAGGGCGATGGAGAGGGGGGAGGCTGTGGATGAGGCGCCGCCTCCGTATCAGGTTGAGGGCCCAGAGGAGGGGAGGTAGATGGATGGGTTGAAGGAGGTGGCGACGATGGGTTGCGCTATCACATGAAGTGCAGAGGGACTCTTGCGACGGAAGAGGGTACTTGGGAAGCCCAAATCTCGCGTTCCAGAAACACGTCAGCGAGGCTCGAAGTGCGAGACGTTGCCTCGACGAGCGACGCCTTCGCGCCACATCTGGAGCGATCTTACGCTGAGGCCAACCCCCCGAATGCGACTCACGAGTCTCAACTCTCCAGTCCGAACATTTCGCGATGATCCAAGACTCCAGGAGAGGAAATGGTACCCATGGTAATGCGCCCAAATATTGGAGAGAATGGAGTCTTAGAATAACAGAATCGAAGGGCTAGGACCGGCAAAGAGGAGGCAGCGGAGAATGCGTCCTGACGAGGTGGCATAAGCAATCTGAACGTAGCGGGCTTACGATGGCAAGACGGTATGCTGCTGCAGCTGTTCATTACTCACGTTGTTTCTCAGCTTCGGAGTCTGACTTGCACTGTTGCCAGAAGATAATGCAAGAGGCGTGGGAGAAGCGAATCGCAGACCGCGCAATGAGAAAAGCGGCGGCTATGTTCGATGGCTAGATGCGACTGATGACTCTCGTCCCTGCTTTCCTTCTTCCAGATATCCGATGCTCACGTTTATGTTCCGTCGCTTCGATCGCTCTCGGCCTCTCAGGGTAGAAACCTCGATCCAAACACACGAAAAGACACAAGATTGTCGTCCGCAGCGACAAGGACATCGCTGAATCTAGCTGCTTCCATAATAATTCCTGTCTCCGGCGATATTGGCGTGTTTCCTCGTAGCGCAAGATCTCGCTGCTCTTCAATCTCAGCCGCAGCCTCCGCATGACGAGCCAGTATCTCGCTGTATTCCATCCCTTCTCTTCGTTGAGCGAGGCGGAGCAACCTCTGAGCATTCTTCCAACGCTGGATGTGTCGTGTCATAAGTGTCGACACAGAGCGTTGAGGCAGAATGCACTATCCGAATGAAAAGCTGTGATGCGGTGAAGAGCCCGGGACCTGGAATCTTGGCTCTCCCTCTGACCATGCGCCTCCTGCTGATTTCCAGATATTCGTCGACGAGTTGCAAGATGGAGGAAAATTTGCTCATTCCAGGCGTCGATTGATGATTCGGTGGTGGCGCGACATGTGGAAATGGCGAAATGCGAGCCGAAATTCATGATTCGGAGTTCGAGGTCGACTTCGATGTTTCTGGCATGGGTTCGTCGAGTCAGGGGGCGTTGTATGTTTGGAGCCACTCGGCGTGTGCACGCTCCAGCTGCTGGAGCTGATTGTGCTGTCCATGTCTCATGGCAACGGTCCGACGGGTGCTTGCCGTTATGCAGAATCGTTCTCCTTCGTCGTCGACGTAGGCAAACTCCGGAGTGCACTGCATGTGTCGGTCGGCCATCCGGAACATTTCAGTCCGCAAGTGATCGCCAGCCATCGATAAGTTTTCGACAAAGGCTCGCGAGACGTGTTCGATGGTAGCAGGAGACGTTTACGTCCGCGCTGTGGCGTAGCATGCAGCCCATAACCGTCACATTTGCGACCTGTGGTTATGTATCGTCGACAGGAGGGCTTCTGCTCGTCACACTTGACTTTTCTGATACTGCAACTTAGGTATGAGCCACAAACATCTCTCACACATAACGTAGGGACTCATCATTACCGGCAAAAGTCCGGCAGTCGTTTCTCGTAGGCTTGCTCGTGACAGTGCGTCTTCGTGAGGTCTCTGCCACTGGCCGCCATTCCCAAGGATGGGTTCGGAGATGTGAAGACTTACCTACAATATCCCGATTCGAGCCAGATAGACCCCGAAGATGGAAGCGAGGGGGAGAGATGGTAGCGGAGCCAATGTATATTTCACCTCTTTCTCCAGCGTTCTTCGCACATGCGAAGCTAATCTCAACAGCTACTACCATTCACGCTACTCTCCGCGACGCCCTCTCATTGCCCCGAGTCTTGCAAGCAGCATTCTCGCGCAAGACGGCATCTTTCTGTCTGTCGTGCAAAGAAATTGCATTGCATTGTATCATATTGCATTCCATCCATCCAGAAGCCATGAAATATTTGGATGTCAACGCTTTCGCCATGATATCCAGATTTCGAGCTCTTGCTTTTGCATCTCCCGAAGGGTTTTCTTTCCTTTCTACCGTCTCATCCTCTTCGTCCGTCCTGTCGCGTCCGCTAGGAGGAGGAGGACGAGGTTGAAGCGAGATCATTGGGTCGAGTGGGTGGTCTTCACGTCCTCCTCTTCCCAGGGACGGGACTATATGACTCCCGAGTGCCGTCATCTTGGACAGTTCTGTGATGGAAGGAGTTGGACCTAGTTTCTCCACATTGGGGATTATCTCGAAGGCTGATACTGCAGACCTCGTGTTATGCGATTTGCTGTGCTGTGATGGGGATTATTCTCGGGAAGGAAGACGACAAGGTACCTCTCCGCTGGCTGGCTGTAGTGTGTGGTGCTCGGCTGCCGGGCTAGTGGCGTCAAAGTTGATTGTATTGATTAAGGACTCCATCAAGTTGTGCTCCGATGACATTGACCTCAGCATCCGGCGGGTATCGTCATCCATCCATCCATCTCCATGCATGCCATCCATCCATCTACAAGCCATCTTCTGCCAATCGACCGTTCTCCGAATCCGAACCATGAGATCCCCAGCAACTCTCAATGACATCCGACATGGTATATACCCAATCCCCGCATGGAGTTAATTAACTCATCCTCCTCCACTCGAGACTTACACATTTCACCAGTCGAGACCCTCGTCATCGGAGCCGGCATCTCAGGCTTATCATGCGCCTCGAAACTCTTCCAACATCCCTTCTATAGAGAAAAGGACCGTCTCCTGGTACTCGAAGGACGAAACCGTATCGGTGGTCGTATCGAATCTGTAAATGTCTGTGGTAATCGTCTGGATACTGGAGCCAACTGGATCCATGGCATTGGAACGGATTCGAAACCCAATCCTTTGATGAAGATTTTGCCGGACAAGAGGGTAAAGCAATTGTCTGGGTCGGTCGTCTTCAAAGCGCCAACTGCCGATGAGGAGGATGAGGATGTGGGTGATGGATGGGTTCGGGTTTCGAAATCCGAAGCATCATGGAATGATCAAGTGATTCCATCTGAAATTGGAGGCATCATCTCCTCATCTCTATGGGGTCTCGTCGGCTCGCTGCACGAGCTAGCAGCTACAGCTCCTCCCGAAGAAGCGAAGCAGACCACGATGCTCAAAGCAATCACCAAGACCGACGAGTTCCGTTCCGCGTACGAAAAGCTTCCCAGAGAATATCATCAAACTTTCGGTGCTCTGCTGCAGTCCATTGAGAATATGGAAGCCGCTCCGCTAAGCGCTCAATCTGCAGAGCAAGCTAGAGGTCGCGCTGGGATGGGGCTGCTCGAATTTGCGATTGATGATTTTGAGGGCGAACAGGTCTTTCTGCAGGATGGGTATACTGCTCTTGTTGACGAGGTTGCTAAAGATCTCGTCGCTGCGGATCTGATCAGATTGGAGACTGTGGTGAAGAGGATTGACTGGAGCGGCAAGCCAATCGTGATAGAGACGGTAGACGGAAACAGATTCTCCGCGGATAGAGTCGTCAGTACCCTCCCATTGGGACTTCTACAGCATCCGTCCTCCGCTTCTCTGTTCCAGCCGGCTTTACCTTCGGACAAGCGTGGGGTCGTGGGATCCGTGGGCTTTGGAACTTTAGATAAGATCTTCATGGTCTACAAGGAACCGTGGTGGATAGAGAAGCCCTTCTCCTCCATCGTTGAGCCGGGCGTCGTCAGGAAACCTTTCTCTTCAGGCAGCGATTCCACCAAGCCACCAGACAGCCTAATGGGGTTCACAACAGAGCTTCCTGGTATGGAGATCCATGCCGACGGCAGCACATCCTCCGGTGCACGCAGTCTCTCCATGATCAACCTCCACAATCTCACCGGCTTTCCGGTCCTGTCTTGCTTCGTGTCTTGCTCCACCGCGACGCAGATAGAATCCATGTCGGATGCGGAAGCGGGTGGAATCATCCATCGTGCCCTCACGAATTGGCTGGGCCGCGAGCCTCCCAAGGCTGAAGCAATACATGTCACTCGCTGGGCACAGGATGAGTTTTCCAGGGGAAGCTATAGCCACATGATCGCCGAGTTGACGGAGGCGAGCCACCGCGACCGGCTTGCACAGCCGATGATCAACGATCGAGGGGCAGAATTCCGCTTTGCTGGCGAACACACGAGCCGGGACCATTTCGCTACGGTGCATGGAGCTCTTTTGAGCGGCTGGCGAGAGGCCGATGAGATATTGAAACAGGTTGAGCGAGTTGGCTAGACATCCTCCAAGAACCTGGATTGCAGATAAGGCGGCGAAGGGGAAACATCCCTGGATCTCGTCGACCGCGGCGGAGAGATTCGACTCACTGCCGGACTTAAACCATAACCGGCTTCGCCACTGTAACGCCCGGCCTGTACAGTATTCCAATCGGGTATTTCTTCCTCCTCTGCCGCGGCACGAACAAGACTTGCCTTGCTGGTGTGTCTCGTGTGCCCAGGACGGGGCGCCGACCGACCTGTCGTAGCTGCAATTCCACCACTCCAAGGCACCAACGTTCCTGGTCCGAATCCTAACATTGGACTTTTACGACTTTTCACAGTCGATGCCCTCCCTTTCTCGTCCGCCAAGTCCAATTTTGCGACGCTATCCGCCGCAACTGCTCCGTAGATGAGAAGTTGCACGGGGTCCAACAACTGCCAGTGGGGTCCGCGTGCACCCGATGAGCGTGCCTTTCTCTCCGCGCGAATCCAGCGGACGGCCTGGAGGATAGTGCAAAGGAGAATCAGACAGGCGACGAAGAGAGCCAGGACGGTGACATTCTTGATCTCGACAGTCACGACGTATCGATGTTCAAAGGTTTGTCTCGTGATGTCGGTCTTCGGAGCTATATCTGCATTCGTCTTCCATGGGTCAGTGCAACTCTTCTTTGTCGAGATCTAGATGCTCATCACCCACCGCAGTCCAAGCAGTCTGAACAATTGCCTCAATATGGGACAAGATGTACTCCAGTGGAGACATGCCATATGCCTTCATTCGCTCGTAGTCGGCGCCAGTTTGAGAGAGGTAATCGGTGTTGAGAAGCTTGCTATACCCATCTCTGAGCTGTGCGGAACTCGTGGCGCCTTCGAGCGCATAGTCTAGCCAAACCATTGGCGACTTGCCCTTGTTCTCGCGACATGTGTCATCGGTCATGTTCGCGGTCATGACGCCTCCGTTCAACGAGAACTCGACCCAGTTCCAAGAGTAAGTTGTATCGTCGAAGGGGGCCTCGCAGAGCACGGTGTATGTGGTCTCATTGTACTTCTCTTTGGTGAAAGGGGCGTCTTGGCCGGTTGCGAGCTTGGAGAGTAAATCGGCGTACTGTCCAGACCCTGTCAAGATGGAAAGGGCTATCTCGCCTTTCTTCTCGCTGTGGGCAACTGCCATCACACCCCTCTTGTCGTTCGAGCTCGTGAGTACATAGGTCTGGTTCGCGTCGGTGTCCGGATTGATGATGACCGAGTAGGTGTCGTAAGGAATGTCTAGGAAAGTGTCGATCACTGTGGACATGTAGACGTATTTCGCACGGCCTTCGCCCGCAGTCGAGCAGTTGACGAGGTTCGGTCGCAGCAGTGGCAAACAGTATCTGCTCATTTCCTGGCCGAAAGTACTATTCACCGCTTGGTCTGCGAAGTTTTGCATTACACCAACAGGCAGTGCCCGTGTACCCTCGGGTCCGGAGAAGGTGACGTTGTTGAAGGTGTACGGAGTATGTGTGATGAGCTGGGAGGTTAGTGCACTCATAGCCAGATCGTAAGTACAACCTTCAGCGGTCAGTGAGCCACGACAAGCATCCGGAAGAGTAGGTATATCGGCTCCGAGGGAGACGGGGACGGTGGTGAGCTTGTCGTGCGGGAGCAGTTTTGCGTCGATAACGAAGACGATAGAGAGGACCCAGGACATGGCACTGAATGCGAAGATGGCAACGGCGAATGGGCCCGAGATCCTCCAGAGACGGGCATTGCGCGAGGCATAGCGGAGCATGTCAATGACATCTTTGCCGTTTGCGGCAGCACGAGCCTGCAATGCTGCGAGAGTAAGACTCTTGCTTGCGAACTCGGCCTCGACTTCGGTGTTGTTGGTAATGGCCAGGCAATGCTGTAGGAGTGAGGATAGTAAGAGAGCCAGGGCAACGACGATGAAGTTGAGGTACTGCTGGGTGGTCTTGAGAGGATATGTCGTCGGCAGCGACCATGGCTTGTAGGAGAAGGCGGGGAATAAGGCGACGGCGGTGGCAGCGAGCAGGACCGAGAGGGCGTGGACAAAAGCATGATACCAGAAGCGGCCGCGGTGAGAGGAGTGAGTGGGGTCTTGCAACGGGATGTAATCCATGTTGACGTTGGGATACACCCATCAGCTGTCCGTGCTGTGGAGTAGTCGGACGGCAGAAACGGGAGGGCTTCCACGTACGACGACTCCTCATGAGGGCATGTTGCCCCGATCGCGACGTGACAAGATCGAGTGACCTTGGTGTAATGAAGGACGTGGCTGTCAAGCTGAAGGACGTGTGCAGTTGGGCTATTTTTGCAGAGAGTAAGCATTGACTAAGCATGCATCCGACTAGGTGCTTGTGTTGTGCCATCCATGTCGTGCGCTACTGATCCTCAGCACGATCTTGACCTCAGCCATTAAATTGCAGCAGATGCTCTTCGCGGCTCGACCCTCCTCGATCGATTTGGATGGGCTCGGCGATGATTAGGGATGGATTCAGGCGCACGACGGAGCTGAGCCGGCGGGATGAGGCATTGTCCGACTCGAGGCCAGCAAGGTAGCGGCATGGTATAGTGAGAAGGCAGTGACGTCGGCTCGTGCACGCACGACTAGTTCAACAAACGAGGAAGACGAAGCTGGAGATGAAGATTGAGATGAAAATGAAGGTCAACCTAGGATGGAAGAAAGACTGCGAAGGAATGGAAGGCGAGGCGAGGCGAGGCGATCAGGCAGACGCGACGCCTCGGAAGGGTCCCGAAGTGGAGAAGGGAACGCGAAACCAACGCGTCCACCATGAGGCGCGGTTGCACAATTCTACAGCACAACTATACTGCACGATTCTACGGCATTGCCTTACAGCTTTGCTTGTGCGACAGCCTTTGCGTCTCGGGCTCTCTTGGCCCACTCCTTGACGACCTTTCGCTGGATCTTGCCGCTCAGCAGGCGCGGGATGCTCTCCACGACGGCGATGCCTCCCGTCAATCTCTTGTGCCGAGCCACTCTCTCGCCGAAGTACTGGTCGATGGCGCGGATGGCCTGCTCGGGATGCGTCGCAGCCTCCTCCTGCAGGGCGACATAGGCGCGGGGGAGTTCTTCCGAGTCGTCTCGCGCCGCCAGGCCCACGACGGCACAATCGGCAACCGCCGGGTGGTCGAGGAGGAGGGCCTCGAGCTCGGCAGGTGCGACCTGGAAGCCGCGGACCTTGATGAGTTCCTTCCTCCGGTCCACGATCCAGAATCGGCCCGCTCTGTGCTGCGCCACGTCGCCGGTCTTCAGCCACCCGTCGGCGGTCACGGTCTCCCGCGTCGCCGCCTCATTCTCCCAGTAGCGCAGCATCATCTGAGGCCCGCGCACCCACAGCTCGCCCGCCTCGCCCACAGCATGATCCACATCCACCTCGCCCACAGCATGATCCACATCCACCTCGCGCCCCGCCTCGTCCACCAGCATCGCCTCCGTGTTGGGCAGCAGCTGCCCCACACTGCCACTCCCGTCCTCCTCCCGCCCGCGGTACATCAATCCCGTACACGTCGTCTCCGTCATGCCCCACGACTGCGCGATCATGCTCCCCAGCTTCCTACTGATCTCGTTCTGCAGCTCCCTCTTCAATGGCGCCGCCGCGCTCATGACGTACTCGACACTCTTCACATCGCATTCCTCAATCCCGGCTCTCTTGTTCAACATGACCAGCACCGGTGGCACCACTTGCAACGCCGTGATGCGATACTTGCCAATGTACTCGATGTATGCCTCCAGTTCGAAGTGCCCCATCGTATACACCGCCTGTCGGAGCTTGCACGCCATCACGAGCGTGAAGAGCTGAGCATACGCGTGATACCACGGCAAGAACGCGAGCCATCGATCCGCTTCCGCTCTCGCTCTCTCGTTGACACTCTGCCCCGTGTCCGCCATCCTCGTGTGAATGACCTGCGCTGCATTCGCACAGATCTGTGCGTGTGTGATGCAGACCCCTTTGGGTAGGCCCGTGGTACCAGACGAGAAGTTGACCACCGCAATCCTCTTCTCTGCACCGCCTCCACACATGGGGTCCCATTGCCACTGAGCACCTACTTGCTCCGTGACCCAGACTGAACGCCAATTCTGAAAGCTTCCTGCTCCAGTTCCAGGCGCATCGGAGAATTCGAAGATTTTTTCCCGCGGAATGCCTGCTACACGCGCCGCCTCGCCTACTTTCTCCAAAGCTGAAGGATCCGCCAGAACAACAGCAGCCCGGATCGTCTTCATCTGGTGTACCAACTCGCCGACCGTATAGCCCGGATTGGCAGCTGTAAAGAATCGCCCCGACCCAGCAGCGGTGAGATACACAATCGGTACGAAGATGTTGTTCGGCGCAACGACCATGATGGCGCTGTCCTGGGGGATTCCCATCCTATCAAGTCCCGCTGCGAAGCGACGTATCAGTGTCAGAGCTTGTCGAGAGGAAATGTATTTGGATGGGTCTTTTGCGTCTATCCATAGTGCTGTGTCTTCTTCTTGTGCCGTGCGTGGGGGGAAGAGATAGGAGAGGATGTTCGTAGACTGGACGTGGACGTCCGGGAATGAGGAGCGAAAGGGCATGTTCAGGGCTGTCTCGCCGTGCCAGCACCAGATGATGCAGTCACCACTTCCCTATGGACGCTACGGACATCTTCTCATCTATAGAATGCTGTTCTGGTTGGAAGAGGTTACGAAGGACGTCACAGCTGCCCCGCTTTTCCCAAAGTCAAATGTTCCAGCATGATCATCGCTTCTACCGACTTGGTCGAATCGGGCTTCTTTCTGCGCTACTTGACCTGAATTCAAGACGTCCCGCATCTACACAGGCTCGTGCGCGGCATGAACCCTGGTGAAGCCGAAGGAATCTTTCCACATTCACTAACGCCCACGATTTCGAATGGGGATTTCTCTCAGCACGAAAGCCCTGCACTGGAATCTTCTGAATGTCATATTCAGCGTTCACCAAGCTGGAGAGCCTGCATGAGTATTCCAAGCATCGACTGTCGTGAACTATCGCTGTCGAGCTTGGAGCGGATCAATGAAGCTTGAGGTAGCTGAGTCTTTGCCATACAGAGCCTTAGCTTCACCTCAACTCCCTCCACTGCTCGATTGGATCGCTGCATCCATGCCCACTTCCTGACAGCAAAACGACACACAGATCCTTCGACTCTCGACAAGCGCACCAATGCTTCTGACCCGAGTGCAAATAGCCTGGTGCGTCGAAAGGCAGTGTCCGCGCGCATGGGCGCTGCTGAAACTCACTCTCCCTCGCTACACTCGCGCTCCTCCTCCTCCTCCTCCTCTAAGAAAACGATCACGGTCGCGGTGGAAGCCAAGGTTCAATCAGCTAATGCGGAGCTGGCTTCGAGGCCCGGCGCACGGACCTCAGTGTCACATGAGAAAGCCTTGGTAGAGAAATTGAACCCATGTCTCATTGTTCTTCTGGTCTTAGGGTTATTGACAGTCGTAAGCAATCTTTCCTCTTCTCACTAGAGCAAGATGAAGCTGAGCAGTGGCTTAGAAATCAGTTATGCACGGGGGAAGTTCTCTGTCCTTCGAGATCTTACTGATCGAACGTACAACTTTGCGAGCTGGTTAGTCACGCGCTCTATACTCTACGTCTCAAGAATTAGATCGAAATGTTTCGTTATCTCTCCATCACTCAAAGTAGCATCGGGCCAATAGACTCCATAGATGTGCTTCTCTAGTGAGTGGCCAAGCTCTCCACAGCATCCATCACCCCAGCATTGATCGTCCTCGAAGACGGGCTCCCTTTTGGAGCTCCAGCCCGCGCCTGAAGCAATGTGCTGGAAGAAGGCATGAGCAATCTCGTGGACGATCGTAGTGGCCAGAGTGAACCATCCTCGCAACACCATCGTCTCCGGCCCCGTGAGGTCCCCAATGGCCCGATACTTCTCCGCCTGCAGCGTGATGTGGAACTTTCGTGTCAAGCTTCCGTCCTCTTGAAGCACCATCTTGCTGCTGGTATGGCCCCACTCCTGCTGGATGGGCATGAATTTGTAGTCGAGGTTCGCCGCAATGTCCTCGAAAGCAGCCGTGACCATTCCGATTTCTTCGGCCGGCATGGCGCCGCGTTCGTAAGGACGCCACAGATTGGTGGCAAGGGCATAATCCTCGGGATGATGCAGATGTGGCATCTTCTTGCCAAACATGAGAGCATGGAAAAATTCAATCGATGACGGGCGGGTCAAGATCTGGCTCGCCAGGAAGAGAGCCGGCAGGATCCTCGCGGGAGAGTAGATCCCTTTCTGAGTGAAGAAGAGGGGCGTGTCGACGATGGAGAGCAGCTTTCCCGTGTTTGTAGCTTTCAGGGATACCGTGACCAAGTCGATCACCCGTCTACTCGTCTGCATTGGGAGGAAAAAGTGATGCTCTTCCATTAATCTTGTGCAGAGCGTTCCCTTGGCTACGAGCTCTGCCGCAATGGCTTTTTGTTCTTCTTCTTCTCCCTCGCATTTCTCGCCGTCCACTGGAATCGACGGGAGACCGCTGGGACGGTTGGCGGCTCTGAGTAGCTTTTGATATTCCATCTGCAGCGTTGCAAACGATCGATGCCGGTGCTCTGGTGGAGCATAGTCTGGTGAGAATTGCGAGAGGAGTTTCAAGTCGGATTCCGTCAGGGTTTGATCGTATTGTCGCGCAATGTAGACGCTCAGATTGATCGGGTCTGAGGCTCGCTGAGGCGCTGCTGAGCCACTAAGAGGCTTGTTAGCGTGGTCAATGTTGGAATGAAGGGTCTTCATACTCTCGTTTGAAAGCGCAGAGAAACCGCCGCCGTATCTTGACGATCCAGTTGCGAATTGCAAATATTGCTGAGCGGTATGTGTCTCTTCTTTTTGCGGATTTTGGGCAGGGAGAAGGGAGGTCTTGACCGCCACAACGCCTTGAACAGAACATTTCTTATTTTTCTAGGTAAGGTATTTAGGTGCCTTGACTGGCTACACAATGAATTGTAGAATGCTCGGATAAAGACTGTGAGAATAACAAAGAAAGTCGGGACATCAGAATCCATTGTGCCTTCATATCCCTTTGTCCTCATATATCTCTTTGTCCTCAGATGCAGAAGTTAGATACCGTTTCCACGATTGCTTTTTTAATATATCGTGACGATGATTTACCGGGGGTTTAGGTCTACAGATAGTGCGTGAAAAGAGTCTTGGACGCGAGAGCGGACCTATGTTCCTTTGTGACCTGTGGGAGACATGTGGAATTACCTGATTAGGAAAACAACGTTCTACCGAGATTTCGCCGGTGAGTGAATGCTAAGATCTTTAGGGTAGAGGCGGTTACTAGTCCACACACCACGCATTCAGTAGTAAAAAACATATCTATGGCGTAGGTGGTACTGGTACATAACATTACGCAGTCACTAGATCACAATATGTCGTTACTCAAAGCTCGCCTTTCAGAAATATTAAACGTCTTGACCTGTAATTGTGTTTGCTTAACCAACTCTGACATCGTCCTCGTAAGAAACAAAAAGCCTGGCCTCATCCCGCTTACTACAGCGTCATTTGCAACGGACTCATTCGAAACCTTACTCGTGAATTGCAAAAGAAAGCAGTTATGCTCATGACTAAGAAGCTAGCATTTAATCTATCACCTATTATTCGCGAAATACCTATCAGATCTAGCAAAGTAACAATTCACACTCTCCGCGCTCCTAAATCTTCCCACGGAATTAAATACATCTAGGACTGCATCGGTCTCTCTCCGGCTCTAGTGCTTTGCGACTATCCTGCTCACCTCTAAGTGCTCTATGTAATCCTGACACTCTTTCCTCTTCGCTCCTAAGACGTATCGCAAGAAATTTGTAAGTCTAATTCGGCTCTTACGGGTCATCCATCCTGTCGATCGCTAAGTTAACAAGGAAGATGATAATGAACTGTCGCTATCTAAAGTCAGGAAAGCAGATATCGCATTGCATAATATGATCAAGTAGATCTACATTGAGGTTGGCAAGGCAACGTTTAATTAGTTGGCAGTCTGTGCGAAGTTGGATAGTGCACCCGATCTACTGTAGGGATCGAAGAGTAGAATCGTCATTAGCAAGGCGCTGTTGAGTGACGAAGGGACATTCAATAGTAAAGTAGATAGCTTTACCATGAAATCATGGGTTAAGCTTGCTGTTGCGACCGTGCATGCATTGCACAAAGCCACACATGGTTGGGGTGTACCGGAGATGAAATTTGAAGGATCAATTCGAAGGACAGGAATATCGGATCACGACAGGAGAAGAGAAAGACTGCATGATCAAGGGAGCCGTAGTTCAACTTCGCGAATGGACTGATCTATACGCGCTGTGGGTGGAGGAGACTAGTTTGCTTACAATATGTGTAGAAGGCTGACCTACTAAGACCGGAGAGCAGACCTGCATGAAACGCTAGCACTCGCGGATATTAACTCTATGGAAGGCTAGAGGGTACGAGCTAGATCTTATCTGTAGCCTGTTGATATCGGACTTGCTTTGCGCTGGCTTGGAGGTGCTCGTGCGTAACTTGTAATACTTCGCTCAGCTTAATTGTATCTTGCTCACGACACAAGGGGATATCAGTGGTGTACTTTCCGAGAAACGATCCTCGAAGATGTGTATCCTCGGCCACTTTAACGAGCCGGACTTCGTTTGGTTGCAGATCAGGGAAATATCTCCACTGGATTCCATCTTCTGTGACATCTTTTCGTCCTGGACTTTCTCTATCACCGATTCTCCGTGATGTTTAGTAACATCAAAGATAGGCACGCGGTCATCCTACCCCCCCCAGATGACCATGTTGTCGGTTCCTTACACATTCTCAAACACCGCGAAAGCCGACGGTCCTTTGTTGTGGCCTTGATAGGTTTCCGAATCAAGCACATGGCGTATCTCGGGCCAAGTGTACCAGCAGCATGATCGCTGCATTTCTGGAACATTGCATGGTCGCTGTCCTTATTTATCGCCCTCTCGTCCATGCGTCTTCACATGCGATTACTCCAGCCTGCTCTACCGCTTCTGTAGGCTGTGTCCGCCAGTTTCGACCAAAGTCCTCGCGCTGTCCGGCTGAAAATCGCAATGTGGCATTCGAATGCGGGCAGCAGGCTTTGATGTGTGGACTGCCTTGGCCAAGTTGGTGTGTTGTTCTCGTTCACTCCTGGAAGTCGATTGGGGAATGGATCTTTCGCAGGTGGGCGGCCTCCTTGTCGAGTGCTGTTGACGGGAACGACGGCCCTGCAGTCGGTGAACTTCTTGACAAGGTCTTGGACTGGTGGATAGTAGACATGTTGCATCTTGGCAGGGCGCAGGAGGCCCGATGCCTTTGCAGATGTAGCATCTCCCATAGCTGTAAACACCCATGCTTGCTGAGGAATTTGGCTGCCTCGAGCGTTCAACATCGCATCGCATCGACAAAGATAGTGTCGAGTTCGCGAGATGCCAACACTTTCCTGCGATGGAAGTTTCCAGATCATCAGTAATTTTTCTTTGGAATCGCCCGAGCCATAAGAGGATGATGAGAAATATCAGCGTGCTGTTCAATGGTGGCCGGATCCGAACAGAACGAAGCATCAACACGGCTTATCTCTCGATGCATTCCTTGCAAACGCTAACTACTCTCGCAGAGCTTTTCTACTTTCTTGTGGGACTTTCACGGCAGCTTTCCCGCAAAAGGATGTTGGCAAGTGAAGTAGCAGATACGCGAGGCTTCCAGATTCGCGCCCGTATCAGCGCGGGCAGGAAGCGGCCGCCATGGGCCTGCGGGATCTGCACCATGACCAGCATTCCCACGTCTTCCAACTTCAGGCCGTGCTATTGATTGGACGACTCTATCTCTCTTCACCTGGTGCATACATGGTGCATATCCGGTGTGGTAGGTGGATGCGGTGCTTTTCGTATGTCAAAAAGCAAAGGTTCAGCGTCTGGATTCTTTGAATGTAGCAGACGTTTTCACTCATTGACGCTCTGGGGGGATACATTCTCGAAGAAATGGCAGAATGTGCAGACGGCTTCTGTGACCCGGCATGGCCTCCGGGGACGGTCAAACTCGCCCAGCTGCTGGATGCCGGAAGGAAGCAGGATGCAGAGATCATTCTCCAGCCGCGACCTACAGATAATCCCAACGATCCTCTGGTAAGCAGCATCTCGAGACACTGACAGGATCCATCGGAAGGCTTGGTATTAGATGAGCTATGTTTGCTATGGCTTCTGGACAACCCAAGAATGGCACTATGTCAATGATAAGAGACATTGTATGGGACGTCGTGCCGTGAGAAACGCTAACAGAAGTCTACAGAACTGGCCAAAGTCGCAGAAGACCATCGACTTCCTCCTCGCCTCCTTCTATGCGATGATGGTCTACGCCTTCGTCAATGCCACTTCGCCGACATGGGGCCCTCTGGGCGACGAATTGCACTTCAGCTCGGAAACCCTCACCAATACCTATGCGATCGGTTGTGCGACTCTGGCCTTGGGAGCGCCGATGCTCATTCCTTTCGCGCTCAAGTTCGGATCCCGAGCAGTCTATGTGCTAAGCAGCGCTGCACAGTTCGCCATCTCCATCTGGGCGGCGAGAACCATGACCGCGGGTGACTGGTGGGGAGTCAATGCACTGCAGTGCTGGCTGGGGGCTTTGGCCGAAGTGCTCGTCCAGATGACGATTGCCGATGTCTACTTTGTGCATCAACGTGGACGGATGAATGCGATCTATATCTGGGTCGCCAATGTGGGATCCAACCTGGCCGTTGTCGCATCTGGCTTCATCACCACGGGCATGGGCTGGAGATGGGTGTGGTGGTGGTGCGCCATCTTCTTCGGTCTCCAGCTGGTCATCTTCATCTTTGGCTTCGAGGAGACCAAGTTTACTCATGTCGAGACGCTGGAAGGCCGTCAAGGAAGCATCGTCACCGCACCGGATGTTTCCGGTCCGATTCATGGCGACTACAAAGACGCCTCGGAGAAATCACCCTCTGCGCATCCGGAAGCTGCTGCGGACGAGTCAGGAGGTCCAATAGAGAGGAAGCTGAGCGTTGTGCATATCAACCCAAACATCCCAAGGAAGACGTATTGGCAGAAATTGGCTTTGACAACGACTTCGCCCGGTAGCTGGTCCAGCTTCTTCCGCCACTCATGGCAGCCATTCCTTATTCTTGGATCCATTCCCGGGGTACTGTTTTGCTCTCTGGTCTATGCTATCCTCCTGGCCTGGTCTACGGTGATGACGACCGTACTTAGCACATACATGCTAGACGCACCGTACAACTTCAGTGCAGATCAGATTGGTCTCATGTCTCTCGCACCCTGTACGTATCTGTTGCGCGCCGCTAGTCCGACTCTCATTGACACTCTTCATAGTCATTGGCAATACTCTTGGCTCCATCCTCTGCGGTCCTATCTCCGACTTCGTTGCCATCCGCCTTGCGAAGCGCAACAATGGAATGTACGAGCCGGAGTACCGGTTCTGGACTTTCCTTCCCTTCGTTCCATTTCAACTCGCTGGAGCTTGGTGGTTTGGCTATGCGCTGAACAATGGATGGAGCTGGGTACAAGTTGCACTGGCTTACGGCGTGTGTAGCTTTGGGAGTGCACCGTTGCAGAGCATGGCGTTGACATATATGTTGGATGCTTACAACGGTATGTTGCATTGAATGTCCAGGAGCCCATTGCTGACTCGATGCCCTTTGCAGAAATCATCGGTGATGCACTTACGGCTCTTACCTTCATGCGGAATCTGTTCAGCACGATCTTCGTGTTCGCGGTAGACACCCCCAAAGCTTCAGATGTTATCGAGCATCTACTGACGTTTGTTAGGTGCCCGCGTGGATTGAGGGCGTGGGGATGGCGAACGTCTTCAATACCATTGGAGCGATCGGAATATTGATCTTGTCGTCCGCCGTCTTCTTTATATGGCGCGGCAAGGATCTGAGAGTGAAGACTGCCAAGGTATACGGGTACTACGCCAGACGACAGTTTGAAGCAAGACCGATGTAGTAGATCGGTGAAAGTATCAGTCCTTCTCGGTGACCGGTCAAGCTCGTTTTCACATGCTCGGCGCTGCGCGTTTCCCCTCATTGATTGGTTGTTGGAATGTCGACGCTGGTGGACGTTCGCTGGAAGCCACTCGAACGTGGCGCTCATATCCCTGTTCTGTCTCTTCCTGACTTTGTATATTTGTATACAGGTTTCACTTTCCCAATTATCTGGCGCCATCCCTCAATCGAGGCATGGATTGTGCCGAAGAAGCAGACCTGAAGCAGAGCTGTATCGACTTGCCACTAGCCCGGACCTTCCAGGCGATCCAGCAGTCATCTTCCAAAATATGAAAGTCGTGCAGGTAGATACTTAGAAAATTGGCTAGTGAATCGAGCCGCCTTTCAGCAGCATACGACGACGACAGAACGCTAACTCATATGCATATCTGATCACATGTGCGGCGCTCAGCAAGAATTCTTCTCGAGATCTTATACACCATGTGGTGATGAGCAAATCATGCCACCGGGTCTCGAGACTCCAAAGAAGGATGATGTTATCATTCGTCGAGATCAAATCACAACTTCCATCCTCTCCTCTTCGCAAGTAATGTTTCTTGCCTCACTGCGAGATCTGCAATGATCTCTTCTGATCCGCCGCCAACGACCATCATTCTCAAGTCCCGACTCATCTGCTCGACCGGAGCTCCAGGCCCTCCTTTCTGGTATCCGGCACCGCCTAACACTTGCTGAGCTTCACGATTGGCCATCTCCTGTATTCTTCCTCCTTGCACCTTCGCTAAGGCGATGCGGCCGGCGACATCTGGGTCCTGCCATCCCAGCGGAGACTGCTGAACAGCATATGCGATTTGCTCCAAGAAGGCCCAGTGGCTCTCGATATACCTTGCCATGGTCGCAAACTTGTGTGCGATGATTTGGTTGGCTATCAGAGGTTTGCCAAAAGTTTCCCGCTTGTTGGCATAATCAAACGCAATGGCAAGACAAGTCCTTGCCTTTCGATTGCAGCCGACCGACATGATGTATCGCTCTCTGTTGAAATTGACCATGATGACTTTGAAGCCTTCGTTCTCTCTTCCAAGCAAGTTCTCAGCTGGCACCTTGACATTGTCCAGCTCGACTAGCGATGCACCACCGGCTTTCTGTCCACTGTTAGGGATACGACGCATTGCTAAGCCCGGAGAGCTTGTTGGGATCACCAGGACTGAAATGCCCGGCATTCCCGGGCCCCCAGTGCGTACGGCCGTGGTCATGTGCGTTGCCCAGGGCGCTCCCGTGATCCACTTCTTGTATCCGTTTACAATGTAGAACTTGCCGTCGGCCGTCTTCTCGGCCGTAGTCTGGACGTTTGCAACGTCCGAACCGCCGCTTGGCTCCGTAATGCCCAGACAGAAGCTCGTCTCCCAGGTGAAGAGGCCAGGAAGCCAGTTTCGCTTTTGTGCCTCGGTGCCGTGGTGAATGAGAGGAGGGATGCCGATGACGGAGCCACCACCAAGACTTGATGTCACGCCACCTTCGACGCGAGAAGTCTCATCCGTCTGGATCAAGAGATGGAAGACGTCCAGCTCGTTGACGGGAATACCGGCTGGATGCGGCACCTCCTTCGGTCTGTACTGAAGAGGCACGTCATTGAAGGCGAAGCCAGATCTTGCCCATTTCATCCGCGCTTGCTTGGGTGCCTCGCCATTTTCCTCCCAGTCAAGAGCGTATGGCAGGATGTTTTGGTTCACATATTCTCGGAGCTCATTGCGAATCCTCTGGTGAGTGCTGTTGTAATAGGGAGAGGGAATGCCATGGGACCAGGCTGGCTCACTCCATGGAGCTGGATTGCCGAATGTCTCTTTTGCGCTTGATGGCATGTTGATGAATCCCGCTCAGCACGTTGCGGAAGTTGTGCATTCGATGTCTTGTGCTCATCGAAGACGACGATCGAAGACGAAGACGATGATCGAAGACGATGATCGACAGACCCCGACCTTCATTGTGAGCCGAGGCGAAGCATCTCTGCTTATGCTGACTAACTGTCATTGACACTTTCAGTAACACCACCATCTATCTCAAGCCAATCCTCACCACGGACATTTGTGCTCTGAGAGACAGAGATCCGAGCGAGCAGTGGAGACTCTATCAGCCCACAGAAGGAATGTCTTACATTGGTGGGCAGAGGACCAGGACCGGGATCAAAGCAAGTCGGCCACACTAGACCCGCGGTATCACTTGTTGAGATGACCTGCCCATGTGCAAGACCCGGTGCAAAGGAAGAGCTCACTAGTCATGACAGCTGCTGGATGCGACGGCAATCTATTGTCGTACTACGGAAATTCTCGTTCTGGGTCAAGTCAAGATATCTGCAAAATATTTCATACTCTGTCATTTCTTTAGCAAGATTACGGTCCCAAATCATTTTCTCAAGAAGCAAGCACAACTGCACCACAGTTGCCGTCACTCACTTGGAAGCCCACCTTCGTTCCGGTCTGAGTCGTGAAGCTGCCCACATCAGTGCTACCACTGCAGGTCGCTCCGACAAGCGGGAAGAAGTAGCAAGTTCCTGAAGCAGGGTGGAAAGTCGAGCCACCGCAGTTGCCATTGACCACGCACTGGACACAGCAGTCATAAGCAGTGGTGGTCGAATTGCCAAAGGAGAAGCCGTTGTCTGGGTCCTCCGTGGCGATGGTGTTGATGCGGTTGCTATCAACAAAGGATGCAACGTTGTTAGATGCACAAGCCGCATAGTACGTGGGCTGGGGAGCCAAGACAGCTGTAGTGGTGGTGAGGAGCCCGGAGGTCGTGGAAGAGAAAGTAGTCGTTGATGTTAGGGTGGTCGTGATGGAGACGGTGAGAGTTGTCGAAGCTGCGATAGGTGTAATGGTTGTCGTTGTCTCGGCCGTGCTGGTGGAGTACTGGCGATGCATTAGCTTCATGTGGGACAAGGTGAGATGGACACGGCTTACGACGGTAGTTGTCAGACGAGGAGCAGTGACCGTTTTGGTGGTCATCGCCGTTGTTGGAAGAAGTTTGGTGGTGACGACTTGCACTTGCTTGTAGCATGTGACTGAGCCCCGGTATTGCGGTGGGTTGTAGGTGAGGCTGCCATCGGGATTGCAAGTAATCTTCGGGCCATTGCCAGTCTGCTTCTTGTAGCCAAAGCGAGCATTGGCCTCCGCCTCTGGTTGTGCTCCGGGCTCAGCGTCTCGGATGACGCTACCTCGTTTGACCTTCTTGGATGCTGCATGTCCCGACGATGACAAGGCGGACCAGATTGGAGTGAAACCAGCAGAAGCAGCGACAGTGGTAGTATCGAGGGTGCTAGTCGTGGTGACAGTGGTGGTGGATAAGATGGTGGAAACGAGAGTGGTCGAGACAGTGCTTGTGTCGGTGAAGGACAGGGTGGACGAAAAGGTGTCCGTTGTTTGAGGAAGAGATGTAGTGGATGTCTGAGTAATCGTTGTCGTGCTGAGGAGAGTCGATTGGCCCGGTGTGAAGGTGGAGGTGGGTGTGATGACTGGGCGGAGAGTCTTTGTGAATGTTTGAATGAACGTCTTTGTCGTGGTTCCACCCTGCCCTTGCCAGGTGTTAAGCTTGGTGCGGCATTTCTGCTGCGAATAGGTGCTGACGCTATCTGCAGCTACGGATGCCACCAGAACAGTAATAGTGAGGAAGGGGAGAAACATGCTTGCTCGGGTATGAGGATCGGTTGATGTCGAATGGCACTGTTTGGTGGTGGTGTTTACCATACTGCGGAAGGTCAGACTTCATATACTACGTAGAAAGACATCCACAGGTTCTCTGTCAACAATCCGGACGTCCCTACCGCGGCTGGGCGAGGATTTCGTCCATGTCAGCTTCGGTTCGAGCAACGCCTCATCCACCGTGAAGTGCTGGCAGAATGGTATATGTCTTGCCAAAATAGCATCTTCGCCGGCGCACCACTCCGTCGCCATAGTGGAGATCATACAAGCCAGGATCCGATGGAAGGCCGCTAAAGGCTCGCACGAGAATTGGTCGACATGGATGACTCTGTGAGCATGCATCATTAGCTTGGTATGCGTTGTTAAGAATATCAAAATTCCCATGTATCGGGTGTACGATGGTACTCGTGCAGGAACGGATGCGCTATGCTCATCGGTCCAGGCCCAATGCAGTCATTGTTGGGAGCACAGCGAGAGGTTTGTCTTGCGCTCGGGTGTCTCTATTGTCTATTCTTTCCCAACGAGGAATTGCAACTGAGTGAAGATTGCGGGAGACAACGCCCTGAGCTTCAGCCCTAGAGACAATATATTTGGCATCTGCACGTCACCGGCCCCAAGCAAAGTCCGAAACGGAGAGTCGACACATGAGAAAGCGCCACAATGGCGTCTAACTGGTTTCGATCATTAGGAGCCAAGAGCAGCTTGTTACACTGCATACTAACGTCGGGATATCGAAGGCCGTCAGCGTCCAGAAATGGCCATTGCAGACCCGATCTCGCAGAGAACGAGTACGAGTCGATAGCCAATGGTAGGAATAGCTCCAGATGAAACGATGGCGACATGTCGGTTTCTTGTGAGACGGAGCCATCAAGAAGACCTCTGTGTGGTTGTGAGGGTGAGCAAAGTGCCCAGCATTCCAGATGGAGGCAGTCTTGTAGCACCCGATGCAATAACTTCAACAGTAAGTAAAGGGCATGTAGAAGACGATTGATATGGGTGCGTGGTGGTGTTGGTGAAGGTTGAGATTGAGTGATCGAGAGCGAGAGGACGGCTTTGACCCGCTATAATCACGTCTCCATTGGCCAGGATAGTGCCGCCGCTAGTTGCTGTACCCGGAGCTTTGGCCATGCACTGAGGAAAAGTTCCGATCGAAATTCGACCATGTCCCGATCAATAACTTCACGCTTTCACATCACAATTGTACAACTATATCGCTGTACAGTGCTGAAAGACAAGATGGGCGGCGTAAAGCGCAAAGAAGCGCCATCTGATGCAGCGAAATCCGAGAAGAAGCAGAAGACGTTCAACTCGAAGTCCAAATACGAAAAGCCTGCAAAGCGATCGCATCTCGAAGACGCAGCCAACGCCGACGAGGATGAGGAAGCTTCAGACGAATTGAACGATAAGAGCGCTACGCGAAACTCTGCGGGTCAAGACGGCAAAGCAAATGGCGGATCCAAACAGTTCAAACTTGAGACGACCTCCGCCGAAGCCCACGCAAAGCAGCGCCAACTTGCGAAGGAACGGAAGGCGGCGAAACCACACGCGGACGTCATTCAACGCTCGAAGCAGCTGTGGGAGCGTCTGCGTAGGAAATCCCATGTTCCCAAAGAGGAGCGGAAAGAGCTAGTGGCAGAACTGTTCAGCATCATCGATGGCCGTGTCCGAGACTTTGTCTTCAAGCACGACAGCGTGCGGGTCATCCAGTGTGCGATCAAGTACGCCAAGCCAGAGCAGCTGAAGAAGATTGTCAAAGAGCTGCAATATGATATGCGAGATTTGGCAGAGAGCAAGTACGGCAAGTTCTTGGTCGCGAAGATGATCATGCAAGGCGATCGCGAAGACAAGGATATCATCATTCCGCAGTTCTACGGGCATATCCGGAGACTGATCAACCATCCCGAGGCTGCATGGATTGTGGACGATGTCTATCGCCAAGTATCCACTCCGCCGCAGAAGGCCATGATGTTGAGGGAATGGTATGGTGCGGAGTTTGCGCTCTTTGGAAAGCAGAGGCCAAATGCTTCGACCGAAGGTGTGACGGGCGATCTCAAGAAGATACTGGAGGAGAGTCCCGAGAAGAGGAAGCCCATCTTGGCATACTTGAAGGAATTTATCAACAAGCTTGTCCAAAACAAGAAGAACGGTTTCACCATGCTGCACGATGCGATGTTGCAGTATTTTCTCGCGCTCGAAGTAGGCAGCGAGGAGCACTCGGAGTTCATGGAAATCCTCAAGGGCGATATCGATGCAGAAGAATCAGATGGCGGAGGCGATCTCTTTCGAAATCTGGCTTTTACCAAGGATGGGAGCCGATTAGTCTGTCTGGTGCTTGCATACGGAAGCGCCAAAGACCGAAAGGTCATTCTCAAATGCTTCAAGGATCACATCGAAGCCATGGCCTTTGATCCGTACGCCAAGATGGTTCTTATAGCCGGGCTTGACATTCCAGACGACACCAAGATGACTTCGCAATCCATTCTCCGTGACCTACTTGGCCTCCAGATGGAAGACTCCACCGAACGCTTCGATCGACTGGAGGCCATGATAACCAACCTGAACTCTCGACTGCCAATTCTCTATCCCTTAGCGGGCTTGCAGAAGTGGCTTGTAAAAGACGCCGAGAAGGCGCTTATCGAAGAATTTCATGCTATCCGAGCCACGACGTCGAAAAAGGCTCCCGAAGTGCGACGGCAAGAACTCATTTCGCACCTCTCGTTGCATTTGCTCGAATTTGTCGCACAACGTGCATCAAATCTTGTTCAAACATCCTTCGCCAGCCAAGCCGTGACCGAAATTCTCCTTGAATGCCACGACAAAGACAACTCGCAGCGCAACGCTGCAAAGGAGGCAGTAGCGCAACTTGCCGAGTGCAATCCGCTTGAACAAGGTCACATTGCTCAAGATGCCGCTGTCGGGCGCATGCTCAAGACGTTGGTACTAGGCGGGCCGTTTGACGCAGCTACGAAGAAGGTCAAGCTTGCAGAGCCTGCACTTGGATTTGCAGAGGCATTGTATCCTGTCATCAAGGAACACATCGTAGAGTGGGCATGCTCGGATTCGAGCTTTGTCGTCGTTGCCCTGTTGGAAAGTGAGGATGTAGACAAGGCAGTCAAGAAGGAGGTTGAAAAGGCATTGAAGACTGGGAAAATGCAGATCAAGAAGGCAGCCGAGGAAGGTAGCGGAAGCAAAAAACCCGGCGATGCCGACGGTGAAGAGGGAAAGAAGAGTAAGAAGAGGAAAGTGGAAAAGCCGAAGGGTAATGCTGGTGCGAGGATCTTGCTGGAAAAGTTCTGAGTGTGTTATCTTGCACGAATATACCATGCTCCCAAACTCTTGCCAGTTGGGTTCTCGAGAGTCCATGCCATTGCTCAGAACACACCAATCTCAGTATTGTCGCTTACACAGCGTGGCTTCTGTATACGCTCCCAGCTACGGACAAGGCGTCGTTTGCAGCTCCGAAACAAGCGCATCTCGGCCCACGATTGCTCTTCCAAACATGTGAGTGCTCTCTGGACATCCTTGCTCTCAGATCATTGATCCAAGTGCAAATCACCAGTTGCCATTGTACTTCCGGTCTGCCTGTGCCTTCTGTAGCGCCTCGTGGAAAGGAGCGAACTCTGCCATGCGCAAGATACAGCGATTGCGGAGCGAACACAACTCGTCTAGGTCTCCCTCAAACTCCATGTCTTCCTCGTCGTTCTCGATTGCAAGGCACAGTCTCTCGTAATATGATTGGAGCTGCTCTGCAGTGAAGGCCTCGTCGATCAGAGTTTTCTGCCGCTCCTTGCGATTGAGGCGGCGCTCAAGCCTGTCGACCTTCGTCTATGCTGATGTCAGTATTTGAGCACATGCGGTCGGGTTTATGAAAGCTACTTGCGGCGAGGTTCTTGACGATCACGCTACCATCGTTACTGTCTTGTGGGCTTGCACTCTTGGGGGTAGGACCGTCGGATGCCCTGTTGAGCTTTTCGTAGATATTGGATTGGCGAGTCAGGAGCACCTCGATCTGCTCGTGGAGCTGGTTGGCACGGAGCTCCAGCTCCCGATGAGCGTTATCGAGATTGTCGATTCGGATGGCCTGCTCGTCATTGTCGCCTGGCCTCTTGACAGTGCTCTCAAGGCGTTCAACTCGGTTGCTGAGCTCTTTCAAGATTAGCTCGACGATGGGCATCTTCTCTTCGATGGGTATTTCGCTGCTCGAGTGACTTGCTGTGTTCTAGTCAGCCTCAAGACACGTGCAAAGATGGGCATTTATCTGCTGAGCTCAACTCACCGGGTGGAGCTGCATCTCCCCCAGGTGGCTCGTCTGGGGCTACCAACTCGACTCGACGCGTGGTGGAGCGGCCGCGCCGACGACCAGGAGAGTCCGATGCGGCCGAGCTGTGTGGATGGATGTTGCTGGCGGCCTTAAGCTTGGCGTTCTCTGTTTCGAGGTTGGCATTCTTTGCTTCAAGTTGACTGCAGCGCGCCTCAGCCGCGTTCAGCCGCGTCTGAAGGTCTTCTGCCTGCGTCTTGAAAGTGAGGATTGCCGACTCCCTAGCATTCGGACCAGATGTAGTACGGCCCTGGCTGAGCGTGCTCGGACTGAACCACTGCGCATTGCCGCGATTCAGGGCCAGTGAGCTAGATGACCTGGGCGTGTACCTCTTGGTCTCTCCGCTCGGAGCGGACTGCGGAGTACTGCTGTTGGTGACTGCCTTGGAAGATGCCAAGTGCGATGGCGTGCCAGCATTGGTGTTCTTGGTCGCATTCTCCCGCATGTCGCCGGATGGCGCGTTGCCTTGGTCGTTCTGGGAATTCGATGAGCCGGGCGATGAGGCTGCAGAGATTGCAGTCGTGTTCTTCTGATCAGCAAGCCCCAACATGCGCAGATGCGGCGGATGCATGATAAGCGTGTGGCTCGAGTGGCGACATGAGGGGAGTGCGGTGCGGCAACAATGGGTGAGCTTGGCGAGGGTGTTGTCGAAGAGGCGGAGGTGGAAGAGGAAGAGGAAGAGAAGGAAGAGGGAGTTTCAATCGTTATTCGCGCCGTTTGCTTGGCTTTGGCGCGGGAGGCTCCGTGCTTGCTTGAGGAAGGACCACACTCGCCCCTTTCCCCTTTCGGCGGTTTACACATGTGACAACAACTCCGCTGCTACTGAATCCTCGCTTCGGTCTCACTTTGGCCTCACCTTTGCCTCGCTTTGTCGGCCATGACAAGCCGAGATTCTTTGTTCCTCGGTCAAGAACTTACTTTTGATTGTTGGGAAAGCTGGATGTGCGAAGACAACACCGACTGCCATGATCGCCAAAGCCCGCCCTTCGAGGATCTACGACGCTTGTTAGCCGCATTTCTTAGACATGATCACTGGAAGTTGCAGACCTACGAAGGGCCATCGCCATCCACGGATACCTTCAACACCATCCATTTAGGCGGTAACAGCACCTGCAAGAAGGCTCGACAGAGCTCCTGCAGATACAACAGAAGTATCGGGCCGCGCAAAGCGACCGGTGAGCTCATACTTCTTGTACCAAGAAGAGAGGTAGAACCTTACTTCCCGGCTGCCGAGAGAAGCAGAGGTTAGCTGACGCCTTCTTGGCATAATAGTTGCTCTCCACGATCTTGCCGCGAAGCCAGCTTCGGAGATGCCGAGGAGAAATCCCAGGGCGATCAATGGCTTGTGTGAGTGGCAACTTCGGCCGTCAGGAAATCGTCGTAATCGCTCCAGCAGTTCGGGAAGCTCAATCAAAAGGCATCGACGTACAGAGCCCATTCCCCTGCGACACCATCGTCATCAAGCGACAGCACTTTGACGGCATAGTGACGATGTAACATGACTAGAGCCAGATTGCGCCGAAGCTTTTATCTTTTGAAAGAGGCGTCACGGTACAACGGCGGTCTGCCGATGATCATTGTGACTCCTAATCATGGTACCGCATTTGAAATTATCGCAAAGTATCTTACGAGGACTTACAGTACGCAGCAGGCTTTCAATCTGGCCGTGGCCATGGCGAAGAGACGAACGGAGAAGCCGAGCGAAGGCGGCGAGGCCTCTATTCCATTTTCTTCAGAGGAAATGCGATCATCGAAGGTGCAGACTGCGGTGACAGTGGTAGAAATGCCATCGTCGTGCTGTTGAGATGATTGCCAGATTCGACTTTGCACTACGTTAGCTGTTTCAACTTTTTGTGTCGAGGAATGGAGCATCATTTACTCAAAGGTCCGGCAAGAATCAAGCCCATAGACTATACTTTGCAATGGACTCGACTTGCTCCCCTTCCTTCCTTTGCAGCGTCTTTCTACAGCGCAACATTTTTGTCTTAACGAACATTCCAGCGAGAAACAACACGAAATCGAGTCGGATAGCGAAAAATCACCGGTGGCAGCCGTCGAGATAACACTAATGTCCGAAGACACTGTGTGGCACGCCTACGATGTTGTGATACGCCGTCGAAGCGTGCCCTACACGGCAACTGGCGGATGGAACGAGCAAGCTGCGTGCTACATGTTGCGACTCCTAACGCCGAGGTTTCACTCGAAGCGGCAAATGACCGTCGGCTAGAAAGGAGTGTTCTGTTGCAGCAGCATCAATCCGATAATGACGACAGACCAGATTGGATACTCATGGCCGGCAGAAAGTTTTCGTTATGTCGGCGAATGGCCGAAGACTCCATGCAAGCAGCTCAACTTCACTCTTTCCGTCTATAGAATGGAGCAAGCGGGGAGTAGCACACAAGAACGGCGATCTGAGGTCGGGGTGATTAGAGGGTATTTCGGCTAAGCAGCCAAGCGTCAGAAGCGAGGCAATGTGAGCGTGACCAAAGATGCTATCGCGGCCAAATCGAGTGAACCTGCTCCAATTGTCGAAGGCTCAAGGTCAAATGCTTCGTTACCGATGGAATTCGAAACAACGATAGCTGCTCGAGATGCTCCAGAGTGAGATTGACACGTCTGAGAGAGAAGAGATCCTAGGCTGTGCCGTACAAAGAGGAGCCTGGACACTTGCAGCTCACGATCACGAAGCTCGAGCGAGCTTTGGAAGACGTATTGGAGCGTCTGGAAATGCCAGCGTTGGATCTTTATACCTTTCCCGCAATCGTCGAGCCAAGAGCACCACGGCACTCCTCCAGGCCAATCTTAGAGGAACGTGACGACAGAGATGGGGAAAGAGTTCGAGATGTCCTATCGGGTCCTATTAACAGCTTGATCGAGGCAACTAGACTCAATGAGCTTCGCAGTCAGTTACGGTCTGTCAAGCAGAGACGAAGAGGTGGCGTGCGACGTAAAGACCACGATCTCATCTCGGAGCGCCTTCTCCAGAACGGCGAAGCCGTGCACGTGCTACAATTCTTCCAGACATACCAGTCTCACCGCCTGTGTTCAGCGAGTATTAGCATGGATGCGACTGTAGCAAGCCTCCGCGCGTCTTCGACGGTACCTGTTCACGGCCGTAATGCTCGCTGGAGCATTACTACTCCACGGGGAGGGAGCATTACAAGAGAAGATCCAGAGTCATTTCATGGGCCTTGTTTCTTCTGTCATGTAGGACCGCTTTCATTCGCTTGACGATATTCGTGGCCTGTGCATCGCCGCTTCCTGGCAACCACATGCCAGCTGGAAGCTGACCGCGCTAAGCATCCTTATGGCGACGGAGCTCAACTTGTATCACGCCTTTTTTACTGCCTTCTCTGATCCGGCAGCAAGTGCAGAAGAGCGCAAGGCATGTGTGGAGAGAACGCGGTTGTAGTATTTGTTGCATGTCCTGGATCATCAGTCGATGATAGCGTACGGACGCCCGCCGTGCATGACAGAGCTTCGACCAATGAAGGAATGCGAATTGGTCCTGAACCCTGAAGTTTGTGCCGTTTCAGATAGAGCGCTGATTGCTCAAGTAAGTGGTCTTGTTCCTTCAGGAAGAGCATTTGATCACTTTGGATTCAATCCTAGGCGGCTCATGACTGGCGATGACACTTCTGTCTTGCACCACTTTCGATTTGCTGACGACCTTCAAAGCTGACGAGACCCTTGGAGCGATGCAGAAAACAGCGATCCGGGTTGCATCAGCCTGTCCAGGACAGCGGAACGGCGGACAAGCGCTTGGAGGATTTTGGTCCTTCCTTGAACCTCTAGACTGGTAGTAGAGCCGTAAAGCGGCATGATGCTCCCCGTTCCCGCCTACGTCGCGCAAACGCATGTAAGTCGATGACCCAATGGTTGTGTCCCAGGGTACACGGCCTTGGTGTGACGACGCAGCTGCAGGCTGTCACTGCCATGCTGTTGGTTGCATGTAACCACAATGTCGTGGTACAATACTGTGTAAAAGGATGTGTGGTAAATGGAAGAGCACTCGAGTAGGAGGGTGAGGTGAGGTGAGGTGAGGTTCGTGGTGGAGTGGGTTCTTGCTGCACGTGACAGCGCGAGCACGCGTCACGAGGATCGGGGACCGGAGGATCGGCGCCAGATTGGGGATAGAGTCTGGAGAAAGGGGGCACACAATTTACACTTGGGGCTTACGCGCCAGGGTGCAAGTCGAGACTCTCTCGCTCACAACCGTCGCACACACATCACTTCCACCACATCAAACCTCACTTCCCTCTCGTGGGCGTCTTCTTTCCTTGCAACACGTTCCTTATCCCAGCACTGGAGCAGGTGCAGCCATTCTTTTTCCAAGATTCACCATCGATCCACCATCTGTTACCATCCCAAACCACATTAATCCCCGACCACCGAACGAACAACGACCCGCGAACCCCTCGAAACACATCACGAAACGAGACGAGAATGCGCGCCTCTCTCGCCATCGCGGCCCTCGCCGCTGTGCCCTCTGTGCTCGCCGCAGAGAAGGGCCGCCTGGGCTTCTCCCTGGGCACGAAGAAGACCGACGGTACCTGCAAGTACCAGGCAGACTACGAGGCCGACTTCGACGCCATCAAGGCCAATGCAGGCTCCACCATCGTCCGTGGCTACTCCGCCTCCGACTGCAACAACGCACAGTACATCCTCCCAGCTGCCAAGTCGAAGGGCTTCCAGGTCATTCTGGGCATCTGGCCCGACACCGACGAGAGCTTCAACGCCGACACCAAGGTGCTGAAGCAGTACGTACCACAATACAAGGACCAGGTGTACGCCGTCACTTGCGGCTCTGAGACTCTCTACCGTGGCAACTTCACTGGTGAGCAGCTGTTGGAAAAGATCAACCAGGTCAAGGCCATGCTGCCTGGCACCAAGGTCGGCACTGCGGATTCGTGGAACAAGTTCAACGACGGAACTGGAGATGCTCTGATCCAGGGTGGTGTCGACCTCATTCTCAACAACGGTTTCGCCTACTGGCAGGGCGCTGCGGCTGGCGCCGATGCCAAGAAGATCTTCTTCTCCGACATGTCGCAGGCCCTCGCCCACATCCAGAAGCTGGCTGGCAGTACCGACAAGGTTGAGTTCTGGTGCGGAGAGACTGGATGGCCATCTGACGGTGGAAGCGACTACGCGGCGGCCAAGGCTGGTACTACCAATGCTAAGAACTTCTTCCACCAGGGTGTCTGCGGTATCTTGGCCTGGGGCATCAACGCCTTCGTCTTCGAGGCCTTTGACGAGTGAGTATGAAGACTCTACCAAGTACGATCAGCAACTAACGATATTCTAGGCCATGGAAGCCAGACTCAGTCGGTGACAACGGCTCGTCTCAGGACGAGAAGCACTGGGGTCTCATGACCTCGGACCGCACGCCCAAGTACAGCCTTCAGTGCTAGACGACAGCACAGCATGATATGCACATGTGAACAATGCATTCCACTGCGGCATCTTTGACTACATTGGGCGAATTGGTTGGACAGTTTGGCGGGTGGCACAAAACCGGTGTTGTTTGATCTTTGTGTATATTCATTGGGGCTTCGAGGTTGCCGTTCTGCGACTGGCACGCCAGGATGCAGGTGAACGTAATGGAACGTCTTCATCCCGAAATTGTGGCCATCATGAGATGGTGCTTTTGAGTATGGGTATCTCTTCCCGACAAAGACTCAACTCCCCAACGCCTGCGCTTGCGAAGATTGTTAGCTGGATGGTCCCGGATGAAACCCTCTCAATCATCGAATCCACCAAAGTTATCCCGGTCCTCTTCAGCATTGTCCTCTTTGCCATCAGCTGCCTCTCCTTCCGTCCTCCATCGCTTCCCCTCGTCAGCTAGTCTCTCATCTCCCACCGTCTCCTTCGCCCGATCCCTCACGCTCTTCACGAGACTTTCCTTTCCCAGCTTCTTCACCGGCTGCATCATCTTCTCCACCACCCCATCCTCCCCGTCCAGAACCCTTTCCAACTCATCGACCCACACATCTAAGACGTGTAACCGCAATCCTACTGGGACTTTCGCATCCCGCGGACTCAAAGCGCCCCCGTCGCCCGAGATCATCTCATTGTACGCATCAACAGTATCCTTCTCTTTAGCCACAACCTCGAACCCTTTCTTCACCATACACCTCACCAAGTAGAGGTACTTATCCATCCTCAGATAATCTATATTCCCCCATTCTCTTGCCATGATGGTCCAGAAGCCCGACAGAAAGGACGACTTTGCCTCTGCAGATTTCAAAGTGTCGACCAGGTCTGCGAGATCTCGAGCGAGGGTCTGTTGGTTTCGTGGCTTGTCGCACATGTACATACTGTAGAAGAGGCCTTTCCACAGTTTCAAGGTCTCTAGGTTTGAGAGATCACGGGCGGGGTGGGAGAGGTAGGTTCGGAGGGAAGAGAGGGCTTGACGTCGATGGGTTGGGTCTGTGAAGGGGATTAGTATAAGTGATTTGGTGCGAATTTGGATCGCGAGGTCGTAGACGTACTGCTTGACGCGAGTTGCTTGATGAAGGGACTATTATGTTGCGAGGACGCTGTGGTCTTGATCGAGGCCATCTTGGCCTGGTCGAGGGTACTCTGGCTGTTAGCGCAAAGTCGGAGTTGAAGTTGGTGGAGGATTTTCTTCAAGTGAGGTCGGCGTTAGAGGAGCTAAACGCCGAAGCTTCAATCAAGTTCCGACGGAAAGTTCAATCAGCTTTGATGAGGGCCATGTGACAATGCTACACGCCTCAAATCGGTGACTTTGGATAATACATCTGTTCCTTTCGTGGCTCTACTTTGCTATCTGTGAGAATGTCTAGGTGGTTCTAATATATGGAATCCTCTAATTCAGTTTTAAATATCCTCTAGAATGAATATGTAAAGTTAGGTTCCGTAGAAAGGCCGTGTTATGCTTACGTAAGGTCGCGCCTTCTAACCTTACCTTTCTAAACTGCTTAACTTAAACTACGAACTTCTAAGCCACGACCTACCCTTAAACCCACCTACAACACGTTCTTTCTACTACGAAAGTAAGCAAAATTTACTAATTACACCGTGCCGAACGCATCTAGATCACATGCCGCGCTTCAACGCGCCTCCGCCGCCTTACGCACGGGCCACATATGCCTTAAGGGCTAAGGATATTGTGGAAGTGCTCTGCCATCGCAAAAATGCCGGTGTAAGTATCTACGCCATCTATACTTGCTAATCCAGCGCGCTAATCGGTGTAGGCGGAAGAATATCTCGTGAGGTGGGCCATTGGCGGCCAAGCTGGACCGCGCGCGCGTTGCTCCTGGCACACCCTGCCGGAACTTTGGAGAGTCCTCTACTTGGTGCAGGAGTACATTGAGAGTCGCCTTCAGCCTGATAGGACTTCGGAGACCTCTTCAGATGCGCTACAGCTGCCTGCGCTGCCTCAGAACAGAAAGCGAAAATCGCCAGATCCTGACCATGCTTCGCCGCGTGAGCGTCGGGGCGAGCGAAACGAAATACTTCGGCCGAATGGGCTCCTGACGCCACACGACAATCTTTCCCAAGCATCACGTGCGTCCTCGGTCATGAGTGTCGGGTCATCGTTAGAGGCCGCACATGCATCTTCGGGACCGGACAACAACGAGCTCCGCTTGTACGGAGTCACACTACGCAAGAAGGAAGGGCATCTGCTCGCCCAGAAGTGCAATGAGTCCCCGCTACTTAATCCGAGCAAACTACCAGAAGACTGGCTCCAGACCGCTTCTATAACTCCCGTTGATCAGGCCGAGAGGTTTATGCGACAAAAGTTCCTCGAGATGATAAAGCCGGTCGGCAACGTGCGCTTGGAGAACAAGATCGACTCTACGACGCCCTCACTAAACTTCACCTTCATCGATCGATATGTCTTCCAAAATGGCATCTATGTGACACCGATCGAAGCGGTGGAAGGCTGCCCTGCGCCGTGCAGAGCGAACATGGGCGGCTTCTGCGGCTGCGAATACACGCAGAAGTGCGGATGCCTTGAGTACGCCGCTGTTGACGAGATCAATCTTCAGAAGAAAGACGGAGAGGTTTATGAGGCGTGGAAGAAAGCCAGAGAAGACCGAGTTCATTTCGACTCACTCGGCCTGCCCAAAAGATTCCCGTATTCGAAGAAATCCAAGGACGCTGGCGCTCATCGACCTCAAACACTTGTCTCGTACTATCTGGAATCTCGGAACATCATCTACGAGTGCAACCAGAATTGTAATTGCGGACCGGTGTGCAAGAGCAGACTGGTACAGAAAGGCCGAAAAGTACCACTCACAGTCTTCAAGACGAAGGACCGAGGGTGGGGAGTGAAATGTGACGAATATCTCGTTCGCGGAGAGTTCATCGACACATATCTTGGTGAAGTGATCAGTCAAGAAGAAGCCGATAGGAGGGAAGAAAAGGCTGGCGAGATGAAGAACTCGTACTTCTTCGGACTGGACAAGTTCACGCGCGATCCGAATTATGCTGCATTTGCGGACATCGACCCTGACGACTGCCATGTCGTGGACGGACAACACATGGGTGGTCCCTCTCGCTTCATAAACCACAGCTGCGAGCCGAACTGCCGCCAATACACCGTATCGTACAACAAGAATGATCCATACGTATACAACTTGGCATTCTTTGCATACGACAATATCCCGGCCGGCGAGGAGCTGACTTTCGACTACATGGATGGTGACGAGGAAGAAGAGGAAGAAGCTGTTCGAAGGAGGGAGGAAGCGCTTCGGGATCCCGCTAATGCGCACAAGATCCGGTGCAATTGTGGTGCGAGAAAGTGCCGTGGATTTTTGTGGTAGAAGACCAGACATTGGGATCAAGCAAGAGTGGCGTCTTGGAGAAGTTGTCAACATTTGTGGTTGGAAAGATAGAGCGTACTGGGCCGCGGGACGGGAGAAGGCATCACAAGAGAAGGAGCTGTACGTTTCACTTCGGCTCAAGAATCGCGGCCTCCTTGCTTGGAAGCGGCAATGACCTTCCCCGTTCACCCCCATCGCTACTACTAAGGTACCTTCACTTAGCTTGGCTTCTACGAAAGGACTGGAAGTTCTTTGCCCCACGACGCATCAACATCAACGTCGACAGACCGACACGCATGCCGCAACGGGAGGACCGTGGGAGGTCCACAATCACTCCGTCCATTCATGTTCCATCACGCAAGTGCAAACACAGCGACAACACCGATGTCACCGATGACACCGAAGAGAAGGCCGCCTCGGTCGGAAAGATCACCTAGATGCGGTGGACGCCAAGACTTGCTTGACTATGCAGCGAAACACCTTCCCAATCATGGGAAAGTCGCTGACACGCGATCACCATCGAATTTTACTATTTAGACCGCCCCGCGCAGCTCTCTGTTCCTTCATCGACTTCCAACGCTAGCAGTGCTGCCTGAACTCAGATCGAAATGTCTCGCGAGCGGTCGATGCAAGATGCTACGAGGGACACGGCCAATACCGCGATCATGAACCCAAGGTATTCGTTCCTACATTTCGCCGGGGAAATTCGAAACCTCATCTACAAGAAAGTGCTGGAAGAGCCTCCAGTGGAAGTCAAGCGCAACACGTGGATGCGAGACTTGCTCATGCGTGCCCCTCTTGCCAATGTCAGCAGACAGATTCGGAAGGAATTCTTGAGCTTGGTGGAAAATTCTGGTATGATGCGAATCGAGAGGATACACACGGCTGTTTTCGAGATACTGACAGCGGTCTAGCTGAAGAGCGACTCATCGTCCACAATATGGACCTCGATGGCAGCGGGCCGGGATATCCGGACCCTGGATGCTCGCCACTCCGTATGCTCCTCTGCCGTGCGAGGACAGGCCCAGCGGGGCAGGGGATGCTCAAGCTGCATATGATCTTCACATTCGACAGTGTGGCCAAGCTTTGTCCAAACCACTTCGATCTGATGTCATGGCTCACGTGGGTCGCATTTGCGGTGGAAGAAGGTCATGAGCTTGATTTGAACTATGCTGGTATTTTTTGCCGGACAGGAGGGGATAGCAGAGATGAGAGCCTAGTGTGCATTAGGCGAACTTGCCTCGACAGATTAGTAGGCTTCACGAATGATGCGAATGGTGCGGAAATTTGGGAGGCGATCCGCAGCGCGTTCCCACGTGCTGTGCAGGAGTGCGAGGAGCAACAAAGTAGGAACGGAGGTGGCTATAGCAAGGAGTGAGACGAGTCGAAGAAGCGATGTCTTGAATATGGCTTTTCTGCTCCTCTGCGTCCTTGGATCTTATGGCTAAGCTCGATTTCTCGACTTCTCATCTAAGAAACTCGCTCGCGGAGAATGCAAAATCAAGGGTACGAAGTCGAGATGCCTCCATCATTACCTTAAGTCTGCATCACCTGATCTGGATGTTGGCCCATGCTTGGTGCCTCAAGTTGCTGTAAGCTCCCCAATTCTCTTCTTCGCCGAGGCAAAGATATCTGGCGCAACAAGAAAAGCCCAAGCAATCACAATTACTCAACATGAAGCATCTTGCGGCGTGCTTGTCAGCAAACGAAGGCCTGCAGAATACTCGAGAGTCCGTCTACTCCGATATGGAACCTACAAACAGTGCGCCTGACTCCACGCATGTTGACAAGGCACCTCGTGAGCGCTGCCTCTTCCTCGAGCTCCCGGTGGAGTTGCGCGATAACATCTCCGATGGCCTCCTTGAGCACTTTCCACCAACCATCTTTCGTAAACCCCGCAAGAAGATGTCGACCGAGTCTGCTCTGCTCCGAGTGAGTACAGAATTCCAGCCGCTGCTTCCTTGACGACGACAGCTAAGCAGCGCGGGTCACTGATGTTGGGCTTTGTTCAAATCATGAGGTATTACGCGAGAAAACTGCCAGGCTGCAATTTCCGAGGCTTCTTACTGTTGAACCATGGGAATGAAAGACAAAGGATCGTGAGGTAGTTCAGTGCGGTAGCCAGAAAGAAGTTTCTGCTTTCGCCCGAGGTACGCCGTTTGATGTTTATCTAGATTACGCAAACTTTATCTTGAGCGTCTCCTTCTGCTTGCCAAAAAAAGAGCAAAAAGAACTTCGGAAGCTGACTGAAGAAATGACGCTACGCCGCGATCACATGTAGCCGACCTTCTGCCGTCGGCAAACTTTTGGTCCGTGCAAAGACCCGACTGACCTCAAATTCCTCTTCGAGCCTTCTTGATCGAAACATAGACTTCGTACCCAAGCAGATGCAAGATGGCCGCTCTCTCCTCCTCGAACTTCCCCGAGAGCTGCGGGAGAACATCTACGACAAATTACTTGAGGACAAGGTCAATATAGCGGCGATGTACGACTCTGCACGCAACCTCGTCGGAGCTCACAAGATCGTGGCTGGCACTGGGCTCATTTGCGTGAGCCCAGAGTGTCGGGCGTCTCTGAGTATTTACTTGTTCCGCTAACCTGTAAGATCTAGGCCAGTAAGCAAGTCAACAAAGAGCTCAGCGAACGCCAAGACGCCGGGGAAGCACCTGTTCACACGATCGTGCACAGACTCAATTTCGATCGTGTCATTGAGGCATCTGAGGACTCAGGACGCAATTGGGAGCGGCGACTTGAAGTCAAGCTATCGGCGTCCTGCTAACCTTTGATGTCGCAGCCTGTCGAGAATCTGACCAGCAACTAAGTATTATTGAGGGATTTTCGATTTTGCGATTATCAGCATGACATGCTTGCTGAAATCAAAATGCTCATCATGATACTCACCCGCAGCCTGACCGCCTGAGCACATCATGTTGTCCTCTGTTTTGTCTTTGACTCTGAGCAAGCCGCATGGAATTACATGCATCCTCTGTTTTGCCGAAAGTAGCCACCACATGCGAGCGAAGTTTCCGCCTTTCTCTACTGAAACTTCATCTTGGATTCCAAGGAATCTCAACATCATTTCGCCTCCATATCATGACAAATTCGGATGGCTGATCCCAGAGGCCGACGCCTGACGGCTGCTCATTGCTACTCGACTTGCCGCGAGAGCCTCGCGATATGGTCTATGACGACGTCCTCCAGAATTCTATCAAATTGCGAAATGACTCCGAGACGCCATCCCTCATCCATGCCGTCCGCGCTGGCCTGTGGAAGTCAAGATTTTAATCGCTTTGGAGTCTTTTTCTCAACCGAGCCACTAGCATTCTACAAGCAAACGGACAGACTCACCGCGAGATGTCAGAGCGTTCGACACCCAGAAAATCAGTCGAGTTTGGATTCCTCAAGAGCATAAGTCTGTAGCACAATACCACCCCATCATACTTTACTGGCCAGGGACAATCGCCCAAGTCTCGATTTCGTACTTTCCCCCAGGTAGGGCGAGTCTCTGTACCGGCAACATGGCGCTCGCCGGTCGATGATCGATCCCCAGCCAGTCAATAAATGTCTTGGCAGGATTCTGCTTCTCGTAGTCAAAGTCCACGACGTGATGTGTGACTTTGAAAATGTCTCTTTTCGTTGCTCCAGCTGCGGTAAGACAATTTTCCAGATTGGACAGGGCAAGTTTGACTTGTTCCTCGAAGTCTCCCGGAGGTGGCTTTGTTACATCCTCGTAGATGGCGAGCTGTCCGGTGATGGCGACGATCTTGGCCGGACCGGTGAGGTTGAAAACGTTCACTTGGCTGAATTGCGGCTGGGGAGGTGGAACTCCGTTCGGATTGATGGTCGTCGATGAGTTGGAAGACATTATGATATCGCCGAGTTGGTCGGTGATGCCTCCGGTAGTCCCGTCTGAGGGTGGCGAAGAAGATGTGTGAGTGGGCAGAACCGTCTGGGATATTACCTGTCTCGGGTAAAAGGCAATGGAGGCATATGATGCCAAGCCCGCTGACGCCAATGTGGAGCTTTGTGCTTGATGTTTTGGATTGTGATGACGGATGACCACTGCACCTCACTCACCATCGCTTGCGACACGATATCACATGGCTTTGCTCTCCGAAGCTCTCCTCTCCTCCCCTCTCCGGCATGGGCCACAATGCGGCGAGTCTCGCTCTCCCTTTTAAGCGCGTTGCCGGGCTGGACTCCGCCACGTGCAAGGCCTCCACCCCAAGTTTGAGCCTATGTGAGCCTCTCTTGGGATGAGCGGGCTGTATAGCACATAGGGCTCCCCGCACATGAGGCGTCATCGTCTATGTCTATTCCAATTTCCACCGCGACTTGACACGCGATCCAGACAGAGGTCCCAACATGCGCCTGCCGAGCCGATTTCTTCCAAATCAGTGGTCAAGTACCAGACATCTCTGCTCCCTGTTCCTTTCGACTCCAATTTCATTCTCCTAACGCTCTTAATCTACTCTCCATCATCTGTCAAAATGTCCATCCAAACGCTCGACGTCCACGGCAAGAAGATCAGCCTGCCAACTGGTCTCTTCATCAATGGCGATTTCCGCGCAGCCCAGGCCGGCAAGACATTTCCGGTCGAGAACCCGGCTACCGGCAAGGAAATCATCCAGGTCGCAGAGGGAATGCCGGAGGATGTCGACGAAGCTGTCAAGGTCGCCCGATCCGTCTTCAAATCCAAGGAGTACTCTGACTTTGGCGTCATAAATCGTGCCAAGGTCATGCACAAGCTCGCCGACTTGATGGAGGAGCATTTCGATGAGCTGGTCACATTGGAGATGCTGGATACGGGCAAGACGAGGCATCAGGCTAGCAACCTCGATGTGCCTGCTAGCATCGGGACTATCAGGTACTTTGCTGGATGGTGTGACAAGGTCCTCGGACAATCGAATTTCAGCATCCCCAATGTCTTTGGATACACACGACGAGAGCCCGTGGGAGTCTGTGGACAGATCATCGTGAGGGTCATCCTGCCGACGTCGACCTGACAACGCTAATGATGCTTCACAGCCATGGAACTTTCCTCTTCTCATGTTCACCTGGAAGATTGCTCCCGCCTTTGCTACCGGCAACGCCGTCGTGATCAAGGCTGCCGAGACCACCCCACTCAACGCTCTGAAGATGTGCGAACTCATTAGCAAGGCTGGCTTCCCTGCGGGATCTATCAACCTCGTCAACGGCTACGGCAAGACGGTAGGAGCAGCGATTGCTCAACATATGGATGTCGACAAGGTGGCATTCACCGGATCCACAGTCACAGGGCGAGCCATCCTCATCGCGGCCGCCAAGTCCAACCTGAAGAAAGTCACACTCGAGCTTGGAGGCAAGAGTCCAAACATCATCTTCCCTGATGCCGATCTTGAGAAGGCAGTCGACTGGAGTGTCTGGGGCATTCACATGAACTTTGGTCAGACTTGCCATGCGGGAACCCGTATCTACGTGCACGAGGATGTCTATGACAAGTTCCTGGAGGCATACACGGCGAAGATGAAGGCCATCACGGTTGGCGACAATTTCGACGATAAGAACTCTCAAGGCCCGCAAAACAGCCAGGTGCAGTTCGACAAGATCTCGAGTTATCTGAAGCTCGGGAAGGATGAGGGAGCAACTGTCCACCTCGGTGGTAACGCGAAGCAAACAGACGGCGGCTACTACATTGAGGTATGTACATGGTATCGCTTGGTCCCATGATATCACTAACCCAGCGTCTCCACAGCCTACAATCTTCACCGACGTACAACCCGACATGAAGATCGTCAAGGAGGAAATCTTCGGCCCTGTTGTCGTTGTCGCCAAGTTCAAGTCGGAAGAAGAAGTCATCGAGATGGCGAACGACACTACATATGGTCTGGCCGCGGGAATTCACACCAAGGACTACGAGCGAGCGGTCAGAGTCACCGCCGCTCTCAAGGCAGGCACAACATGGGTCAACATGTTCAACTTTGGTGAGATATTCAGCGCCGCCGCCCGCTGTGGTACTCTATTGCTGACGACTAGACAGTCCACTGGTCAATGCCCTTCGGCGGCTACAAGGAATCCGGAATCGGAAGAGAATGCGGCGATGCGGCACTGGAGAACTACACCGAGACCAAGACGGTGTATATGAACATGGGTATGCCGCCGCCAACCGACGGAAGCAAGTAAGACGAATGCCGTTGAGTAGGTCCCTTCTTGGAGCAAGTCGCACATGAGGAAGCACTAGAAGAAAGTAGGGTATCACAACCACCTTCCATCACCCAGAGAAGTCCGTCACCATTCGTCGATTTCATAGATGCTGCGATTAGGATCAAGCTGCGTAGGCATTCTGGCCGCCCATTGTGACCCGCAAGCTCGACGGGGAGAAGCTGAAAATGGCGCCCTCTTGTGGTGCACCTGCGGGAAATGTCAGCGTAGAACTTCTTCATGCATTCGTATGGCTTAGGACGTCTCTGACCTCCATCGGGAGCGACATCGTCGTACGGGAAGGCATATCCTCTTCCATCGACATTCGCGGCATGGACGATGCGAGCGTAATGCTGACAAAGCACTAGGTCAGCCATCAAGCCTCACATGTAGTAGTAGGTGGCTTCAATCCTCACGTTGGTTGGACTGTTGGTATAGTACTGGCTCGCATTGGTTCCATTCGGAGTTTCCGAACTGAGCAGCAAAAGGGTCCGGTTGAAAGCCGCCGCTAACCTCGGAATGATCGAGTTCGTCTTCGCGTTACTACCGGTGGCGAACGGACCGGTCGAATTACTAAAGATATCGGCAGAGGTCGGTCTGGAGAAAGTACTGCCGTCGCCGAAGTCGAGCACACCGTTGCTGTTGACTTGGCCTGTCACAGTCCCCCACTGGGCCTGGGTGTTCAGTTGGAGGGACTGGGAGGTGTAGCGGGACCAGACTGGGTTGAACAAGGTCAGCGAGACAGGATAGCTGGGCACCCTGATAGGAGAGTCTACCTTGATTAACGTAGTCAGTCCAGTACGTCTGGAACCAAGACGGGTTCGTCGTAATGCCCGAGTTTGGACTCAAAGCTCTAAGATCCTGCCCATTGTTTTGCACAATCAGCGAACTCCACCTCCTTCCATCGGCTGCCGTCTGCGCTCGGAGACCGTTTGCAACAGTGGCCAACCCGTTCGGTCCCATGCCACTGACATGCTGGCTTGTGCCGGAAGTATCGTTGAGTGTGAGGGCAATGGGGACATTGCTCACGAAATCGACGTAGCTGATGTTGATAAAGACCTGGGCAGAGTTGAACGTGAATTCGCAGAAGCCGAAATTCACATTGTAGTTTGCATCCGACTGGTTGAAAACGGAGGGTTCAACAAGGCCAGGACCTGGATTGAGGAGGAACGTCAGAGGGGTGCCGATGGAGAACCAGATTCTTGCACCCGCGAGACGAGGGATGGTGGCGTTGACGATGTTGCCAGGAGCCCCGAGCGCAATGGAGCAATTGACGGCAAGGCTTGCCCCAGTGGTGGAGGGACTAGCTGGATAGTAGGGTGTCTTTGCGTCGGCCTGGAGGAGAAATACAGCGTTGTTGTTGTCCAGGGCCAGACCGGCTGAGGAAGTAGAGGTTAGTGAAAGGTTGTAACATCCGTAAGAAAACAAGAGGACGGACTGATGTATGCATAGACTTGGTCTGAAGTAGACTGGTTCTCGAGCTGGACTTGCAGCGTTCCAGTCCCCGTGGCGGCTGCGGTCTGCTGCGTTGCTGCGCGGTTGTTGATGCCCGCTGGCGGTCTTTGTGTGCTGGGCTGACTTGTCGTCGTCGTCGTGGTCGTCTGCTGCGCAGGCTGAGATGGAAGTGTTGCGGGTTGGAGGTAGGGTTCAGCCGCCTTGGCGGCAGTCGTAGGAGTTGTCGGAGTGGCAGTGGGCTGGTCCTTGTTCTTGCGCATGTGCCTGTTGACAAAGCTCTTGATTCTATCTTTGCGGGACGACATTCCGGCTTTGAGGGAGAGGGAGAAATCAACGGCGAACAAGCACATGCAAGGCAAGAGTTCAAAGGAATAAGACGTCTATGAGTATGTCAGGTTAGGGAAGATTTGGGTTGTTTGAAAGAGAATCAGGAGGTGTAAGACTTCCGATTTGGAAGGTGTCTGCGAATGGTGATGGGAAGGAGTCCGGGGCGCTTGAAATACTCACTCTGATGTTCGCGCTTGCCCATCCATCGTGACCCACGAGCTGCCGGCATCAACAACAAAGACAACGGTGTCAAGCTCAGGCTAAAGGACTTGATGTCATCGCGTTGTAGGAGAAAGTCGGAGAGCGCTACTGACCGCAACGCCTACGCGATCCGAGACTTGGATCTGGAGCACGCGAGGGTATTATTGGTCTAGGGGGAGTCCGACTCGCGTGTATACCAAGTCTTGCAGGAGTTTGCAACCCCCGTCTCCAGCTAGGGTCCCGAACCTGCGACGACGGCACGCGTCCGGGCCTGTGGACAGGATGCTCGGCGCGAGTGGGCGGCGGTCACCTGCTGTCCGCAGTGCATGTGCACGAGGATGCGTGCTGTGCGTCGGTAAAGGCATAAAGTGCGGTACATGTCAAGATGTAGGGAATTCAGGCGCCGTGCAGCGCTCTCGCTGTTCTGCGCTGCAGGGGTGGTGGTGAGTGAGACATCGGGCAACGTGACGGCGAGCTTCGATGACAATACCCATTGTACGCGCACGCGACATCCGCCTCCCGGTGGAGATGCTGTGATCGTCTCCCTCCACACCGGAGACTGCTCACGCTTTGGGAGAACCTGTGGTACGGTGCCAGGTGAGGTCCAAGTAAGCTCGGGTTTGGCTGCTGTAGGCTAAGGGGATGGTCGACGCCCGACATCCGAGTGATACAACATGTCAGCCCTATCGCGACAGTTGCCTGCTTCTCCAAATACATCAAATCCGTGTCCAGGGGTATCATCGTAAACAACCCAGAACTCCGCAGACTCCACGCTAACGATGCGCACTCACTCCTGCAACAACCCATGGTCCGCACCTCTATACGCCACCTCAGTTTCCAAAAGGATTCAAGGACGCTCTCGTGTTGGAGATCAGCTGCCGACGAAGCGCCTCTTTCCGACTGTCTTTGGTCTCTTCGACCGACCGCGACTTGGCCACCGTCTGAACCGGTGCACGGAACATGGCTCTTGAACTGGCGTCGCGGGGGAGAGGGTCCTCACCGAACGTGACGAGCTTGGCCCGTACGCCGTCTTCCATCGATTCCGGTAAGAGCTCCATGCCAGTACCGATGCGGTCTTTGATCGCCTGTACAGCATCTTCCTCACGCTTTAGCTCCGTGCGCTCTTGCCGGAATGTCTGGCGCATCCTTTTATTGGCGGCCCAGGGATCGTCCCAGTCCCGATCGCGAGCTTGGTACAGCTCCACGACCCGTTTCGCATTGTCTTTGGTCTGCGCCTTCTCGTCGACCTTGCCTTCAAGCTGTGCAAAAGCATCCTCGCGCCTTCTCTCGCGCTCCTCTGCTGTCAAGATGGGTACACCATTCCCGCCCTCTCTAACGCGGTCCTCGGCTTCTCCGTAGTCTCTCGCTTGGCCACCTTCGGTAACAACATAGGCGGTGTTCTTGGGGTCGGTTCGAATTTCGATTGTGCCACTGCACGCGGGATGCTTCATGCGAAAGCTCCATATGGGTGTGCTGTAGTACTTCCCGACCTTCTTCTTCTCGGCATTGAATCGCACGCCTTGCCCAATGATGGCGTGTGGTTTGCAAGTGTGGCACCAGACGGCGAAGGGCATCTCGAATCGTACAGTCTGGGTGCCATCTTTGCGTAGTGTGCCTGGTGCGCGCTTCTTCTGAAGCTGGTTGCGACTGATGGTTCCTTCGAGCTCGGGTGGGATCCACCTCCCCATGCCAAATTCCTGAGCCATGTGTGCGGTCCCAAGCTCTTGGCGGCGATAGCGTGCGGATTTGAAGTAGTTGATGTGAATGTTGTCAAGAGGCTTCAGAGATGGGAAACGCGAGCACATCATGGCAACATGGATTCAGGGTCTGGTCTCGCTTCGCTCCCAAGGCTCGGCCCGGATCGCTATGACGCAGCTGGAGATTCTTCGGTCGACAGCCCCGCTGACTGAAGGTGAATTTCCATACTTCAACACCACATTTCAACTTCCGAAACACCTGCGATCCTGTCTGCCACACCTCCTGCTCGACACTGCTGTTACTTGGGTGCATCGGAACAGACACGTCTGACAGCATTCACCACAGACACCCGCAATCATGGCGACGCTCGCCCACGAACAAGCTCCGCCCGTGCAAAATGGCTCTGCGCACCCCTTCACCTGCAACACCTGCCAGGTCGCCTTCCGCTCCAGCGACCTTCAGCGGACGCACATGCAATCAGATTGGTAAGGGAGTAGCCGCCTCTGCGCTCGAACATCTAGGCTGACCATTCTGTGCTCTGTGTCATAGGCACCGCTACAACCTCAAGCGTCGCGTTGCGTCTCTTCCGCCACTCACCTCCGAAGTTTTCGCCGAGAAGGTCCTAGCAAATAAGGCCACTGCAGCTGCCACCGCCGCAAGAGCTAGCTTTGAGAGGAGATGCGAGCCATGTGACAAGACCTTCTACAGTGAAGGTGCCTTCTTGAATCACCGCAACAGCCAAAAGCACCGAATGCTTGCAGCTCGATTGGCTGCCGGCGGGAAGGGCGACGCAGAGACCGACAGTATGGCAGATTCTACTTTCACCCTAGGCGATACGCTGGAGAACGCAAGTACCTCCAGCACGGTTAATGGCGACGGCGATTCCGCTGCGCAAGTCGAGCAGGAGGGAGAGGATGAGGTGGACAAAGTGGTTAATCGCATGCAGACTACTGGACTTGGCGAGACGGCACACACAAATGGCCCACAAGAATCGGAAGAGGATGACGAGTACGAGCACAAGGCGGACCTAAAGCAGTGTCTGTTCTGCAACTACATTTCGCCAACCGTGGACCTCAATGTGAACCACATGTCGCGGCAGCACAGCTTCTTTATTCCTGAGAAGGACTTCTTGGTTGATTTGGCCGGGTTGATCAACCATCTGAGCGAGACTGTCACCGTGCTGCACCAATGCCTGTATTGCCACAAGCAAATCCACTCAACACCCGGTACGCAAACGCACATGCGCGACAGAGGGCACTGCATGATCGCATACAGCACAGAGGATGAGCAGATGGATATTGGGGAGTTCTACGACTTCCGGTCCACGTATTCAGACGAAGAAACCGAGGGCGAGGAGGAGGAGACGGGGGGAGGAGTCAGCCTGGGGGCCAAGAGAGCGGCGAAGACGACTGTGGAGAATGAGGCCGGCGAAGACGTTGATATGGGTGGTGATGACGACGATGGTTGGGAGAGTGACAGCACGGTGTCTTCTGTGCCGACTGACGAAATCACCGCCGTCCCAATCGAGCACCAGGAGCACAAGTACGAGAAGCTCGGACTCAATCGGCATCACTCTCACACGGACCGGCGGCCGCACAAGAACAGCGATGGTTTCCATTCGCACGCCCATCACGGAGCCAATGCAGTATATCACGATGACTACGAATTGCACCTTCCGTCCGGGCGCACTGCAGGGCACCGCAGCCTGAACAAGTATTTCCGGCAAAATCTCCGCGACTACCCCAGTACCGAAGAGCGTGCTGAGCAGCGCATGATTGAAGACGAGCGGCACGAGTCGGACGCCGATGATGAAGACACGGGAGACGCCGACTCGGCAGAGCAGAATGGTCCACGTGGCCGACAGGTCGTGAGTCGTGCCAACGGAGGTCTCGGCATGATGGGAGTCAGCGAGTCGAAGAAGCGAGAGGTGCGGGCCTTGGAGAAGCGCGACCTGAAGCGGCAACAGCGTGCACAGAACCGATACCAAGCGGGCAACGAGCGGCGTGCCAATTTCCAGAAGCACTTCCGCGATCCATTGCTGCAGTAGGGGAATGGAGGGGTTCGGGGGAGGGTGGAGAGAATGGGGATCGGGGAGCGCAGTCATGCTGCCAACGACATTACTGCATCCACTGTTCTTGTCTTCCTGCGAGTTGTATCACTATCATGCATATGGGTGCCAAGATGGTGCCACTACCTAGCAGTTGGGCGCTGCAGCTCCGGACGGCGATAGGGCTTTGGGGCTTGTCAAGTGACAGCTCAGTTACAGCTGGTGTTGGGCAGCGTCACCTCACAGTCTGCTGCATGGAGTGGATGCGGGAAGAGCGGTGGAAGAGGGAAGGACGCCAGTAGTAGTAGTAAGGTAGTAGCAGCGTTGGAGGACAGCGACGTTGCTTGTGCCGCGGTGGGAGGATGCATGTAGCCTGTAGTCTGTAGCATGCAGGTGGCCGAGCAGGAACCAACCCAACCCAGCCGGGCCCATCTCGTAAGGTACCCGACGCCAGTTGCTTTCGAGTCCCTGACCCTCTTCGGGCCATGTCGTCAATGTCCAGTATTGTGTCGCCACGTCGCTCGCATCGGAGGAGAATACGTGTACCTTATTAATAAGGTATCCCATTATTGATGGGACTTCCATTCCTGGTCGCTCGGCTGAGGCTCGCCGAGCCGCGTTTGGCCCGGAAGCTTATCGGATGTCCGTGCGCCTTCTACCAGCACAAGCCGACCTTAACCTTCCATTACACATGAACTACTACCACCTTAAACGTAACTTACTTCGCAGCAACCACGCAACAAACCTCTCCCGCAATCCATGATTCTTCTCTAACACCCTTCACCACTTCTTGCGCATCTCTCCATCACCCTTGCTCTCACCATGGATCTCTTGAGGCTCGAGCAGCAGCGGAAAGCTCTTGAACAGAGTCTGCAGAAGCTGCGAGCAAGCCTGCAGCACTGGCAGACGTTCGACGCGGAGTATGAGGGCCTCAGGGAGGAGCTGCACTCCCTCTCCGACACACTCGACATCGAGAGCATCAGCAAATCTTACCCTGGCGACCTCGTCAACGAGAAGGAAATCCGCGAGCTGGCCAGCCTCGACTCTCCCTCGCCACGCACCGCCTCGCAGATTCTTGGCATCGTCTCGCGCCGCCAGGAGTACGTCCAGAAGAATATCGAGACGGTGCAGCGCCAATTCTGGGATGCCGAGGCCAAGCTGGAAGAGCTCGACTTCGTTGCCGTCACTTCGGCACACCGGGAGGAGGGCCGTACTGCAAGTCTACCCCTCACGGAGATTCACGAGGAGCTCGACGACGAGGGCAATGTCCTCTCGTCGACTTTGTCACGGCCTGAAGAGTCTACTGCCAACATCATCGATAGCCTGAGGAAAGCTGGGCTGGCCGAGAAGGATCTGGACGCTGCCACCGACGACCAGGATGCCGATGATCACTCCGCGACGACGGGATCTCACAACGTCCTGCCGCCGGCCTTGGTCGACAAGCGCTACAAGGATTCACCCAACACAGAAGACAAGTCTACAGGCGAGGGCGGCAGCCGCAGTAGACCTCCTGTTCGTAAGAAGTCTGTGTCATTCACAGCCGACACCAAACCTTCGCCGGAGCCCGTACGATCCGAGTCAGAGGACGGTAAGAAGACTGTGTCTTTCAACGACAAGATCGCAGTCATGCCTGCCGCTCCTCCGCCAGATCCCAGAACGGTCTCATTCTCGCCAACAGTAGAAGAAATCCCAGCGGAGCCCGCCGTCTCTGCGAAGGCCAACATGCATGAAACCCAGGCCAAGTCAGACGACGAGATGCAAAGGAGCCTACGTGGCATGTTCAAGCCTGGCGAGAAGGTCTATGAATTGGGCGACGACGAGGAAGTTCTCGGGTCACACATCGTCATTCCGGAAGGCGAGTCCGAAGAAGATGCTCGCCTACGGCGGGAGATGATCAACTATCATCTGCATGAAGTCGGCCATATCGTAGCGGAGATGAATCTCGAGGAAGGAATGGACGATGGATACGATGACGAAGACGAGTCCGCATCTGCATCTGATCTTGCCTCGTCACAATACTTGGACGAGGACACTCCGTACACCAGTGGACTCTCTGATTCCGATAACGAGAGCGAGGATGAACACGGCCGGAGGAAGCGCCGTGTCATTAGTGACGATTACCACCAGCAGATGAAGGAGCTGGAGAGTAGACTGATTGGCAACCTTGGACCGGCTCCAAGTGACGATACTGTTGCTGACATCGACCCGCACTTCGATCCCGCAGACGTTCGCAAACTAGTTATCCGTGCAAGTAGAGGTTCTCAGTCGAGTGCGAGCTCTGAAAACGATAAGAAAGCTGCGGGCAAGAAGCGTGTCAGCTTTGCAGAAGCACTTGACGTCGCCGATGAAATAGTACCGCCTACCAAAGCTGCCAAGCTCGAGGACGGAGAAAACGCTGCGCCTGTGTCGGAGATGGTGACGGAACGAAGTGCGCCCGGACCTGCTTCTGCTCCATCGATGCCCTTCCCGGCGAAGACATCTCGGTTTCAGCAGGCTCGATCTTCCGCCTCAGCTGCTGAGTCCAGTACCATGAACATTGGCAACGGCGAGCATGACAGTGACCGCCCCACTGGACCTGCTGGCAAGATCATTGCGGACACGCTGCTTGAGCGCAACGTGCCTCGACAAGGTGCCGCGCCTCCCTTGGAAGACGATCCGATCATGCAACGTCGTGAACTGGCCGCCGAGTATTACCGTCGGCGCAATGATATGATCCGACAGCAGGGAGGCTTTAAGGCTGCTGCGGATGAGGATCAGGACATGGGTGAGCTGATGGAGGAGAGAGATGGCAAACTGAAAAAAGTCAGTAAATTTCGGGCTGCGAGGATCAAGCCGCAGTAGCGACAAGGAAGGACGAAAGGGTTCCCGAGGCTCACGTTGTTTACGTGGAAGACCTGAGGCGCTTGTGTTGATATTAAGATACCATTGGAGCACTGACGGCCACTTGTCTGTTTTTGGGCATATTGGACGACATGTCTCCGCTACTTTCTCTTCGCTTCTTAGCTTCATGAGTCGGACTGTCCACAGGGGAAGCAGCCATTATCCTTCTGTGCTGCCTTCCCTTGTGATAGTCACTCTCGGACCGATTGTAAGGTGAACTCCGACATGGCCTCTCGAGTCCCGTGAGCGATCTGTGATTGACGCCCCCCTATAACCAAGAAGTGACACGGGACTTGTTCTAAACGTGCGGAAATGCATCTTCTATCCCGTTTTTCTGTACATTGGTGAAGCTCACTGAAAAGCCACCTCTCGCTAATATGATACAGACGGAGGAGCGGTGGTGGAGATCATCACCGCCAGCGCGCTCCGCGTTGTGTAGAGTGTAGTGGTTTGTCTCTTCTGCCGGCCCTCCTGAGCCTTCCTGCCAAACTCCAGCGATGCATTCATGTCAGTCGCTATGCATCCGATTCGACTGCCCCTTTCAACTCCAATTCCCCGATTCCAATGTGATTGCGCCTCGCTTTTCTGTGACCTCGGATCTGATCAAGGAGCGTTCTTCTCAATTTGCCTCGAATGAGTGTGAGAGGCGGTTGCGCGGGTTCGGTCCTACTCCGTCCCGACCGATTTTGCATCCGATTCTTCTCCCTCTCATCCCGATTCAAGCACAAATCATGCCCATATCAACCAATTCCAGAGCTCTACAAGCGATGGGCGAAAGTCAAGCCGCGGCTGCCAGCTTGCCTTCGCTCCCGGCGCTCGAATTTGAAGGCGGAGGTGGAGGCAGCTCCAACCTTGTGTTCTCTGCCATCATTCTCTGAAACCCGATTCCCACTCCTTCTATCACAGCCAGGAGGATCGCACACCCAATGGCACCGTTCCGAATCGCTCGTGGGCCACCGCGGACGGCGAGGGCACCTCCGGTGAAGAAGCCTGCGATGATGGCATTCCAGGGGTCTTCCTTCTTGCGGATGCCCTTGACGGCGCAGTCGAAAGTGGAGAACATTCCGCCCCAGACGCCAAAGTTTCCACCGAGGACCGGAGCACGAGCCTTGATCGCTGTAAGGGCTGCACGGAGCGAGAGTCAGCCGGGGAAGACAAGAAGAGGTCGGCTTTAAGAATCCATCTAACCTCCTATCCGTCTCTCACCGTAGGGTGAGTTCCTGAATCCCTTGACGCCGTGCCATACCGCTCCTCCGATTGCCTGTGCGGCGAATTGTGGTCAGCATGCATGCGTGGGACGTGCTGATGATGATGAGTATCCTCGGGATCGGAGAACGTACTCCCATGCAGAAAGCGCCTCCAAAGTCTGAGAGCGCTACCCAAGGGCAGGGATCTCTCGAGTGATCCAGCCCGTGACCTCGTTCGCCCATCGCGCAATGTGATTATGGTAGAGGAGATGAAATCGTAGGTGGAGGAGTCGATTCGGCGCGATTCAGACGGTTCGGTCGGGGATGGAGCTCTTCGATTTCCAGCCCCGGGCGGTGGGTATACGGCAGACAGCCGGAAGACAGGCGTTCGAACGCGTGATGTCGGGTGAGGAAGTGGCGAGTGGAAAGGGGAGAGTGTTGTGTTCACAGTTGGGGAGTATGGAAAAAGCTGTCGAGGACTGCGGCGATTCAAGTTTGGATGATGATCAGAAAACGGGCTTCCGGCTTCGCCCGCTCCTCTCCCGAGCCGAACATAGGATACACTTCCGCTGCCTGATCGTCGCCGCAATTGGTATGAATAACACCACCTCCCACCGACTCCTACCTCTACCGTACAACAACCAACACAACCAGCGGATCTTCAACATGTCCCGCCTCGCTCAGGGCAAATCGACGCCCATGGTTCGCCGCGATGGTCCACGTCCGACCAGCGAGACTCCAGACGGTGAGCTGCAAACACGGCATCTTCCTGAACCGCTCGAATTCACCACTGACAGACTCGACGCAGAGATTTGCCCCGTGTGCAAGACTTCGCGGTATATGCGACCTACAATGCGACTCCTCATCAACCCGTCCTGCTACCACAAAATGTGCGAATCGTGCGTGGATCGCATCTTCTCCCACGGTCCTGCTCCCTGTCCAAGCAAGGGTTGCGACCAGACTCTCCGCAAGAATCGCTTTCGGCAACAGACTTTTGAGGATATCAAGGTCGAGAGGGAAGTGGACATCAGGAAGAGCGTGGCCCAGGTCTTCAACAGGCGGGAAGAGGATTTCGAGACATTGAAGGACTACAACGACTATCTGAACGAGGTCGAGGACATCACCTTCAACTTGATCAATGGCATCGACGAGGAAGAGGCGAGAAAGAAGTTGATTGAGCACAAGGAACTGTACGAAAACGAGATCCGGGAGAATGCGTCTCTGGCGCAGAAGCAGCAGTTTGATTATGTGAAGCTTCAGAAGGCCGAAAAGGAGCAGGCGAAACAGAGGCGAGAGGCTGCGAGACGAGAAGAAGCTGAGGAGCGCAGGGAGACGGAGGCGAGCAGGCGAGATATGCTAAGGAGGCTTGAGAATGGACAGGATCCCGAACAAGTCGCCAAAGAAAGACAACAGATCCAGCTCAAGCGGCGTACGGATCGGAGGGCTGCAGAACAGAGACAGGCGGACCCGCAAGCTGCGTCACAAAACATACAAGGAGGCAGCGGAGACATTGTCATCAAAGGTCTTAAGACCAAAGCCAAGGCCGAGCCCGAGAAGCCTGTGGACCCCTTCGATGGCCTGTCTTTTACAAGACAGTACTACGCAGTACAAGATCTGTACGTCTGGAGTGGCATTGCGCAGCCTAGGAAGGACATCTTGGTCGGCGCTGGAGGGTACGACGTCACGACTTTCACCAATCGCGCACTCTGTGAAGCTTTCTCTGGCCTGGGCGTGATGATCGCAGATGAGGCAATGCAGAGGGAGAGAATGGCACAAGAGGGTACTGCGGTCACCACGAAAGACGCTTCCGAAGTAGCTGCGAAGGACGTTAAGATGGAGGATCCTTTCTGACTGGGCTCCGATTTCTGCGCCAGGCAGTATGCCATTACGATTTTTTGAGATACCCCTTGGATTTAGCGGAGGCGTTGTTGGGACGCTGAGGTAGTTACAGCGAGCATTGGGATGTTAATTGGGCCTCTTTGAAACGAGACAGGCCTGGTTGCACATAAAGATCTCCTGGTCATGAGGATCGAACTAGTGACGAAAAGATTTTGTCGCGTGCGTTGGGCTGTTCAAGTAAGCTTTCTGAAACGCCAAGGCTTTCACATGCTCATAGCAGCCGCCCGAAGTGAGGCGCAGAACGCTGGTCGCTCCGCACATTCTTACCTTCTTAGTCTTCACTTCAAATCCGTTTCGATGTCGTGCTCACCTGCTAATTTCACAGCCTGACAGGCAGTCCTCAGAATGCGGGTCCAAACCTCACTTGCGTTACGGGCGGAGTTACAACGCTTCATTTCCAAATCAGCGCACTTCTCCGACACCACCACTTCCGCAACTATTGTCGACATCTACAACAATATGGCGCCCACGAAGTTGCAGGCGGCCCGAAAAGAATTGAAACTGAGGGAGCTTGAGCTCAGAGTCCTCAAGCGCCAGACCAGCGCTCGTACCAGCACACGTTCCGCGCCAAGGTATTACCACTCGAAACTGCTACCACACACAAAGCTGATAGTGCCCTACAGTATCGGAAATCATGTCCTCTTGCTCTTTGTCGGCGCAGCCCGCGAATTGATCACGCTCCATACCAACCTCCTTCCCGAGATAACGCAGGCCTACCTCCAAGCTCGCGCCATCGCTGCACCGTTCCATCAGTTGCCTGACGAGTCCCCTGGCACGGTACGCATTTACCGGGACTACTTGTACACCGGCAAGATTCACAGCGTTGCCGAGAACGACGATACCGACGAGCTTGGGGGAGGCATCACTAGTCAGGGCGAATGGTCGTGCCTAGCGCAGTTATACCTTCTTGGCATTGAGGTGCGCGATGAGAGATTTGCAAACCAAGTGATTGACTCCATCATCGACAAGGTGGAGGAAGATGCCGATGAGCAGCACTATCCGACCGGTCTTGCCAACGAGGTCTGGACTGGCACTAAGACCGGCGACAAGTTGCGCAAGTTGATTGTGGACTTGCACATTTGGGTGGGAAAAGGTCACGGTATCGACGAGCAGGGACAGCATGATGACCGCAATGGTCCGATGGACTTCAAGCACAAGGTCGCGATGGGTGTTCTCAAGAATCGACAGGCCATCTACGATTCGGAGATAAAAGCGCCGTGGGAAGTCAATGCGTGCCAATACCACGCTCATCTTTCGACTCAGCCATGTGGCATGAAGGACGTTGAGATCGTCGATCTGACGGAGGAGTGAAAGGGATCCTTGTATGGGGTAAGCTGTATAGGCGAGGGCATGAAAGACTCAGGTTGAGGTCGTCGATTTGACGGTGGAGTGAAGAGAGATCTTTGTGTGGGGTAAGCTGTATAAGCGAGCTGCGCAAGTGTCGATAAGCCTGAAAGTCGATTGTGACGATAGTAAAGTAAATGTCTACCTTAATACTTAAATAGCTTAATTAAGTAATCGTATCGTCTACCTTTCTGACCTAGTCTTAACTTTTAACGCTTCCTATTACTAAGATTATCTATATAATTGTAAAGTTATAAACCTATAGAGTAGTAAGTCTACCTATCTCTTATAGTCTTATTAAAAGTAGATATTATTATAAAATAGCTATATATACATAGTATATATTATAGTAGACTTAGGTGTCTATCTTATTAGTTAAATTGGTAATTTATAAAACTCTAAGAGAGCGTAAATAGCTAATTAGCCTTATATTCTATATACTCTTACTATACGATTAAACGCTAACTTCTATATACCTAGAGCTCGCATTCTAGGTATATATTATTCCTAACCTACTAAGCTCTATCTTATTATAGTAAGTAACCTAAATAGCTTTTACTATAGAAACTTAGCTTAGTAAATCTTCTCTTTATCTAGCTAATAAATACTTGCCTTATAAAGGCTATCTATTTACTTAGTACGCATAACTAAGGTAGGTAAAGGAGGCTAAGTTATAGTTAGAGAGTCTTAGGTATATAGCCCTTATATATAGACTAGCTATTTATCTCTAGTATAGATAGTAGTACTATTACTACCTATATATTATATTTAGAAAGTCGCTTTCTATATTTAACTAGATATATCGTATTACTAGTATCTATAATATAGAGAGTATTACTCTAGCTTAATACGTTATTCTTTAAGTGTCTTAGTAAGACTAATATCCTTCTATATTTTCTTTTAAAGTTATAAAAGGAGATGTCTAATTAGGTATACTATATACTTCTATAACTAGTATAGCTTAAAGACTAAAGTATTATTATCGTGTATTAGTTTACCTAAGCTAGATATACCTAGAAAGGTTAAGTGTTACTACTATATCTAAATTTAACTCTATCTTACTTTATATTAGTTTATAGACTACTTAGATAACTATGCCTTCTAGTACTAATTACTAAGATTTCTTTACTATTAGATTTGTATTAATAGCTCCTTCTATAAGACGTTTAATTAATTAGTACCTTATTAAATAAAGATATTTATACACCTTTATCTATATATATTAATCTTATTAAGTCGATATATATTAAAGGTATTTACTTATAGATTACTATTAACAGATATACGGTAGTATAGAGCGTAAATATACTAAACAGGAATGTCGTAGCTAGCTATAGAACGTCTATATAGGTCGTAAGAGTGTATAAAATAGAGTGTAGTATATTAGCTACTAGCGTAGCTAGTAGCTAAGGCAGTAGATAGGTACGTAGGAAGGTAAAAGAGTAAGTAGATAGATTAGTAGTAGAAAGAGTTACTTCTTTATATCTCTTCTTAGGGGAGAAAGGGGTCACTATATATCCTTTAGGTATATTCGTAAACTCTATTATACGCTCGTAAGTTAAAACGGCGCTAGTTTTTAATGGAATTAGGCGTACTATTTATGATTCTACTTTATAATATAATCGTAGATTTATAGCTAGGTTGTTCTAGGTAGATATCTAGTAGCGAGGTTATCTCCTTAGTAATTATATTAGACTTTTATAATGTTCCTTATAATCTAATAGATATATACGCTTTAGCTAGCTATAGAACGTTAGAATATAAGAAATATTCTAACGCTCTAAATATAACTTAGGCGGTAATCCTACCTCTAGACATAGCCTAACCGGGTGTGTTATATTAATCTAGTAGTAGGGAAATGCGTTTTTGGAGCTCTAGGGAGGGCTAGGGGCACTACCTAGCTAAATAGTTAGGGGCGACCCCGCTACTAGATACATAATAGGCATATAGTATCTACCTTAGGCAACCTAGTTAGAGATCTACAATTAGATTAAGAGGTAGGGCTATTAGAAACCTAGAATATATTAAGTACTAGTATAATAATAACTTATAAGCGTATAACAGAGTTTGCGAATATATCTAGAGGGTATTTAGAGACCTCTTTCTCCTGTAAGGAGATAGCAAGATAAGTAAGTCTTTTTATAACTTATCTCCTTGATTTTTCTTAAATTACCCACCTACCTACCTGCCTCCTATCTTAGCTACTAGCTACGAAATTTAGCGAATATACTAGATCTTCAAAGCATAATACTTCTTATACTATCTCTACGACCTAGAGACGCTCTATAGCTAGCTATAGTACTACTATTCGGCACTCCTACGCTCTATGATACTATATACCTTAATAGATCGTAATTAGATAAAGAGTAGTAGAGAGATAAGCTATCCTACGTATAGATTCCTACTAAACGACTTATCTCTCCCCTCTCTCTTAGCTACTTACGAACTATTGTTCTTAATCGGTACTATAGGTAGCGTTTGTTCGCCTTTGTCTTTTTTATTATTTTGCTATCGGATTTAAGTTCTTTATATCGATATATAGTACTCTATAGCATTTTTATATATATCTAGATCTACGCTATAATAAGGTTAATTGCTAAGCTAGTTATATACAATAAAGAGAGGGAAGATAGTATATCTAATATACCTAAATCTACTAACTTACTAACGAATAGTATCGATCCTATTACTAAATTATTATAAGATTAATTATAGAGATCTTATAAATAAGTTAGAATAATAACTAACGCCTAATATAATGTATCCGGCCGCTCTAGCGCGCCTATAGGCGATGCCTACTTCTAGTCGTTAGGTAGCACGCTCGGCTATAATAGTTATCAAGGCCCGCTACGCCCTAATATACTATCTATATACTTATAAAGTAGCTCTAAGTATTATATATTCGATAATATCGCTCTAGAAGAGGTAAAGTATAGAAAGGAAGCAGCCGAAGCCCTTCTTATAGAGGGAAAGCTCGTCGCCTTCCGGGAGGATTAGTAGTTAAAAAGATAGTAGGCTACCTATAGTAAAGGAGAATAATAGGTAATAGAGATAGAGGAGGAAATAGATAGTAATAAAGATAAGCTACTAGATAACGTACTCGCTCTATATAACGAACTCGTAGGCGTACTAAGAGAGTATATTCTTAAGGTCTATAAGACCTTAAATAATAAGTACTTTAATCTAGTCTATTTAGCCTACCTCTATTTCGATTATACTAGTACTAATAATATCGAAGATACTTCGGAAATAGTTACTAAAGGTACCTATATTAAACTAAGTTAGAAATCTATAGATACTACTATTACGGAGACTACTAGCCTAGTCGCTTTTCTATAGGGTTAGGTATCTTATATACGCTTAATACTCGCTATCTATACTAATAGTAATACCTAGATAGTAGATACGCTATTCAAGTTTATAAACTATACTCTCTAGTAGGTTAGGAATACCTACCTATAGTTTACTATCTACGATTACTATATTATATATTACTACTAAATTATTAATTATAGTATCTTAAAGTAATCCTTCTAGGCGCCGAATAATTACCTTTATTATACAAACCTTATTATAAAGTAGGGTACTAAATCTACTATACTAAGTACCCCTTCTAGTAGGCAACTAGCTAAGCTAGCCGCTACTATCCTATAGTCGCTATCCTCGTCGCGTTTTTATAGTCTAATATAGTAAAAGAAGTAAAAGGCTAGGCCTATATAAGTATAAATACGATAAATGCCCTAATAGATTCGCCTATGTATATAATTATTACGTAGGCTTATATATAATATTTTACTACCTGGAGGTACGTAATACTAATACTCTATAGGAGCTCTAGATTAAGAATTAGAGTCGTAGCCCTTTAAAAAAGTAATACGCTAGATTAAGACTAAATACTACTATACTATATAATCTTTTAAGTTATAGTAGATATTTATTACTAGAACCCTTCCTTTCCCTATTAAATATAATAGCGTAGCGTATCGCTCTTACTTAGTATCTAGATTAGTAGTTCGTTTATAATATCCTCTATATAATTCTATATAGCGTAGATTTTAGTATAGTAAAGTAGGTAACTCCTTATAAGTTTCGTAACTATTCTTTAGTAAACGACTATATATTTTAGGTCGATAATTAACTTAAAATAGAACTTAATATAGGTAGGGTAACTAGCGTTCTAGATAATAGAAGTATTATCGTCTCGCTATTAGGCCTAGTATAGAAGTACGATAGTAGATTCTATAGGATATACGACCTCTCTTATCTATATAGTAGCTTAGTTAATAACGCTATTCTAGTAGAGTTTAGTTACCTAGAATATACTATATTTAACTGTATTACTATAAAGGCTTAGCTAGGTATAGTAATTATTAAATAACGAGATCTATATATAAGGGCTAAATACTAGTACCACTTTTCTACTATAACTTAGCTTCCTATACTCTACTCTCGGTACTTAGTAGCGCGCGCTATAGTAACCCAATAATAAGCTAACTAGTAGATTATAGATAATATATAAGTAATAAGTAGTAGAATACTATAATTAATTAACTACTATAGTAGCGACTAGATAGTATAGGGTAGCGTACTAAGAAGAGCTAGGGGTAGGGGTTAGAAAGCTAATAGCTCGTAGGCGTAATTTACTACTACGTATACCTCTTATTACGATAACGATAACGAGCTACTAAACGAAGACAGCTACGACGAGAAATCTATCGAACATTACGAAGAGATATAGGTTAATAATTTACTAAACCCTTAAGGTAACTAATAATAGCTAGGTAGTATTCTACTACTACTACTAAATACTATAGTAGAAGTAATAGTAGTATATTGTAATATAGTAGCGGCGGTAATAATAGACTAACCGCCGCCTCTATAGTAAACGCTAGTATAATAAATACTCGGATAGAAGGTAAGTACTTCTACTTTACTATTAGGTACGATCTCTACTATTAACTAGAACT